TTATAGCAATGAGAGGCCATACCCCTTACAGAGACTAACTATATGCTCAGGCCAGACCGATGCCTGCACCTCCCCAATATGAAGCTTTTTGAGGATAAACATAGATAGCCGAGAGCGGCCAATACCACCACCAATAGTAAGTGGAAGTTTCTCTGCCGCAATTAGCTGATGGTACTCGTATTTCATGTCTTCTTCCCGTCCACAATGGGCAAGCTGCTTCTGCAACGATTCTCTGTTTACTCGGATACCCATAGAGCTGAGCTCCAGTCCAAGACCTAGTACGTCATAATAAACTAGAATATCACCGTTTAGTTCCCAGTCGTCATAATCAGGTGCTCGTGCATCATGAATAGATCCAGAGCTAAGAACTTTTCCTACCTGCATAATGAACACCGCGCCATACTTTTTGCAGATAGCACGTTCCCTTTCCTTTGGAGAAAGGCTTGTGTACATGTCCTCTAACTCCTGTGTAGTGACAAAAGTCAATTCTTCTGGAAGTTTGAGAGGGAGGCTGGGAAAGAGCGAGTGTAGGTGTGATTCAAGGTTTCTTATTGCTTGGTAGATCTTTCTTACAGTAGATTTAAGGTATTCTATTGTTCGGCTTTTTTGGGTTAGTACTAGCTCCCAGTCCCATTGGTCCACTAAGTATGAGTGAATGGGAGAAAGATCCTCATCCCGGCGAACAGCTTTCATCTCGGTGTATATGCCAGAGCCTTCTTCATAGCCAAATCTAAACAGTGCCATTCTCTTCCATTTAGCTAAAGAATGCACAATCTGCGCTGAAGATGCGCAACGGAGATCAAAAGAAACAGGCTTTTCCGAACCGCTAAGGCCATCGTTGATCCCCGAATCAGAAAGAACAAAAAGAGGCGCAGCTCTTCGTTGCAAGGATAGCGTGTTTTCAAGTTCTTGTCCAAAGAACATATCGATCTCTTTAAGGGCCTTTTCTGTTTCTCGATCAGAAAGAAGAGGCGTATATTTCTTGCTTTCATCATACATACTGCATGAGAGAAGTTTCTTATGAGCATCTATGTCGATGCTAGCTTGTGTATCATGGCGTAATGATTGTGTCATAATAAGACATTACGATGGGCTTATATGCTTATTGATTTTGACATTACCATAATAGGAAATGACTATTGGGTTATTATTAACAAATCAATGTCTGGTAGGAGATATATGGTTGCCTTAAGACAGTTGGCATTGGGTTATGGGATGCACGAAAGAGCCAACGCCTTCTTTTGATAGTAGTTGCGATGTAAGGGAGTAATCGATGGTTGCCCGGTCTTTCTTTTCGACCGAGATCCTTTTGGTCAAGCTTTCCTGTCGTGTTGTTGGGTGGCAACACGCTGTTTTCAACCAATACCAACCCAACATTAATACCAACCGGATGCTCGCAGGATTTATTGAATAAAGTATCAACGTATTGGTTATGACGTGTACAACACCTAAGCTTCCGTGTTATAACATCAAATTGGTGTCTTCTTAAACCAAATACATCCTGTATTTATAGTTGGGAGTTGTACTCTACCAATCTCTAACCCAATACGAACCTAGATGCACTAACCTGTGCGTATCTCCTGTGAAACATACTGTAATGTAATTAACCCTATCTTAACCTGTGTGCACTAGCAAAGAATGGTGGTGAATACTCTGCACAGCACACTAACCCACTAGATCGCTAATGGTGTCTTATTTGCTACTGCTACGTGGTCAAAAGGTAGCTAGAAATAAGGCCGTGTCTGGAACAAATTACATGAGGTGGTAAGGCTATTTTCTATTTGCTTAAACCGTTTAGCGTCTTCCGATACTGAAAGCAGGAAAACCTCAACCCTTGTTGCCAAGAAGAACTTCAGAATATAATAAAGGAATGAATCCATTGGGTCATAGAATGAAAGAGAAGTTAAGAGCAAGACCTGGTGAAATACAACCTAGAAAAACTGCGAGTCTGATAAAACCCAGATAAGTACTTAAGCAATTTTAAGATAGCCAGATATAAACCAAAACTCGGACAGACTTTACAAAAGATAAAACCCGCCCGTTTGAAGACTTATCTCCAGCAGAGCCACTTTGGTTGAAGAAGAACTTCCTCTTATCAGCACGGTATAGTTCATACAGTTCAAAAAACACGATGTTGCTTTTATTGCGTAGCTTGCGTAGTTCTAGTGAACTTGGTAAACTTGTTAGAGGAGCAAATGGTTGTAAAGTCATTAGCATGCTGGCGCATGTATTCAACTAGCTCGGTCTTGGTGATACTTGCAACATTGATGTAGGACATGGGCTTGGCTTCAAAGTCCATATCTATGTTTTCCCAATAAAAGCATAGGTCATTAGCATAACCAACAATGTCAAAGGGAGTGCATCGGAGATTAGTTATAAGGGATTCTTTGTGTTTCTTGAACTCCTCATCAGAAAGATGGGCAATATGGTCACTTATAGCTTGCACAAAGGCTCGCATGCGCGTTTCGATCAGATCGACGTCTTTTGACCCTTGGATGATCAAGGAGACATAAGCTTTGCCACCAAATCCCCAAAAATCGCAAGAAGCAATATACCCAAGCCCTTCTTTAACTCGGAGTTGGTTGAAGAAGGTTTCATTTTCTAGTTGGTAAACCAAACCAGCCATCGCATAGTTTCTTATCGTGCTGGGGCCGGCGACCTCATGGATTAGCATAACTGCGTTGTTAAGCTTGTCAACAGTTGGCAGCTCAAGGCGCATTGGGCATGAAGTAGGCTTGGGTGCTTGAGGTAGAGTAGTTGGTGTAACGTGTTTCTTGACGGTTGTAATGATATTCCGGAACTCCTGCTCGGTGGTGTTTCCAAACACAAAGATGGATATCTTGGCTTGGGTAATAACGATTATATCCTCAAGCTTAATATGCCTGGCGGCCTCAGCGAGCTCGGTTGGGGTGAAAGGTAGTGCTTGGGTGTACATTCTAAATCCCACGGTGTTACAAAGGGACTCGGGCTGCTGGGCTAGAACATTATCAAACACAATTGGGGTCAGAGTCTGGGCCATAACAAGATAGTCTTGATGAGAAGCAGCAAAATCAGCAAAGAATAGATCAATGAGATCCTGAATAACTAAAGGGTATCCATGGAATGTTATGCGAAGTTTTCCGGCATTGGCATCAAGATGTGCTATATTGGTGTTGGACACTCTGATATGCTCGTAATACTTAAGTCTGAAGCCCTTCAAATAAGCAGCTACGTACCCGCGGAATGCCACGTACGTAGAAACGTCCTTTTCAAAGTCCGGAGCTTCCAAGATAACCGCTACTCGAGTCTTTTTGGTTATGATGCCTTTATCATGAACCAATCGGGCATCTAAGCCATTCTCAGCATGGGAAATAGTAGATATATATTTGTGGTTATCAATAAAGGGGCAGAGATTAGTGTTTGTAATAAAGCTGCCGAACTTGGCTGAGAGTTGATTGTTTTGTCTAGCCTTAGTCAAATCAACCTCGTCAAAGATGTACTTGGTACTCCATTCCATCTGTTGAGTAATTGAATCTATTTTGTCATCTGTTTGGCCAGTTAGGTCCACTACCGCATATTTAATGCCGTAATAGGGCTCAGTCTGGAGAGGGGCATCGGCTGGTAGCGCGTTTGTTCGAACTGTCACTAACCATTTTGAACGGTCTAGGGCGATATCAACAAAACGATGGAATTCCTTGGCATTGAAGATTTCCCATTTATAGCCTATAGAGAAAATGTCTTCTAAAGCTATCCATGGAAGATTCTCGGCAATGTCTATGGCCAAAGACATCGAATTGTCTATATTATAGTCCTCCATTCGGTTTTGGAATATCTTCTTGTAAGTGGCGTAGAGCTCTTGTGTGCCCATTTTGCGAACTAGCTCTAGTTTAGCCTGGATAAGGTTGATAATACTTTCGATCTGGGGCTGCGTACTGGACTTAAGCTCAACTTCGATAGTTATGGAAGTTGCTGTGGTGGACATAGCATAATTGCAACTGCTAGATACAATCACGCCGTTGTTGATTAACAAGTTGAATCCATTCAACTCTTTTCCTTCATTAAACGCATCAACTATAAATTCGGCTGTCTTCTCTTTGTATGCATGGAGTGATTGGGGTAAGTTGATTTTAACAGTTAGTTGGGTTGTTGTGTTTTGAGAGCTCTGGGGTTTGTAGTATACCAGTTTGTTTTGCAAATCGGATCGGATTAGCTCGTGTGACGTATCGGTTTCGCTTGGCTTGGGAAGGGTGTTGCCCAGCAGTTCGTAGGGCGGCTCGGGAAAGATCCACTGGTGGTCAGAATGGGTCTTGATACCCGAGAAGTGCTTTTTGACATAGCCTTCTAGGACATCGTGCGACTCTTTTCCATAGACTACTAACTGCATCTTATCTGGCCGGTAGTACTGTTTCCAAAAGCAAAGCAAATGTTCTCGCTTGGTGTTTTTGAGAGTTTCGCGCGAGCCAGTTGTGAACTTCGATAGTGGAGACTCGGGTTTAGTAAGATGTAATCCAAGTATAAAAGCTCGTTTGGCATCATTGCCCATTCCTGTTTCCATTTCGTTGTGCACAATGTTCAGTTCTTTTTCGAGGTATTGAGCATCAATTAGTGGATACTTGAAGAAGCCGCTAAATATATCTAGTGCTTGGCCGAGATAGTCTGATGAAACATCAAAATGATATTCTGTGTACTCTTGGTAGGTAATTGCATTGCAGAATCCGCTGTGATCCTGGATAAACTTTCTATAATGGCTGGTATCAGGATGAGCTTTAGTGCTCGTGAGCAGCATATGCTCTAAAAGATGGGCCAGGCCTGGGTGATTAGACGGGCTGTGCATATTGCCAACCTGAACCTTTAGACAAGCCGCGCCTTTTAGAGTTTCGGGATTTGTAATCAAAACAACTTGGAGTTTGTTGGGCAGAACAATAGTTTTGTAGCTATTTTGGTCAAGCGAGCCTTGTAGATGGGTATAGACTTGATCGCGGCGAAACAGGAGGGTAAACCTACTGTTTTGCAGAAGAAGAAAAGAAACCCCAAATACTAGCAGGCCAAGGCCTGTTAATATCAGCAATCGATTGGTTTTGGTTTTATTAAGCATAGGGGAAGAGATAAATTTTTGATTAAAAGATGTAAGCTTTTTCCTTTTTAGGCAATTCTCCTATCTCACTGAATTTTAAGACTTTGTTTAGAGTGGTAATTGATGTTGGCTAGAGTTCATTTGGTCTAACTAATACACTTAAAGCACTCAACATTACTTTGTGGTCTACCATTTATTCAGACAAACGGATTATGTGACTCAATTGGCTTGCCCTTTTCATCTAAATAGCCACACAGAAATACTCCGAAGTTATTAGATATTGCGGTGTGCAGAGCATCCACCACCATTCTTTGCTAGTGCAGACAGGTTAAGATTGGGTTAGTTACATTACAGTATGTTTCACAGGAGATACGCACAGGCCAGTGCATCTAGGTTCGTATTGGGTTAGAGATTGGTAGAGTACAACTTCCAACTATAAATACAGGATGTATTTGGCTTAAGAAGATATCAATTTGATGTTATAACACGGAAGCTTAGGTGTTGTACACGTCATAACCAATACGTTGGCACTTTATTCAATAAATCCTACGAGCATCCGGTTAGTATTAATGTCGTGCCCCGGGGAAGAGATAGTACCTTTCAACCAAACATATTCGACTAAAGACCGATTTTGAAGAGGACGATGGGAGGATTTATTCAACTCTGCTTCTTTGGGTTAGTATTGGGTTAGTATAGCTTAGGTTCTCTTTATCTTACGTCATCTTGAGACCGTTCGCAGATTCATAATATAAATACTAATTTGAGATTGCGATTTCTAATTCAAGATTTAATCGCATTTGTTGCAATCAGTGCCAAGCCGATAAGTATTCCAGAACTTTGCCCCCGTAGATAACTCACTTTGAAGTGGAGGTCGGCGAGGACGCCACAATTAGTATTGGGTTAGTATTGGTTGAAAACAGCGTGTTGCCACCTAGGGCACGATAAATATATTTTGAAATTGATAAGAACCTCATAATGAAGAGCCCGCAGAGAACTAAACAAGAAGCAAGAAACGATAAGGAGTACACTCCAGAACATCAGAACCCGTATTTGTTCAACAGACTTGTTCGTTGTCCAAGCCAAGATAAGTCATTAGCTAAATTCCGGCAGTTGAAAGACTGCGTTCCTTTCATAGAACACAATGCGAGACATAGCACTAGAACTACTCCACTAATAGCCAATGCTTATACGACCAAGATATCTCACTACCGAGTGATGATATCTAGTTGGACTGCAATTAGATTGTGTGTCTTGCTGGTACTGTTGCATTGGACCAGCATAGTCAGTGGCTCGAATATGGAAATATATCAGCCGGGTTTGCCAAGTTCAGGGGAGATACTTAAATCTCTAAAAAATGCTGGGTTCAGATGGCAGTTCTATGACACGAAACCTCGTGTTGTATTCTGTTCTTCAGAGGAAACTCCGGAATCTACACCTACTCCAGATGCTACTGATAATACAAACCCAAATCCAACCCAACCTAACTCTACACCGAACTCAGCACTTAGGTATGCGGTACATTTTTCAAGCATGCACCTTTGTTATACACTACCATCTTATCCAAATGCATCTGCAATGGTATTGGACACGTTAAAAAGGATTACAGTGATTAAGGTCAAAAAGGTTAAGATTACGTATGCTAGAGTCCAACTAAAGCACCTTAAAGAGCGTTTGGTGCTTCTATGCCGACTTCTTAACCTATTTGAGTGTAAAAGTCTGGAACTTGTAGTTAATTCCTATAAGAGCATGGATAAATATAAAGGTGGTTTTGATTTAGATAGGGAACGGAAAGAAGCTGAAGATACAATTAAATGGGCTGGCTCGGCGCCATTTCATTTGATTATTAATTCAAATATACCACCGGATGCCCATCTAAAGCATATATTTAGTGGCCTCGTTATATTGCGACCTGTTTCAGATATCAGTTTGCCTAGCAAGTACGCCCCAAATATCTCTGGATACCTCGAGTCTTTATCACTCACAGAAGATCCCTCCCTCACAATTTGCTATTTCGAAGGAAACATTCAGATTGACTTGAAAGCCATTAAAAGAGCTGCTCATAAATGCTCCATAATCATCTTCGATATTCGCGAAGTTAGTGACCCAGTAATAACCGGACTTGAGGAAGAAGTATCTGCAAACGATATAGCTATAACTCTAGCTGCAGAGTGGTCTAGTATTCAACACATTGTAATGCACAATAAGTCTTCAGTCAATGTTCATGCTTTGTTATACAATCCTTGTGGCTCGGAGTTGCTTAAGTCATTAATTCAAATCGTCAAGGTCAACGAGGTGCCTGAATCCCGTATCACTTCCAACAAAGCTATTCTATTAATCCCGAAGTGTGACTCTTGTGATTCCCCGGCGTATTACAAGAACGTGCTAACCTTGAACACCTTTGCTAAATGTGGCATTACTGTTAAAGACATCGAGTTTGAATATGAGAATGATCGAAACGACCTGTTTACACACCTAAAGGAGCTTTGCGAGATCAATGCTTTGTCAAGGATTCCAGCGGTTTTTGCTGCTAAGAATATTGTGTGTCTTGGCCATGCACTTAGTGACCCTTGTTGGGAAATTGAAGAACCAGTCAATATCAGACTCATCAAGTTCGGTCCCTGGCCTGCCTGTCAGAACATACGCTACACAACACTTAGTATTAGTGGTGATAAAAATCCTAATCTGAACTATGTTGAAAACTGCCATACTATTCTAAATAAGCTACGAAGCATCAATGCGCAAAATCTTCGTATCTCAAATGTGCGTGATTGTCCTCCAACCGACACCAACTTTGACATGGCCAAGTTAAAGTACCGTTTAGCTAATCTTCTAAGATTCGACCTCAACGTCGAGACTTTGATTCTAGACAATGTCGATGATTGCATTTTATACCGGATGCTAGGCTGTTATGACTTTACTTGCTCAAAACTAACCGAAATTCATCTCCTAAATCACCGCTTCACTAGTCTTGCTATCGCCCAAATACTAACCCTTCCTATGGCTAAAAAGATCTCCAAACTCGTAATCAATCGCATCACTCGTTTAAATGAGATCAAGCATTTCCACCAACGGAAGGAATTGATTGAGTTCTCACTGTTTAACTATCTCGAAAAGCGTAATGGGAAGAAAGAAGCTGAAGAGATTGACCTCCACAAACTCGTTCTACGCCCAGAACCCACCATCTTTGACTCGTATAAGACACCCTTACAAGCTCTCAGAGATCGTGGTGTCCAAGTACTAACCTCGTCTGATAAATACAGCACTGATCCGCCTTTCCCCACCCAACCTCACATGGTAGATATGAAAGAGTTTACTTATTACACTACTACCTTTGATGCCTTAAAAGCCGACCTTGCTATGTACCAATCCACTTCTCTCACTCAACCCAACCCAACTCTAACTCCAATTCCAAACCCAGTCCATCCTGATTCCATTACTACTATGTTCTTGCGCATTAGTGACGCCCATTCCCTAACTAGGACGGACTTGAATACTATTATCCGCTGGATAGGTTGCCGATTCAAAAGTCTAACCTCGCTCTGGCTGGCCAACTGTAAACTGGTCGAAGAAGACCGAAAGATCTTGGCTTCGTGCACATGTATAGCCAGAGGTCTGCGCTGTCTTTGGTCCATTCAGATAGAGGATGCCACTCCCGGCAAAGACCCACTTGAGCTACCATTACATCCCTATTATAACAAGCTGTTAGCAATTACTTCAGATCCTATGCCCACACCCACCGCCGTATCATATAAGGTGTTGTCTCAACTTTACACCCATTGTGACAAAATTGAGGAACATATCCTCACTTACAAGGACATCAACGCATCTCTTCGAGCCATCATAGATGTCCTCAGGAAAGAAAAGGCGGCTGGTCGTGTGTTTAAATGCCCATATTGTCATAGATCCCTTTGTATGCCATCAGAAGAAAAGAATGATAACGAACCAGATACTAAGAAATCCAAGGTTTGTTTCGACCCAAGCACAAACTTCGAGGCAGTTTGCTATCTCAATTGTAAACAGCTACTCTGCATCCATTGTGTTAATTTAACTTCTAACTCACACATTGATCGGTGTTTGATTTGCAAAGGTTCAAATACTAACCCATATATCTTCATGCGACTTACAAGCGTTCCTTCACCACTCTTTATCTTCCCTAATAGTAGTGCCAACGACTACACTATTGATTTCGTGTACCCCCAAACCTTATCGTCAAAAGACAGCTGCTACTACTTCTACTTGCCCTATAAGAGCATAGAGTCTTTAGATATTGACCTTTACAAAGAACATTTGAGCTGTATTTTCTCCTGATGCACAATCTTTGAATAACTCTAACTCCTATTTGAAACAGCCAATTGGCCGCTATTTAACTGATTTATTGCGGAAAAGCCAAAGGCTTTACAGTGCTAACATTGTCCTTAAAATGCTAACCCATTTCGATGCTTTAAACCACTGTAACCACTTGATATACTCAATATATATCACCTCGTCTACCTCTCTATCCACCAGAACCATACCCTTTTGAGCTACTCAATGGAATATCTATCCATCTCAACCTTACACCACTACACTATCCCACGCAATACACCACTATAACTCAAATAAATCAACTGCTCAACTTCTCTATGTCTTCTTTATTGTCCTAGCCCAAGCAAACCAGACTGCGTTGCTTATCTTAATATTACTATCTGGTCTATACATCCCCTAAACGTATACAACCGTAACACTTCTATTAAACAGCCCAAGTCTCTACTAGTCTACTACTTGATATTGTAATTGACTGAAGCAGATCTAAATTCACAACATACTAAACAAACACTAAGTGAAAGTAAAACTCAAGAAGAACTCAACCAAATTTCAAAATGAACACTATTGAGTTTATTTTAAGATTAGCCTTATACTAACCCAATTGAATAGATATTTGAGTTTGATCTAATGGAGAAGTAAACAAGAAAACCACACTGAGCATTATATACAGACTTGACATTCAGACACCAAGGCAGTGAACAGTATTGTAAGCCTAAACTAGACTAGCCGGTAAACCATCAACAAAAAAGGTGCTTTTGAGATTAGCATTGGATCAAGGATTAGACTAGAGACAAGACAGATAATAGACGAAGCTGGCATTATAATTCAAAACTGTTTGTTTATTTAAGCCGCCACTTCTACCCAGTTGTCAACAGCTTTTATCTATGCCTTGTAGAAGGAGTTTGTTTATGAGGGTTTCAACAACAGTACTTCTTATCTTATATTTTGACCTGCAATGAAATCACTTTACTGCATATTTGGCGCAAAGAGCCGCGGTATAGTAGCAGTGAGCAAACATCAACCATAGAAATTTAGCTCAAATACAACATGGCAATTCGTCGTTTCTCCTATGTATAAGCATTCATATTATCAAACCACAATCAGACCACGAAAGTAAGGCCTTAACATTAATATCATTAATTTAGTCAGCCCAATAGACGTATCCATTGTCTTTTACAATATACATTGAGATACTTTCCATTACAGCACTTAGCTGCTGTAATTCTGACTTTGGACTTGTGTTGGTTTAGTATGTTGTAAATCTATGTTAGTTTCAGCCAACCAAAGCACTAATTAGTAGGCCGGCGCTGAGTATGGCTGTTTAGTAGAAGTATTATGTTTGGAGATATTTAGGGGCTACAGAGACCAGATAGTAATATTAAGATAAGCAACGCAGTCTGGTTTGCTTGGGTTAGGACAATAAAGAAGACATAGAGAAGTTGAACTAGTTTGATTTATTTGAGTAGGGTTATACCTTAGTTTTATCGTAACTACTCGACCAGAAGAGCATTTACACACTCAGTTTTGGGTAAAAACGGGTCTGTTATCCAGAGTTGATCGTTTTTGTCACATATAAGCCAAGAATAGTGATGTATATCGGCGGAAACATTATAAGTAGTTTTGGCAGACTTTAGGTTATCTTTGACAATGAGATTGTAGAGAGGCAGCGATCTAATAGTGCGATTTAGTACAGCATAGGTTTGCGACTGTGTCATGTGGCAGCTTAAGGACATGGCAGAAATTACGCACTGGACACAAAAAACTAGATCAGAAGGAAAGATAATCAAGACAAGCTCCAACGATTTAGTGTCAGGGGCTAGTTTCGCTTGGTAACTAAGCCCACAGATTGCACATTTGAAAAGAGAGGATAAGGCCATAGTTGTATTATTGTCCGACTGATTGGAGATGTAGACTTGAGTTTGCTGCCAAAGAACCTCCAATGGAGATGGTTGGGTTGGGGTAGGGGTAGAGGGAGACGGATTAGCTTTTTTCTGGCGATTAGCTCCTTTCTGGCGATTAGCATCTTTCAGCTCAGTGAGTTTCTTATACAGGCCATACGAGATGGCCAAAAGACACGGAGTTGCACTTTGATAGGAAGAGAGGGAAATCACAGCAGGACTGAAAACACCAATCGCTAATTGTGTGACCATCGTATCATCATTATCAATAATTACCGCATGAACTATATCAACTCGCGGCAGGGTTGATTTGTTTAAAGCAAGTAGTCTGTGGTTCTTCCCCCGGATTACCATGTAAGCCGATTTCGTAAGCATAGGACTGTCGAGTGATAGGACATTTAGATCAGAAAAGTTGATCAAAGCCCAAGCAATAATCTGCTGGTAATGAATAAGACTTAGCATCTGGTTGGGTTTGAAGTAGATAATAAGTATACGGACCGAGCTTTGCACTTTCTGTCGTTGGGCATTAAGCTTCCACGACTTAGCAGTTATGGTCTGATAATCCTTAATAAACATCTCAATATCAATATCAAGAAACGAAAGCCTTTTACCTATGGGCATAGTGCCTTGGCAATAAGCAGCAAAGTTCATTGGACTCACCAGGAAGATAGTGTGAGAACTGGGAAAGGAATTAAGCCGAGCCGGCTGGGATCCTGAGGAACTAGTATATTTAGAGACTCCTTCATAGTTAATCTTATTCAAGTAGACGTTAAGGTAAATCTCATCCACGGCTCCTACACTGGCTTTAGATATACCCAAATTAGTCTCTTTCACTTCAGTAAGGCCGATTGGATTCCAAATGCAGATGGCAACTGAGGAATCAAAAATGTACCGTTTAAGCACAGCTTCAACGACGCGGATATGGACCATATCAAAGACAAGTTGAAAGATAGCAATTCGCACGCGCGGCAAGCCAGCCCATTCATCCACGACCTCCTTGAAATCGTTACCTTTAAGAGTAATATTGCGTATTTGTAGAGAGATGCAACAATAAAGGTCATCCAAAATCCCTAAGCAAACCAAAAGCAACGTTAGATCTGACGCACCCTTCAACGAATTTACAATACTAACATGCCGATACCCAACGCATTTACACGAGATACGATGTTTCCCACGGGCAATAATCGGGTTTAAATTACTCCACATAAGCTCACTCCGTGCTAAATCAATTCTTATATCAAGATACTGCGGACTACATTCTTTTGGTATAACCCAGACGATGGCACTAGTCAAATAAATATGGCGAATAGACGAGCTGATACAAGCAAGCTTATCCATCTGCTGCCGAACACAAGACTGCGGCTGGGCTGCTTGTAGCACCATCGGCAAGTTGAGTTCGCCATCTTTATGGCGTCCTCGTATCTTCTCGGCCTGTCGAACAAAGCCAAAGTAGGCCATGATTGATTTAGACAAAGCAGATGGATCGGATGTATTGATACAAAAAAAGAGTCCGGTCACCGCCCAAAGCAACTTTCCGCTGACATCCAGCCAGGGCCGTTTCATTTCCGCTTCAAGCGACATAGTATTTGGGCAGAAGTCCACGTCCTGGTGCATTTTCAACCAGTCCTTCAGAATAGGACCGTCAAAGTCAATCCACTTCTCTATCGCCGAAGGAATATCTAGGATAGCTAGATTCTGAATACAAACTACCTGCTTGTTAGATAGCGCAAGCAGCCGACACTGCAAGAGCCAGAGATAGTCAATACTGATGCTATCCATAAGAGCCCGGCCTGTACTATCACTCCGACACTTGAATATTTCCTGTAACCCCTCAATATGTATGTGCCGCGCCGGCTCACCACCCCCTTTAATCAACCCCGTCGACCGACCAAAACTAAACGACCCGAGCCCCGGAAAGGTCGTATGCAACTTACTTATACGGACTTGCTTGACACATAAAGAAACCTGCAGTACGAAATGCCTTGGCCGAACAACCAGGCCATCCCACATGTCTAAGTTCAATTCCGGCCCAAGAAAATCCCGAATCTCTAATTTAGAGAGGTACCGTTCCCTAAACAAGTACATAATTTGAGTCAAAGAGTTAACTGAGGAATGCGTCAAAACCAAAAGCAAGTGGTCAAAGGCATACAAATCCGATCGCAAAAACATCCTAAGCTTAGAATGAAACCAACTACTAATCCTGGGATAAAAAGGGACAGACAAAGCGTTCTGAATCCAGCCAATTTCTTTAATTCCAACCTTGCTATATTTATCGGACCAGTTTGTTATCTGGTTACCACAATCAAAAACAACAGTTGACCAAGGTTTAATTTTAACAAGCACATGACTCAAGATCGCAAAGGCCAACTTATTATGCCAAGCCTCACCCTGCAAAACCATCTTTGCCACATCAACCACATAAATATGCCGCCAGCATTCCAAGTAGTCCAAGTAATCCTTATCACATTGTAAATTCTGTTTATCCAGGTGCAGGATAGCACTCTTCCAACTGATAATTGACAAAATAAACCAAGTCCATCCAGTATTCGTTCCCAGTTCAATTAGTTTAAAGGAATAAGACTTTAAGCTTCCACTATCTGCTTTCAAGTAGCTCAGTTCTCCATCTATGCTCAGTTGTCGTACTTCCCCATCTACTTTCATGCACCGTATTTCACTATCTTCTTTCGAGTACCGCAAAGTCCGTTGAAACCAGCTTTGCACGTACTGATTCAGTGCTTGCACATTTTCTTTTCCCTCTCTATCCTCATCTTCATCATCATCATCTTCTTTAACCTCCTCATCATCTTCTTCATCTTTAACAACCTCATCTTCTTCATCTTCATCATCTTCATCTCTAACCTTCTCATCATCTTCTTCTTCATCTCTAACCTCATCATCTTCTTCATCATCTTTAACAATAACAACAACATCTTCTTCTCTAACCTCCTCATTATCATCATCTTCTTCATCTCTAACAACATCATCTCTAACCTCATCATCTTCTTCTTCATCTTTAACAATAACAACAACATCTTCTTCTCTAACAGCAACATCTTCTTCTTCTCTAACCTCATCATCATCATCTTTAACAATAACAATAACATCTTCTTCATCTTCTCTAACAGCAACATCATCTCTAACAACATCTTCATCTCTAGCATCATCTTCTTCATCTCTAACATCATCTTCTTCATCTCTAACATCACCATCATCTGTATCCAGATCTGTATCTGTATTTGTATCACACCCCCAATCCCCAAGATCAGTCCAATCATCATCAATCGTAGAGAAGCCATTACTATCATCCCATACTCCCACCGCAAGTTCATGTTCCTCATATTCACTAACATCTGTTCGATCCATATAAGACACAATACTCTCCTCCATACTATATATCTCTTCCTGTTCATCTAATCCATCTTCTTTGTCCTCTTGACAAGCCAGTACATTCTTCGTCAATGCTATAACATCTAACGCCCCACTCAAATCTTCATCATATAAACAGTCCAAAGCCCGAATTACTCTCTTCCTACTTTCTTCAGTCTTCCCAGTCTTTCCACTCATCTCACACAACTGGCACCTATTCCGTAACCTATTTCTCTTCTTACTCTTCAATCTCTTATTTGAACCACTATGCATAGCCAAACGACTCCGTTTAAGAAACAAATCCTGATTAGCCATAACAAACTCACGACTCGCCCTATCCCGCCGAATCATATCATTCCGATAAGAATCCTCATCATCCTCATCATCCGTACATCCAAACACCAACACCACCAACACCAATCCCACAATAGTTGTGAATTTAAAGATACCCATACTTCTCATACAAAAATTATAGATCTTAATATATATTTATTAAAACACCCACCATATCTTATCTCACCATATCTTATTTCTCCCACCTCACCTCACCTCACCCCACCCCATCTCACTCCACTCCACTCCACTCCACCCCACCCCAACTCAGTCCACTTAACTTTAAATGTCACCTACGCAATAAACGTCACCCCATTTGACACACTCCATATACTCTTTCTAACTCCACTCAACTCCACCTAACTCCACCCAACTCAACCCTACACCACTCAACCCAACTCAATCCTAACTCAACTCAACCCAACTCCACCCCATCCAACCCAATATTCAAGTGCATTTCCCGCCAAAATTGATCCCAACCCAATCCCAACCAAAACCCTTCCAAAACCCTTCCAAAACCACCCCAACCCATCCTAACTCCACCCCTACCCTAACCCCACTCAACCCCACTCACTTCCATCCCATCACAACCCAACTCAACTCAACTCAATTCAACCCAATTTCACTAATACTAACCCAATTTAACCCAATTCTTAGCCTTATTTCTCTTTTTTTTTGCTACCCCTGCATTAGCAACATGGTCAATGAACGAACTGGATCTAATGGAAGTACTTCCGAAGCAAATAGTACCACTCGAGCCTCAATTGTCGTAGATAATGGTAGCGGACAGTGTAAAGCAGGTTTTTCAGGTGATGACGCTCCAAGAGCCGTCTTCCCAAGCATTATAGGTAAGCCAAGACACCATGGAGTCATGGTAGGTATGGGACAGAAAGACTCCTACGTAGGAGACGAAGCCCAAACTCGCCGAGGAATTTTAACCCTAAAATACCCCATTGAACACGGTATAGTTAACGACTGGGACTCAATGGAGAAAATTTGGCATCATACCTTCTATAACGAACTAAGAGTAGCCCCAGAAGAACATCCCGTTCTAATGACTGAAGCCCCACTTAACCCCAAACTCAACCGAGAAAAGATGACCCAAATTATGTTTGAGACTTTTAACTGTCCTTCTTTCTACGTAGCTATTCAAGCTGTTTTATCTCTTTACTCCAGTGGTAGAACAACTGGTATTGTTTTGGATTCAGGTGATGGTGTTACGCATACAGTCCCTATTTATGAAGGGTACTCTTTGCCCCATGCTATCTCTAGAATGGACTTAGCCGGTCGGGACTTAACTAACTACTTGATGCGTATTTTGACTGAGAAGGGATACACCTTTACTACTACGGCTGAAAGAGAGATTGTTAGGGACATTAAGGAGTCTTTGTGTTACGTAGCTAGGAATTTTGATGAGGAGATGGCTAAACCTTCTAGTGCTTTGGAAAAGTGTTATGAACTACCTGATGGTCAGTCTATTACGATTGGTAATGAAAGGTTTAGGGCTCCTGAAGCTCTTTTCCAACCGGCTTTTATTGGTCAGGAAACTGTTGGTATTCATGAGACTTGTTTTAATTCGATTATGAAGTGTGATGTGGATATTCGTAAGGATCTTTACAGTAACATTGTTCTTTCGGGTGGAACTACTTTATACCAGGGGTTGTGCGATCGAATGCACGATGAGATTTCTCGTTTGGCTCCTTCTTCTATGAAGATTCGGGTGGTGGGTAATCCAGAAAGGAAGTACAGTGTATGGATTGGTGGGTCTATTTTAGCCTCCCTAGGCACCTTCCAGCAAATGTGGGTGAGTAAGGCCGAGTACGATGAGTTTGGTCCCTCTGTGGTGCATCGTAAGTGCTTCTAAGTTAGGTTGGTTTTGGGTTGGTTTTGATTTTGATTTTGATTTTGGTATCTAAGTAGTCATTTGGATATTTAGTCGGATTAAAGGGTTGAAGCAACTCCCAGAACGACCGCATCAATAAAGAAGTAGTCTTAATCTATCGTATAGTATTGTGTTATGGTTTGTTTTGGTTTTGATAAGATAGTGTTAGTAGATGTAGTCTCTAGTAGTTAACTAGTACGAACATAATACTAACACAATACGTAACTAGCACTTATCTCCTGGTATGCCTTTTATTGAGTATGTATTGGTTAAGATGAAATAAGATGACGTCATATGAGTATTAGTTTGGTATTAAGTTGTATTACGGCAGTACAGTAGATGTCTGAATAAGATATCATTTTGATGAGTGGAGGTGCTAATAAAGTCAATTTAAGTAGTAGTTAGTATTGAGTTAGTATTTGAGTTGAGCTAAGTTGAGATAGGATAGAATAAGATGAAGTATCACATTTCAACTTAGATAAACTTAAGTTGTGGTGAAGTGAGATAATTTTGATAAGTCAAGAGATACCAAACTAACTTAAACTTAAACTTAACTTAATCTTATCTCAACTCATGATAAAACTAAACCGGCTTAAGTTAAGATAGGTGGAGAATGAGATAGGTGGATAATGAGATAGGAGGATGGATGGCCTGTTTTTTTATGGGAGATTTAGAACGTGAAGAAGTATATCGGATTATTGCTCGAGAAGCTGGATGTCCTATTTCGGCGAGTGGTTTGGTTGAGCTTATGGCTTTGCCTCGTGAGAGATTGGTTGAGACGGCCCGAGTTTTGAAACGGTACCGACGGTTGATACATGCGGAGGATATTAAAAGAGCTGTTCGTGAATTACAAGCGGGTCCAAAAGAACGGGTGCTAGTAATACCACCGGAAGTACGTTTAGGGAGTGCTTTGCGTTTGGGTTGGTTACGAGGTAGTATAATTGGATCAGTTCCGGTGGCAGCTGCTAAAGAGAAGAAGAGTTGTACAGTCTTTGGGATGATTAGAAGTGGGATTGAGAGTTTGGAAATTGAAGATGAAAGTGGGAGTTTAGTCTTAGGCGAAGTAAAAGGACCTTGTTTCTTGGCGGCGGGTGTTTGTTTGGGATTGAAAGGTCAGTTGGTGGGTGGTAAGTTTCAAGTTGAGAAGGTTGTCTGGCCAAGTTTAGGGAAAGCTCCGGAAGTGGCTGGAGCTGCTTTAGTCTTTGCTGGTGTTCAACCAACTAGTAGTGAAGCAGTTCAGATTAAGTCTGTTTTACAAGGATTTAGTCAAGCTGAGATAGTTATTGAAGTAGTGATAATTATGACTTTAAGTGAGCCTGGGAATGCCTTAGCTCGAGTACAAAGTCATATTGGTAAAGAGTATCCTAGTGTTGAGTTTATTGTTGTGCCTAGTAAATCGGTGGTTTATCCTGATCTTAATACGGGTAGACGTGGTAATGTTACGGAGACAAGTAATCCAGTGGCGATTAAAATAGGTGAAGGGACTTTATTAGTAGGTGCCTTTGAACTAATTGATGGATTACGTGGTCAGTGTACAGTTCAAGGCGAGTACCGAGCTGAACTAGCCCGGGTTATGCTTAGTAATCGTTCTTACAATCCTTTTGTGACTTATGCCGATTTAAGTTATGCTGATCCTTATGCCGGAATGGTTATTGGTGATCGGCATGGCAGTTTTGTGCATAATGAAGAGGGTAAATCCTTTGGGATGTGTGGACCTTTCACGCAAGATAATGGCCAGTTCCTCTTTTACAATCCCGAGAAACAAGAGTTTGAAATCTGCGCCCTCAATCAAGATTCAACCGAACCATCCCAAGAACAATAAACACAATTTATTCTTATCTTAAACTAAGTATCTACTAATCTTATCTTAAACTAAGTAACTGCTAATCTTATATTAATACTAACTTAAACCAATCCAATACTAACTTAAACCAACTTAAACCAATCTAATACTATCTTAATACTATCTTAAACCAACAGACAAAAACACAACACAACCCAAACTAAACTAAACTAAACTAAATACAACCCACTAGAACTATAACAGACAAAAACATAACACAATCTAATCTAATCTTAACATAACGGAATGGAATACTAAACAGACGATTGCAAAGTTTTGCAATGACTGCTAGTGAACGAGAAAATCTGATATTACGTAAGATACTAGAAGTGCGGAAAATTGGCCGGGGAAAGACTCCTCATGAAATATTGCATGAAGAAGCAAATGGACGACTTAGAGGACTTGATATCTCTTATAATCAACAGATTTCGTTAGATACAAAGCTAGAATACTTAATGACGAAAGCACAAGCTGAAGAACTAGAAGTAGTTGGAGCTGTGATTGAAGAAGCAGTAGCTAGAGAACTAGTAGGCGTAGAAAAAGCTTTAGATCTACTGATTGGTGCAATTCATTCGCAAAGGAGTGCTGAAGATTTAGGACTTATCTTTCAAAGTATTAAGCGAGTCTTAGCTAAGGACTGGATGGTTGGGATTGAGTTGGTGCTGGCGAGAGTTGATCTGGCGGGAGGACAGGGTAGGGCCTGGGGAGTAGTTCTTTCTGAAGTAGCTAAGATAGTAGAAGAGCCTAGTTTGACTTTGCAGAAGGTTTTGATGGACTTGCCTGAAGGCCCTAAAGTAAGTGCTTTGGCCAATCTAGTCTTAGATAGAAACAAAAATTTTGATTTCCAAATTGGGAAAAATTCGGTTGTTTTTCAGAATATCAGTACATCTGAGGCCGAGAAAATGATAGCTGAATTAGTGCTTGGTAAAGTATCTGAATCGGTCTTACAAGTAGTTCTTCGATTTTTAATGGATACGGCCCAGAATCTTATCTTAGGGGGACTAAGTGGGTATTTTACTAGGGAGACTTTAGAACAGTACATAGGACGGTTGAGTATTCCGGAGATTGGCGTGGCTTTAATAAGGATTTGGCGACGGAATAATGATTTATCTGGTTTTGGTCTTTTATCCGCTCAGGATCTTATTGCTTTGGGAGTTTGGTTACTCTCATCTGGAGAAGGTAAAGATCTCCAGACTGTCTATTTTGAATATTTACATGATCGCATAGTAAGTTTGTTAAGTGTTGATAAGTGGTTGGTAAGTAAGATATGTTTGTCAAGTGATTTGCTAGTCTCTTGTCTCTCTACTAAGACTGAGGATCCTCAGGAACTTAAAACTAACCTATTACAAGACCTATCGACTTATGCTCTTATTCCGGACAGTTCCCAGCCTCTTCTTCAGATCTATACTCGTCTAATTAGACCGACTATTCCTTGTTCGAATACTCGTGCTTGGTTGGACTCTATTATAGCCCGAATGGCCGAAATCTACCCAGAACCCTTAGATTTAGCCGATTACTTAGATAATATCACAGAAGAGTTGGCTGGTACACCCGTTCTAGTGCATATTCTCGAGCAGATCTACCAAATGACTCGGCATTCAGTTGTCCAGGCAGCTTTAACTCATACCCGGCTTCCACTTGTAGCTGCACAAGCTAAAGCCCGCCAACTGGCCTTAAATGACTTAGCTACGGCCTTACAAACCACTATTGACTCTACTGCTGAAAAAACAACAATAATCACAGATAGTATCAAAGTAGGCACTAAGTACTTGGTTGCAGAACTTAACCGTATGCCACCTGCCTCTCTAGCTAAACTCCTAGAAACTCCATCTCTAGCTGCTCTTCTTTGGCCGCTTCTTTACCCTAACTATAAGCACTACGAAACCAATCTGTTATGCGCTCTAACTAGAACTACACATTTATCCAACAATTTACCCCATGGTCTAGCTAAGTACCGCCCTGAGTCTATTCTCCTGCCAACTTCTGAAGTTCATTTATTTCTGGTCTTCTTCTTACTAGATACTCAGCATCCTTTACAGTACTTGCAAATTCTAGATCGTACTCAGTTCCTAACTGTACCTGATCCAGTTGGTCTTACTCAGTGGCGAGTTAGTCAGTCAGCAACCACTATACAGTACTTCTACCAGGACATTCCTCAAGATCTTACTTTAGATAGTGAAAAGCAAGCCTTACTTCTTTCTCGAGTTGATGCCCAGGGATACATTAGTTTGTCTCTTCTTCAAGACTTACTTCATGCCCAGGCCATTGCTTGTTTGGCCAAGAACTCATTGAAAGACATTGCAGTGCATGCTCTGACCGGCCGTTACATTGACCCCAAGAAAGAAGGACCGGCTGGTCTTCTCCATCTAGCCAAAACACCTTATATCCGGCACATTCTGATCAAGTACATGGAAGGCCGGCCAGAGTACAAAGTCTTTGCTACTGTTCTTCCTGAACTACAAAGTACTCTTCCGGCTCCCCATCAAAAAGAACCTAAGCTTTGGCCCCGATCAGTACCACGAGTAGTAACTGCCCAAGCTACAGAGACTGAGCATAAAGAAGATCTCCGACGAACCGGACGTCTTATTGCCCACCGAGCAGTTGCCTCGGGAAACATTGAGGAAGAAGAAGTGACTCTTGATAAATACCCTCTAGATGACCTTCAGCGCATAGCCAAGTACTTCTTCATTGAAATCAATCGGTTTTGGAAGTCTGATAAGGAAGTGATTTCTAAACATTTTGAAAGTGTTCTAGATAGTTTTACTCTCTTTTTATCTCTTAAAGAGGCTATCTTTGCCGAAACAGTTCTTTTTGCCTATCTCAACTGTCATCCAGAGCCATCTCCCAGTGCTATTCTGGTCCTTAAAGCCGTCTTTATCCAGAAGTTCTGCCAGGCTAATGAGAGTAGTCTTACTAGAATTATCCAATCATTCGACCAACTTAATCACTTGCCCCATCTTGTTCCTTCACTAGCCGAAGCTCTGGACTCTATTCCCACTACTTATTTGGAATCTTTCTTATCTCTAGAAGAGAGTACACTTCTCTTCTTAGCCACTTTAAAGCACTTAGTGGGTAAACGGACTTATCCTGAACATTCACTTGCTATTGCTCGGTCGTTAAGTTTATTAGAATCACGTAATGATGATACAGTACGCAGTGCTTTAACTTTGCTCAAAGAAGAGTACTTGGCCGCTCCAGAAGCTGATGTATCACAAACTATTCTGGCTGCAGCCTTCCGCGCCCTCTTTTTGCGAACCAAACTTGATGCCGCCGGAGAAGTAGCTCTAGCCATTATTCAGCACGCCATCTTTACTAATGGGTACTCCCTTACGCACCAGCAAGTAGATGACCTTACCTGCACGATCAAGTACGATCTCTACCATTACCAGCACTTACTTCTTCATTTCATTGCCGACTTACCGGCCGAGGAACTCATGGAGATAATCAACAAAATCAACACACCCGAAGCTCGATCGGCCCGACCAGCAATCAAAAAGGCCATCAGTCTTTTCCAGCCCGCGCCACGTGAAGGCATTCGTATTCTATCTCGCTTACTTGCCCAAGCCCGTACGGGATCTATTCGAGATCGACTTTTTGTGTTGGATATTATTGCTGATAACATGGCCAAGTTCGTGCAAGGCGCATGGTTCACTCTCTTCTTACAAGTATCCGAGCTAATTGCTAATGAAGAGTCTCTTGATATAACAACCAAACTTATCTCTCTACTTCGTACGATCTATAACGCCACTCCTAACAAAGTCCAAATCAAAAACCTGTACCGGGAGTGGAAGCAAAAGTCTAAACTGCAAGAACTTGTGGCCAAAATGTCACCCGTCTTTTCAAAACAAAGACTAGAAGAGTCTGAAAACCACTAACCTCCCACTAACACACCACTAAAATAATAGACATACCACTACCAACCCACGACCACCAAACCAATAAACACACAAACGTTTAATATTAAGTGACGTCATAATTGTCCGCATACTAACTCAATCCAACCACATATTAATATCAACTTACTTAACTCAATATCAATTTACTTAACCCAATATCAACTTACTTAACCCAACACAATACTAACACAATACTAACACAATACTAACACAATATCAACTCAATACCAACACAATATCAACACCAACACAACACAACTAACCCAATTTAACCCAAATTTTCTTCATTAGCACATACTATGTTAGTAACTAGAGAAGATGCGATTGCTCGAGCAGCCGTAAGATTGGGAAAACTAGTTGAGTATGGTGGAAAGGAAACAAAAGACATTATAGAGCGGTTTAATGCGGTGGCTTTACGAGAAATGAACATTTCGGCTGAAGCACTTATGAATGCACTTGGCCAACTTTTCAAATGCGACTCGATGCAAGCCACTGAGAAGTTCTTAGTTCTAGATGTCTTCTATGATTTACTAGTGGATTTAGTAAGCCGGCGTGAAGAGATAGATTTGGGCGAAATTCCAGCTAGTCTTATGAAGATGAAGTTCATGAAGAATGAAAAGCATATTGAAAGAGCGATTATTGTTTATCTTAATGTGATTGTGCTTCTTTTACAAGTCAAAAACACTCAAGAGCACCGGATCAATATTTTCAAAGTGTTCTGTACTCTATTCATGACCAAGTCTTTCATTACTAGTACGCGTTGTGGTTACTTGATTCCCCATATGTTTAAGGAGTTCTTGAAAGGTCATCCGGAATTTATTGATAATCTACTGGATAATGAAGATAAGTTGGTTCTTTGTCCGCCCTTACTAGAAGCCGTTCTTTCTTCGCATAGCCAGATGAACAGTCGGTTATCACGTGTGATAGTGGTGGATTTCATTAGGCGTAAAACTAACTCAACTGTTCTCTCCTCAGTTGGTAAGGGGTTCTTAGACCCCTTCTACTACCAAGTCTACATGGAAAGAGAAACTGCGCCAGTGGAAACTCTAACACCTATTCTAAGCCAGAAGAAGTTCTTGGAGTACTTAGTTCTTGATACGTCCTTGCGGCTCACGGGCAAGAATATCTTAGATCGTACGATTGAAAAGATTCTTATGTCAGGGCCAATCCATCTAGTTCGAATGATTCGAAGCAGTGACGAACCAGAAGGTTGTGCTTATTGTCCTGTTGCCAATGACTTAATGAAGCACACGCAGACTAAAACTGAGTTGGAAGGACTTTTGGCCGAGTTCAACAAATCGGGCGCACTAGAACCGATCGTGACTTATCTCAAGTCGATTGGCTTTACTGAACCCGAGTTAGCAGCGGCCAGATACTTACGTGCCCATCCCGATACGAATTTATACATGCTAGGAAAGTATATTGGCAAGGAAAACCACCAGAACTTCCTTGCGGCCTTCTGCCAAAGCTTCTCTTTCATTGAGCATAGTATTCTATCGGCCCTTCGTGTCTTTCTGTTATGTTTCAACCTACCGGGCGAGGGACAACAAATCGAACGCATTATCTATGCTTTCTGCACACGCTATGCCGAGGAGAAGAAGCAGCACTTTGATACGATTCTTTCAGTAGCCATGTCAATCATCATTTTAAACACTAGCATCCATAATGTGAATATGGTTAAGAAGATTACCTTGGAAGAGTTTACCTCTATTGTTCGTGGTGACTGTCCTAATGTAGAAACTGATTATTTAGAGAGCATATATGAGCAGATCAAAAACCAAAAGCTGCAGGTTCCTCAGTCTAATGCTGCTTCCGTGGAGAACATTGATAGTATTGCTGCCCAGTCCGAGGCAGATGAAATGTTGCATAAAGAACGTCTGCCTAGACAGCCTGGAAAGTACTGTAGTCGTTGTAGCCAAATTGTTCATCTCTACATTCTTGAGCGCTATCAAATCAAAAATTATCTTATTGAAAACAGTTCGAACGCTGAAATCAGGGAGTTTATTGCTTTATGTATGCGTATCAATGCTCGGGCTATTGCTTTTAGTGTGATCCAAGACTCTCCCGATCTTAACTTTGTGCTGAGGTTGGTTTATGACTATCGCCACGAAATTCTTCATCTCTGGAAGTGTTTTGTCTCAACTCTATCGGCTCTCTGTGCAGCTAAAGAAGAATCACCTAATGGATCTCGTTTCTTCCGCACTATCTTTGCTTTTGGCAAGGAGACCAAAAAGGACAAGAAAACGATCTTTTCCGATAGTGAGTTAGATGAAATTTTATCAGTAACCAGTACGTTTTCAGATAGTTCGCTTACGGAAGTGGCTATGGATTTGCTTGCGGAGTTGGAAAAGTCTAAGTCCAAAGCTCTTGCCCAAGTGGCTTATCTCCTTGTCTACAAGAACCTTCAGCGCATTCATTTACTTACACCACTACTGGAGATATCTATCTCGTCCGCTCTATTCTTGCCTAAAGAGTTCGTGGCCATCTGCAGTGCTGCTCCTTTACTTGAGATGGTTGAGCTGCTATCAGATATTTCTTACAAAACCTCTAAACACACTTCTTCTGTTGTTCTGGCCGTTCTCCAGCACATCACCAACCGGTTTATCGAGCATCCTCCAACTGCCATCGAGATGGCAAAGACCGAAAAGTGGCTTATCACTCTAATCAGTTCGGAAGCTTTCAAACACCGCGAACAAGAAATACTCCAAAATATCTGGGATGCTATCGAGCAGCTAGCTCTACAGATAGACAGTTCGGGCCATGATTCCTTCGAAGTGTTTATTAAGCTCAAAGACATACTGAAAGAGAAGAATAAGCTTGTGATCATCACCAATACTCAAATGTACTACAAGAGCATCAACCGAGTACTTCTATGCTTAGATCTCGTGCAGAACGCCAAAAACAAAGAGACTGAAGCTCTACTACTCCAAGTCTTTTCCGATCTGCTGGAAAAAGATCTTGAAGGCATTGCTAGTATCCTTGAAAGTTGTGAAAACGTTCTGGAAAAGACACCCATCCACGAACCGCTTGGAAGACTTCTCTATGAGAAGATCAAAACTGATGATGGACAAAGCACCAAGTACCTCCAAAAACTCTTCTCTAAACTCAACATCAAGGCAACTGATACCGAAGAAGTGATCGACCTTTAATCATTCAATAAATACGTTCGTTAAATACAACAAGCAGTAGTTGGTCATAATTTTGTTATCTCTATCTAAGCTAAGGAAACTCCATGTCGTATTTATTGGGCTTGGCTTTGTTCAAAGCTCAGCTAAGTTTAATTAAGGTCTTGTTGGTCAGATATGTGATTCACCAATGAATCTTGCTAATTTGGGTTGGGCTAAATTTCACTTCCTCTTTAGGCTCTGGCTAAGATTGTAACTGTTATCATTAGTTGCGTAAGGTGTTTTTAACTATATCATTACCCCGTGCCTTCCGTCCTTTCCTACCGGATCTCTTGCCGGACCTGGATACTTTTGTTGAGGACTTCTTTCTCCGGTGACTGTTTTGGGCTAGGGATCTGGAGTTTTGTGTATTTCCTTCTACTACCCCTTCTTCAGCTTTAGTTGATTCACCTTCGCCATTTGCTTGTGGAGCTTCCTGGTTTGTGTTACTTTCTGGCTTCTCTTCTTTAGCTTCTACCCCTTCTTCAGCTTTAGTTGATTCACCTTCGCCACTTGGTTGAGAAACTTCCTGGTTTGTGTTACTTTCTGGCTTCTCTTCTTTAGCTTCTACCCCTTCTTCAGCTTTAGTTGATTCACCTTCGCCACTTGGTTGAGAAACTTCCTGGTTTGTGTTACTTTCCGGCTTCTTCTCTGTAGTAGTGTTTGTATTGACCGGTTCTTGCATAAGTTGCTTTGGCCCAGTAGCTGGAACAGGAGCTTGTTGGCTTGGGTTGTTTACCAGCTTCTCAAATCCCGTATTCGTCGTGCCTGATAACATACGCTTGACTTCAGGTGACAGAGTACATGTCTTGCCAGCCATCGAAGTAGAGCCGGGTTCTTGCATGACTTGCTTTGGCCCTGTATATGGAACAAGAGCTTGTTGGCTTGGGTTGTTTACCAGCTTCTTAAGTCCCGTATTCGTCGTGTCTGATAACATACGCTTGACTTCAGATGACAGAGTACATGTCTTGCCAGCCATAGAAGTAGAGCCGGGTTCTTGCATAACTTGCTTTGGCCCTGTATATGGAACAAGAGCTTGTTGGGTTGAATTACTTTCTGGCTTCTTCTCTGTAGTAGTGTTCTTGTGTTTGTTCACAAGCATAGACGGCTCTTCCTTGCCATTTGGTTGAGGAGCTTGCCCTTTCGTTTCATCCCTTTCTTCTGACTCCACACCAAAGCTAGCCTTTGAGTGCACGATCCCAGAGACCGGCTCGCCATTAATACTGCTCTCTTCCATCATTTTACCGCTTTCACTAGCTTCCTCGAGAACTGTGCTGCTGTTTCCCCCAACACTGCGGGTTGTTGTACTTAGTGCTGTCTTATTACCATTCAGCCCAGCTGTAGCTGAACTCCTAAGACCATTACCCGGCCATGATGGCATAGTCTGCAACAAATATACTGCACCGCCAATGAACAATGCTGATGCACCTATCACTAATATAAGAACTAGTATTTTGTTGTTTTTTCTTTCTTCCATAGATAAGAAGCTTGTTTTTGATTTTATAGTTATCTTTTAATTAATTTCGTCGCTCAACTTAGTCATTAATTATAATACTCCCTGTATAATATAATCTCCATGGTCTCAATTGGTCGTCCTTATAATATGCTTTCTTGCCTATATCTAATACACAATTATACCCGCCCCTGAATTTATTCGTCCAAGATATGATTTCACATGCAACATATTACTATCTTTGGATTTGTGTTTTAAAACAGCAAATAATCACAAGCAAGAGCTAGATAGATAAAGTTTATTTCAGTTCAGAAAACATGCGGTGTGTGAAATTGGGTTAGTGTCTATTACAGAAGGCTGTGCTTATTTCAATCGCCAAAAGTATCCTAGACAAGCTACATTGTCAAATATTCCAAATACGCATGGCTCTATTTCAACCCTCATGCAGCACAGATATGAATAAAGAAGATCAGACGGTGTTAGAGGATCTTTTCTTATCTTTATACTATACTGTAGTGTTGTCATACGACCACTATCACAATACTAATACGACCAATTTGGTCACTACTTACTATTCACTAGTTAGTACACACTACTTACTAACACTAACACTAACTTAGTATGACATTATACTCACACACCCGTATTTACTCAATAAATGGTACCCACATTTATCTCAAGGAATATCTTTAATAGAGTATGTATTAGTTAAGATGAACTTAGTATTAGGCACTACAGACACAACCTAGTATATCTATTGTCCCAACCCAAACCGCAAATTATCGCTATCTAAAGCTATGCCAGAAATTAAATCGTTTATTGGATCAATGCAACTTCATAAACTTATGAGGCTCTTCATTTAATAGCAGATGAACCCATTAGTTCTTTGACTCCTTGGTAGATTAAGACTTCTTGGTTTGGTTAGAGGCGTCTGCTGAGTTAGATGAGCTGCCTGGCCGGGTTGAATCACCAGCAGTTTGAACTTGTTCTGGTGCAATAGCTGGCTTCGCTGCTTGCTTTGAATTATCAGTAGGTGGAACTTGTTCTGGTGCAGTAGCTGGCTTCGCTGATTGTTTCGAATTATCGGTAGGTTGAACTTCTTCTGGTGCGTTAGATTGAACTTGTTCTGGTGCGGTTGGTGGGTTTGCTGATTGGGTTGAATCATCGGTAGGTTGAACTTGTTCTGGTGCAGTAGCTGGCTTCGCTGCTTGCTTTGAATTATCGGTAGGTGGAACTTGCTCTGGTGCGGTTGGTGGGTTTTCTAATTGGGTTGAATCATCGGTAGGTTGAACTTGTTCTGGTGCGGTTGGCTCAGTCTTGTCGCCTGCATTATTAACAGATGTGTTTGATTCATTAGTCGGACCGTTGGTTTTATCGGACTCTTCGCCACCATTAGACAGCTCAGATGCGCCCGCCGCCTTTTTATAGCTACCCGGGGTTTCTTGTTTGGTCAAAGCTGGCTCTGTTCTATGCTGTGTCGATATTTTGCTGCCAGTTAAGATGACATTTCCAGCAAGGCCTCCACTTGAGCTGCCATTAAAACTTCCGCCGCCATTAGAACCTCCATTGCCATTCGAGCCTCCATTGCCATTAGAAGCTCCACTGCCATTAGAAGCTCCATTGCCATTAGAACTTCCACTACTATTAGAACTTCCACTACTATTCTGGCTATTTGAGAACAAACCGTTTGAAGATGCGTCCGTTTGCATCCAATATACCGCAACACCTACACCAAAAGCTGTTACTGCCAGTAGTGAAATAACAACAATGAATGCTTTGTTGCTTTTGTTTCTTTCTTCCATAGATAAGAAACTAGTTTTTGTTTTATAGCTATCTTTTTAATTAACTTCAATTAATTGGATCCATATTGACATTACCATCAACTACCCCTAGGTGTCTTTGTATTTAATCTACTCCTAATACTATCCCCATCCAATTCCACTCCAACTCAATCCAACCCAATCCAAACTAATACTCTAAAGCTTTCTTTATTGCTATGTGAAGAAGTAGACAAGCTTATCTTTTCCGCCCGCCACAATCATGGCCTCCTGAATATCAATGGCAAATACTTGGTCCTTGCACACAAAGTCAGATAACAACTTTTTCTTCTCAACCGAGTAGACCTTAACTGTTTTGTCGGCCGAAGATGAAACCAATAAATTACCCGTTTTGGAAAACTTAGTCTGATAAGCCAATGACGTATGCGCTCGATAGATATGAGCTAAATACCCGTTCATCGAAGTCCACAACCTAACTGTCTTATCAAATGATGAAGTCGCAATATGAATCCCATTATTAGATATACTAACACAAGTAATAATGTCTTTATGACCAACCAACTTCTTTTTAGCCATAAACCGCCAAGTACCATCTTCCTCCCATTCCGTCCGCCAAATAATACCCGTCCGATCATCACTCGTACTCACCAAGAAACTCTTCCCTGATCCAAAGACGTACTCGTTCTTGTTCTGTAAGAACCGCCCCATATCTGTCCCATTATGCACGGCTAAATTAGTCACATTCTGTGTATGTCCTTTCAATGTTTGCACTAGAGTTCCTTCTCGGTTAGTCACTTTAATACTGAAGTCCCGACCGGCAGATAGTAAGTAGTCTCCAAAGTAAGCAACAGTTATCACTGGCTTTTCATGAAAGATACTTCTAAGATGACCAGCCAGTCCCCAAATCCCAGCACTAGAATCCCGACCTGCCGTAGCAAACTTCTCTGAGTCTTTCCGCCAGGAAATAGATGTAACTCCATCCCGATGCACCTTTTTCGAATAGATGATCTCCATTTCCGGCACACTGATCAATGATACACCTCCATCCATAGCACCTGCAGCTACATACTTAGAATTCGGCGAGAACTCTACTACCTGCACCCAGTGATGATGAACTCGGATGGCTTTAAGTGGTGATTTAGTAGAACTACACCAAAACCGCACTGTTCCATCACCAGAAGCCGAACAAATGTATTTACCACACGGACTGCCTTTAACCGATAGAATAGCAGCTTTATGGCCAGAACAAGAAGAAGCCATGTATCCAGGTGCACGTGTTTTCTTCTCTGGTTCATCTGGGTAGCAATAAATCTTCAAAGTCTCTTCATTAGTTGCTCGTTCGCTTTTAAGTGCATCTGCTAAAGATGTAATGATTTCTGATCCAAAGACAAACATTCTTATCTGATTATTCTGATTAATTTCAGGGGGTAACAGTTGGTAGAGTGATTCTTTAGTGATTGATACGGGTAATTGCACTACAGGACCCAAAAGAACGTCATCATGAGAAACAAATTGTGCAATGACTTGTGAATCCATAAAATTTCTGCTAATCGCCATCATAAATGACGTCATTATGATATGAATTGGGTTGGTTTGTGTTAGTATTGAGTTGGTATTGAGTTGGTATGGTTTGAGTTAGGATTGAGTTAGTTTGAGTTCGTATTTAATTGGTGTGTAGATAGATGAATAAAGGAGTAAATTATGAATTGAAATTAAAGTCTTCATAATTGGATTGGTATTTGGATTAGATTTGGATTTAGTTTGAGTTTAGTTTAGATTTATATTGGTTTTGGCTTGATTTGATTTGGTATTAGTTAGTTTGACTTAAGTTTATGTTAACATGGGATAGATAAGATAAGATTAGAATAGATTGAGATAGGATAAGATGAGATGAGATGGGAAGAGGATAAGATTGGAAGAGGATTAGAATAGGATAGGATAAGATTATAATATGATGATAACAGTATTAGAATAGATAAGGTGAGATGGGAGTAAGATAAGATACGAGTGAGTTAAGATGGAAATAAGATAAGGCATGAATAAGATACAAATAAGTTATGAATAAGATATGATAGGAGGTGTGGTGGTTGTTTTATAATTGTAAGTAGTAGATCTATTTATTGACTATTTAAGGACGAGAGGCGTATCTTTGGATTGGAAGGTAAACCGACACTCAAGATTCATAGAGATTAGCTCAGTTAAGAGATACTTAAAGACATAAGGAAACTCAGTGCGTACAATATTACGGGCTGAGTTACAAGTCGTGCATTTCCAAACTTGGAAGAAACAAAGAGTATTACACTCACGGCAAATATTCATAATAGTCCCATCACTACATTTCATCATTCGGTCTTGAATAAGTGAAGAAGCACCATGAGAGATAAGAACATCCCGTTCCATTTCTCCCAAACGAATACCTCCAGCTCGTTTTCGTCCACCAATCGGCTGCTTAGTAAGATTATGAATAGGACCAGTAGTTCTAACTTGGAACTTATCATTAACCATGTGCCGCAATCGCTGATAGTAAACAATTCCAAAGAAGATCTCTACTTTAAGTGGCTTACCAGTCACTCCCGAGTAAAGAGTTTCTCCTCCACCCCGACGGTATCCATGCGCTTCCAATAAATCACCAAAGTACTCATGAGCTTTCAAAGACTCGCCATACTTGAACATAGAACCATCTTGGAACTCACCAGACATAGCTCCAACTTTAGTAGCCATATTCTCAATGAACATCCCAATAGACATTCGACTAGGGAAGGCATGAGGATTAATAATAAGATCGGGTGTAATACCAGATTCAGAGAAGGGCATATCTTCATCTTCATAAAGAATAGAACAAACACCTTTTTGACCATGACGACTACTGAACTTATCTCCGATAGTAGGAATACGTGGAATACGTGACTTAATAAGAGCAGCACGTTTACCAATCTCAGAATTAAAAACAGCAACAGAATCAATCCGCATCTCTTCCATACTTTTGTTTTTAGTCGGAACCTCAGTAAAAGTCTCTTCATCACGAATTGTATAGATAGTGTCCTTATCTTTAATTACTTGGGCAATTGAAGGAAGACCATCTTCACTCTGTAAAGTACCTAGATGTAAGGATTTAGTCTTATCTAAATTGATTGATTCAGATTTCAAAATTGAACCTCGCATAAACCCTCTATCAACACTAGCCTTATTCAAAATAACTGCATCTTCCAAATCATAACCCGTATATGAGATAATGGCAATCATAATATTCTTACCAATCGGATAGTCTTTGAGTTGGTAGTTCTTATAGATATTAGTATGGAAGAGAGGAATTTGCGGATATTCGAACTCATAAGTCTTCTGATCAGTCCGGTACTTTTGCGAGTAAGGCGGAGTCCCCATTGATTGCTTAGCCATTTGGCACTGGTACATATTTCGAGGACTCGGATTAAGATTACCAAGTGGAGTTGATCCGGCTACTAAACTCAACATATTAGTCTTATCTATTTCTTGATGAGTAGCTAGAGGAGTAGGTGTACCCCCAAGATTTTGTAGTTGTAAGAAGACTTGTTCAGTTGTTCCTATGTACTCTGTTTTGTTTTCTTGGTAATTATGAACTGGACGCATTAATCGGTTGGGAGAATTGATTAAAAAGATAGACTTTTGGGAAGCAGGTCCATTTTGATAAAACACTTCTAGATAGATATACTTTTGATTTTGAACTTTCTTTCTTCTAATCAAACTAACAAAATTATCAGCTTCATCTTCGGCGACAAAGCCAACTACCTGGCCATTTTGCACTACCGGTACACCCTTAATATAAGCACCCCAAGAAAGAACTAGACCGCATTCTACTAAGTCCTGAACGGGCATACGTTTTAGTTCGTAAGAGATTTCACACTGATTAGATAGATGGGTAAGTAGTCCACAAGGTGAACCATCTGGTGTATGTACGGGACAAAGGAATCCCCAAGATTCAGGTAAGAGTTTACGTACGGTTGTAGTTCTTATCTCCTGGAAGTAAGCCCCACGATGAACCGAACGGAAATGACTGAAGAACCGCCAGAAGTTCAAACGTTCAGCTATAATAACAAACCCAGCTTGTTGCATACTGGCAAAGTTAGCTAAGTTGCCAATACTAAGTATACCCGTACTGATCAACCGATTAAATACCGAAGAAATATCAAAGAAAGCCGCTTTAAACAGACTATCTATCAACTTAGTATCAGTAATTGGTCGAGAACGAATGATAACATTACCTAGTACGTATCCCATTAAATTACGGCGCATAATCACTAAACGATCAGCGAAAATTTCCGTAAAGATATCTCCAGGCGTAATAACTTCATGCATCATTACTGAATCAGAATTATCAGGAGTGATCTTTTCAGCCACTTGTAAGAAGAGTTTAGATAGACATAAAATCAACAAATTATACTTATCTTCATTCTTCTCCAAATGAACGGCTAAAGTCTCTCTTAAAAAGCGTTCGCCATACTCAATATCATTTTCAAGATAGATATGGTTTTTGATTAGATTTTGAATTTCGGCCGGTTCAGTAGGTATACTCCTTTTCTCTACAGTTGTGGTACGGGCTGGACCATCAAGTAAAATAGAGTGGGAAGTTACTTCAAACAAAACTTTGAACCATTTGCCCAGATAAGCCAGTGCTTCGTTTTGAGTATAACTCTTATGAAAGGCAAAGCTCTGAATTAACAAATCGGCATACTGAACCATATCTGGATCATCATTTAAAGCAGCACATAAATCACGATGTATTTCCTTATCAGTCCGACCAGAAAGTGCTCTAAGAATTGGGGTTAAAGGAATATAGTACTCCCTCATCCCATAACGAACTTTAACACGCACTGAATGATCTGATAGATAGTGTAAAACAAAAATACTAACTCGACCATCCAATCGGGCCGACTTAAATCCAACGGCATGACTAGTACCATTCTTAATCTTCTTAGCCAAAGAAGGCCGAAACAAACCATAAGGCACATACTTCTTCTGAGTCTGAATAAAACGACACAACTTCTCTAATCCGTTACAGATAAAGTAGCCTCCTAAATCATTAGGATCTTCTTTAGCTTTAATACGCATATCAGCCGACATACCAGCCAAATGGCACAAGTCACTGCCAAGCATAATAGGCAGAGTACCTATACTAACGGTTTTTTGGCTACACATACCATTTTGATCGATCACTAGATTAAGTCTTATCTCACCACGATAAGTACGAGCAGTTTGTCGGCACAAAGAAGGTAAAGCTGGGATCGATCTAGTAGTCTTTTTAGTCTTTCCATCGACAAGTAACGGTTTATCTATTTGAATAGAATCGACTGAAATCTTCAAATGATTTTCAAACTTATCTCTAATTGATACTGGTTCAAATTGTCTAGCCATACGAGGTATAGATACATTCAAAAAATGGTTAAAGGAATTGATATGGGGAATTGCCAAATCTGCTGTATTCCGAGTCATAATAAACCAGCAAAAAAAAATAGCATAAAGAGATCTCTTCCTTTATCTTTCGTGTACTTTCCTTTGATTTTAATGTCGTACTTCTTTTCCTTGTTCTTTCCAATCTTAATTCTCTCTTTCTCCTCTATTTTCTCATCATTTATCATCTATTTTCACAACAATTTTGAAATCACTTTTTAAATCACATTCATAACTTCATCTTAAGTTTAGTTTGAGTTTAGTTTAGGTTAGGTTAAGTTTAGTATTTGAGTTAAGTTGATTTGGTATTTGAGTTAAGTTAAGTTGAGTTAAGTTAAGTTGAGTTTAGTTTAGCATTGGGTAGAGTTAAGTTAAAGTTGAGTTTAGTATTGAGTTAGGTTAAGTTTGGTTAAGGTTGAGTTTGGTTAAGGTTGACTTAAGTTAAGGTTAAGTTAAGTTGAGTTTGGTATTGGACGGAGTACTAATCCAAATATCAACCTAAGCTAAACTAATCCAAATATCAACATAAACTAAACCAATTCAAATATTAAACGACTACAATTTAATTCAATCTAAATACTACCACCCTATCAAAACACCAACCCAACACAACACCAACACAACCCAATACTAACACAATACAAACACTACTGCAATCTAATTCAAAACAACACGACACTAGCCCAGCTAGATACTTCAAAATTAATTTCATTGGTTAGTATACATGACAAAACACAACACTCTAGAAGATCCAAATGCTAATGCCTGTGCCGTACAAAGGGAACAAGAAGAGACCAGACGTAGACGTGAAAAGGAAGACCGCGAGAAAGAGGAACACGATGCTTATCTACGCAGAATTCGTGAACTTATTCAAGAAGACAAAAAGAGTAATGCTGAAGCAGCTCTTCTTAAAGGCCAACTAATTGAACAGTCTGTTGTGACTACTAAAACTCCAATTGTTCCTCTTCAGTCTACTCATTGTGCCTATTTACCTAAAAAGGAAATTGCCGACCAAATTACCATCAAACTTATTTATGACGCCAGACTAACCAATGTTGTTTCCCTCAGCCCCAGCACTACTCTAGCCGATCTCCAAGCTCAAATCAAGCAACATTTCGGACTCAAAAAGTCCAAAATCTACACCATTCCCAAAGGAGAACTTGATCTCAAAAACACCCAACTAACTCTAGCCCAACTTGGCATTGAGAACATGGACGTCCTCCACATCCAAAAGGGATAACCCAACCAATAAACGTACAAAGTCTTCATCACTACTTTCACTTAAGTTACCCAATACTAACCCCATATCATCTAACATAGATTGTCTAATACAGATTATCCAATCAAAATCAACTAATGTATATCACCTAATCAAAATCAAACATCACCTAACCAAAACCAAAACCAAACATAACAAAACCTAATCAAAACCCAACCACACCACACCTAACCCAACCCAACCCAACCTAATTCAACTTAACTTAACGTATATCAAATAAAATCAAAATTCAAACCAAACTTAACGCATACCAAATAAAATCAAAATCAAAATTCAAACCCAATATCAACTTAAGTCAACTTAACTTAATACAACACCAACTTAACCAAACACTAACTCAACCCAATACTAAACTCAACTCAAACCAACTCAATTCTAAATACTTTTTCTTTTTAGCCCATTTAGATGGAGTCTTCACTAACTAATACTCTGATTGACTTTTTGGAAGGAAATCATTTAAGTGGAAAGAGATTCTACGTGGAATCCATGCAAAGAGCGATTGAAGAGAACAGACGGGCTATTCCAATTCGATTTTCGGATGTTTTAGAGTATAATCAAGAGATTGCGATTGCGATGAAGAGAAGTTTTGCCCGAGTTGAGCCAGAATTAAGAAAAGCACTAGATATGGTAGCGGCTAAACACTTTCCAGAATTTGGAGATAAAGGTGTACGCAACAGGAAAGAGTCTTTTATGCCTTGTATTTATGGTTTAGATATGCTTTATTCCGTACGAGATCTTAAAACTGAACTATTGGAACAACTAGTTTCCTTTTCGGGTATTGTTACTCGTACAGCTCAAGTCCGGCCAGAGTTACTAGAAGGAACCTTTGTCTGTTTAGAGTGTAAAGCAACTATTAAGAAGGTTTCACAAGAAAGGAAGTACAGACAGCCCATGCACTGTCTTAATCCCATGTGTATGAACCGTAGTAAGTTTAAGCTAGTTGTTGAGGATAGTCTCTTCTGTGACTGGCAGAGAATTCGTGTGCAAGAACCGGTGGGTGAAACAGAGAATGCCCATGTAATTCCCCGAACGATTGAAGTTCTATTACGTGATGATTTAGTGGAGTTAGCTAAGCCTGGGGATAATTTAGTGGTAACGGGGTACTTGATGGCTGCTCCTAGTACTCGGGATGTATTAGGACATAGTAATTCGGCTAAGGTCGGGTTGAGTAAAATGCCTGAAGCTGAAGCTAGTCGGGGGAAGAGTTTACAAAGTCAGAGTATTAATCATGACTTGGTCTTTAGGGCCGTATCTATTTCTCGGGTGCAGTACGATCCATATACTTCTTTGATTGATAAGAGCAAAGATAAGGGAGAAGAGTTGTTATCTCCTATGGATAAGATCAAAGTTAATGCGATGTTACAAACACCTGGACTACTTACTAAACTGGCTAATAGTTTGTTTCCTTCTATTTGTGGGCATGAGAATATTAAGATAGCTATTCTGTTGATGTTAGTGGGGGGAACTTCTAAGAAAACAGCTGATGGTATTTCCTTAAGAGGAGACATTAATATTCTACTGGTGGGAGATCCGGGGACGGCTAAGTCACAATTATTGAAGCAAACGGTTTCTTTGGTAGATCGTGGGGTGTATACGAGTGGGAAAGGTTCAAGTGCAGCTGGTTTAACGGCTAGTGTGGTTAAGGATGAAACGGGAGAGTTTAGTATTGAGGCGGGTGCACTTATGCTTAGTGATAGTGGAGTGTGCTGTATTGATGAGTTTGATAAGATGGATGAGAAAGACCGAGTGGCTATTCATGAAGCTATGGAGCAGCAGACGATTACTATTGCTAAAGGAGGTATTCATGCTACACTAGGGGCAAGAGCTAGTATTTTAGCGGCTGCTAATCCGGTTAAGGGACGGTATGATTTGAAGAAGACTTTACGCCAGAATGTTCGGCTTAGTCCACCAATTATGTCTAGATTTGATTTGTTTTTTGTTTTGATAGATAGTATCAGTATTGAGCACGATCAGATTATTTCTAACTATATTTTGAAAAACCATATGAACTATCCCCAAACAACGGAAATAGTTGATGTACCTTTTACTACCAATGATGTTAAGACTTTCATTAGAGCCGTTAAGTATAAGGAACCTTCTATTTCTAAGGAGGCTGAACAAACTATGCTGGAGAAGTACTTAGAGATTAGGAGGAACAATAGCAATCACTCATTTGCTCCAACACCACGACAGTTAGAGAGTATTATTCGACTAAGTGAGGCGGTGGCTAAAGTCTATAATCTAGATGTTGTTACGCCTGAATGTGTTGAGCAGGCTTTCTTACTTGTGTCTGGATCGATAATGAACATTATTAGTGATGACATTAAAATCACGGTTAGTGATCAGGTGGGAGAACGAGAAGTACTTGTATCCTATGATGAGTATATTAAGATGACTTCTGCTTTGATTTACATTATGCAAGCTAAGAGTGCTAGTGAGCCGCTTACTAAAGATGATCTTATTCGTGAGTATATAGAGAAGCACGAGTATGCCATTAATACGGAAAGTGAGTATCTTGATCTGCAGAACAAAGTCTTAGCACTTATCATGCATTTAATTAACAAAGAAGGCGTCTTCTATATTGATGAGGAGAGTGATCGTGTCTATTTACATCCGAATTATAACAGTATCTGATTAAGTCAGTTACAAGATATTAAAATAAACCGTTTATTTAATGAGAGATTAAACTATAAGATACTACAGACCAAGATATTAAACTAAAAGCCTTCAGAGAAAGGTTATCCTCATGACTAATCAGTGAGATTCCCGCTTTTCTCTCATCATCAGGCAGGGGGTCTAAAAATAAAACGAGTATCTACTGGATTAGTTAAGTTTAGTATTAAGTTGGATTGAGTTAAGTTAGGGTGGTTTGGGTTGGGTTGAATTGAGTTGAGTTGAGTTAGTATTAGGCTGTGTTTAGATATGCGTGTGTTAGTATTGGTTTGGGTTGGTTAGGTTAGTATTGGGTTGGTTTGGGTTAAGTTGGTTTAGTGTTAGGCTAAGTTAGTGTGGTGGTAAGGAAGTGGATGAGTTAAATATTGCTAGTAGTGCTTTGGTTAAACGGCTTTTATTGGATTAGTGTTGGGCTGGTATTGGGCTGGACTGGTTGAATCTCTTGCTAGGTTGCTTAGGGTCAAGTTCATTGAAAGGGGTGGATGATGGCCGTTTTAGTGAAGATTTAAACGGGGTTAGCAATGGTGGTTGCGGGGGGTGGTAGGATTGTAGGGATTCTGGATAGATCACGACATGAGGTTTCTGGCAGTGGTTTAGGAAAAAGAGACGAAGCTCCTCTATGGTGATCGTCTGGAGAGTGGCTATAAACGTTTTCTGGTAGTGTAAGTCATTCCAAAACTCATCGCAGCCGAAGAGTATAGCTGTCTTATCGAAGATGTTGCTGGAGCTATTAACTTTAGTAAACGCATTCTGTATTTGTTGCTTGTAGGCATCAAACTGTTGAGGAGTGAGTTTGTAAAGCATCCAAAGCACGTATCTTTGATAGGCTATAGTTGTGCTGATAAGCGCATCAGAATCATATTGTCCGCTTAAAACATGATCCATAATAATAGTCTCATCGAAGATAGTAACCGACTGCACAAGATCATTGAGAATCCTTGGATCAAAGTTTAGCTTTGATAAAGCATGATAATCAGGCGGGGCTCCTGATGGGTTGTGGGGTGGGTTTGTTAGTTGCGTATATACCCAGGCTTCTATTTCTTGGATATTAGAATGGTTGGCGAGGTGTGTTGGTGGGAAGCAACCAAGCAATAAATAGTATGCCAGGATCTGGTAGTTGCTTTTTTGGATGGTTTGGTTTGGATTAATATGGAAATATCCAACGAAGGCTGAGATCTCTTTTGTTTTCGGTGCTTTGTGAGTGGATGCCTCGTGCAGGCTAATTAGTTCGTACTTAGTATATGGCTCGGGTTTAATGTGCTTTTTGACCGTTTTAATGATGGCATGGAAGAGGTTGACTGGCGCATTTTCAACTCTTATTTTGATTGAGGCTTTATTAACGGCCGATATGCCTAAGACAGTGTTGTTTTCCAAAATGTATTCGTAGCATTGCGCAGGGGTGTATAGAGGTATTTGCCAGATACGAGAGAACATGCATTTCTGTATAGGTCGTGATGATTGCTGGGCTTTGTTCATAAAGAAGTTATAGGCCTTAGACATAGCTCTGTCTTCCTGGGCGGCAGTGGCATGATGGGTTTTGTAGAGTAAAAAGAACACATCGAGTATATCGTTAATTCCTGTGTTCGATCCGCGAACAACAACTGTGATCTTGCCATTGTCACTAACCTCAGTCTCTATAAGCACTTTGGCCCGTTCCAGCCAGGGCTGATGAGAGGTTCTGATTTCATCTAATACTACTAGCACGCGAGCAAGGTGCCAGATATAGCTTTGAATGCTGTTAAGATACTCGATGGTATTGAGTATAACAATAGCTATTGCGTGGGGAGCGGGTTGGGAGCTGGCGAAAAAGCATGCTTTAAGACCGGGTTCGTTATGCCTGTTGTTGTATACTGTAGGGGGCGAGTTGCTGAGCGGATTAGCAGGAGGTATGTTGGATGGGGTTTCTGGGAAGAATTCAATCGGGTCGGGTAGAATCCGGAGTGGGGCTAGTTGTGGCCGCTTATTTGGCCTGGAGCTAGAAGTGGTGCTCTTTGGTTGAGGTGTGGGGCTGGAATTATGTGAGCTAGACTGCTGATTATCTAAAGGAGTCTGAGTTTGGCCTTGTTCAGGGGTGAAGTTACTTAGGCAGATAATGTTTTTGACTTCTTCGGCTTTCCTGGTTGTTTCTGGTATCGGTTGAACCATTGGGGTGGCGGATGCTCGTCCTGGCATTTGCCGCCAGTGAACATGGTTGAGTTTGCCGCATACATGCCAATTATTTCGGTCCATTGCTGTATCAACTAGGGCATCCATGTTGTAAGCCTCCATAGGAGAAGCCTCTGCCATGAAGACAAACTTAATGATATCCGCTGGGTCAATAAAGAACATCTGGACTGAGGCTAGATTGGCAAGAGCACCTAATAGTATGCCAGGATCTGGTCTCGAGCCGGGTAATATGGTTTCATTGTAGAACCGATATAAAGCCCCATCGGGTTGTCTGTAATATGCTTTGATCGCTTGAAGAAAACCTTCTATTAGATCTAGAACCTCAGGAATATGGAGTTCCTCAGTGCTGTCGACTTCGATGGTCATATAAATAGCTAGCATGGTTTCCAGAGAGATTAAAGGCATACTTTTGATCCGAACACCATTACTGAAGCGGGTTCGAAGATAATCGGTGTATAATAGGTTGCAATAGCCGAGTAGATGGTAGACGTCAGATAGGGAATGCATAATGTTGGTTATGACGCCATCAATCAATGGGATAAGAAGAGTAATTGTTGATTTTTCGGATGGACTTAAAGAACAGACCTTTTTAGGATATATCAGTAATTGAGGGGGATTAACCAAGTGATAGGGCGTTGTAGCATTAAATGGATACATTCTGGGTGATAGGCGTTGGTGATGCTGGTGGAACTGGCGATTTAGAAAGTTAAGTATATTGGTCGGTTTGTTGGGAGTAACCACTGTAAGTCGGCAATTCGGAAAAGAGAGCGTAGCGGCCCATTCCTTAGTGATTTGGGCATCGGAAAGATGGGTTTCGGGTGTGTCTGGCTGTGGGTTTGGAAAACATTGTTCTTTGACTTTGGCAATTATCTCTGGTGTTGGCGGGGAAAGAATAGATGAGTGTAGGAGTTTGAAGGGAACTAGAGATGTGAGACCATTTGAGGCGAACTCGATAGTGATGAAATTGCCGCTATCTGTGACTTTATGGGCCGCGGGATTGGCTAGGAATTCTCTACACTCAGGATTGCTGTTTTCGGGCTTTAGCTTGTGTTTGAGAAGTGCTTCTAAAAGGCGACTGAGATTCTTATCTCTGGTCGATGCAGTGCAGTGGTGCTTCTTGATAGAAATACTAATATGGGTGACTGGGCTATTGGGGTGGGCGATGATAAGGTATTTAAGACCATTGGGGAGAGTGGAATATTCGCATTTGAGTTGTTCTACACGTTGGCCGCCAACGTCCATACTTTGACTTGATATGTTAAACAAGCACAAGACGGCCAAGAGAATTAGACTTATCTTGGTTAGTAATCTTTTTGATCGTTTACCCATGGGTTAGAAATTAAAGACAAAAGCCCTAAATAAGGCAATATCCTCATCAGATTACCATAAAAGGAAATCTCCAAAATTAGAATTAAAATAGTGGCTGGTATGGAAGACCAAAATCATCTTGACATCATAACAATTTGATTTTCAACCCAATACTACCTCTTAATCAATAAATTAAACCCAATCCAATCCAACCCAATAGCAACACTATACATACTCTATTAAAGGCTTTTCTTGAGACCTGTGCTGACACCTTTTATTAGATAAAATATGGTTGTGAGTAAGAGTATGACGTCATATCAAATGTAGATAAAATATACAAAATAAAGTGGTCAAAGAACCCTGGTTCTACTAAATTTACGCGTTCGTAGTAGTGAGTAGTGAATGTCTTTGCCAGTGGTCAGATTGATTGTGTGAAATAAGAGTTTTGGTTAACATGGCAGCAAGACAATAGCCCCAAGCACATAGCCAGATGTAAGCACCAACCGGATTAAGTTGGTGGTGGGGCTGGTTTGCGAACACTAACCACTTTCTATCTCATCGCACATTGCTTGCTACTTTGTTTATAGTCTTGTTCTAGAGTTATTGGGTTAGTATGGTATTAAGATTAAAACAGTGGCCATAGATCAGTTTTGATCGAAGTAATAGGCATATATTTGGAGAATAGGAGAATAGAATGAAATTATCCTTTGAAGCATTAGGGGTTTGTCTGGCTTGGTTGTTGGGCTGGGGTGGCGACATGACTATAGCCGATGACGTAACAGCAGCAGAGTATGACAAGTGCATTCAGACGAGTAATGGTCGGATGTTTTTGGATAATGCCATTTGGTATGATACTAATCCAAACTGCAGACAGATAAACTATAATAATAGGGTGATACTTGACGCTACCGGACTGTCTAAACGGCATTTAGGGTATTGGGAGGATTTGCTGGCCTCCGGATTACTAAGTGAGTCCGACGCCACCCCAATTATTGGAATGATAGATAATTGCCACATAATTGACGAGCCGGATATTAAGAGGTGCGATTTTGACCCTGAGAAGGATTCTCTATCATATGCGTTGGATGCGACTGTAAAGGAGCTTGATTTTTGCCATAAACGGGCTTGTGACTATGCCGCAAGACTTGGAAACATAACTAAGAGTACTACGGGGTCTAAAATTATGTCTTTGATTAACTCCAGTTTGGTGTATAGAAGTAATCGTAGGATCAGAGTACTTGAAGAGGATGTTCTTAAGGATTATTTGAAGTGGTTGTTTTACTATAATCCGTTCAAGCCACTGGATTTTACTGAGGATGATATCAAAAAAGCGGTTGAGGTTTGGAAGAGACTGATAAATGAGCCTTCGTCATACATCACAAACCACTGTGCTGAGCACCAACTTAGACACTTCTTGTACGATGTACTAAAGATAAAGCTACTGGCCTCTAGCTTTTTAAACCTTTCTAATACCGAACAGGACATCTATGTCAATGGTACAATTCCCAGAGCAAATAAGGGCGTTATGAATGCTATCTTGCAACTGAACGTTATTGCTATCATAAAAAGCATGCCAACGCACGAAGCAGCCCAGAAGATATACAGAGATCTAGAGCCGATTACTCAACTAGGATGGTGGTATTATGAGCAATTTAAAGCAACTGACCTTAAGTACCGGTTGGAGGAGTTCCTTAATAGTATGTCTCCGCAGTATAGAGCTTTAGAGTTTCCGCTCGAGCAGATTAAGCAATGGGCAGAGGACATGAGAGCAGTAGCAGCCCATTTTGAACTTACACTGAATAAAACCAAGCGATTGCAAGCTGAGATTAAGCCATACTTAGCCAAAAACATGACAGCCAGCAGTATTCATGAATGTGTAGAATATGTAGCTAGCTCCTCATCTATTTCCTCGCCCAATCCTTGGTGGCTGCCCAATTCTCCCATCTTTCATGTAGCCATATGCAGCCTGTTCTGGGCCCGTCTCACTCATCTACTTGAACTATCTTCTTGATAGCTCCTCTTCTCACCCACTCAAGCACAGCAAGCTAAACCTTGTACATCCCATCCCAACACAACACAACTTTATCTCTTCTCTACCATCCCAATACCAACCTAACACAACCCAATCACATAGTATACGACTTGTTTAGTAATTACTAATTTAGTCATACTAATCTAGTCATCCAGCGGTTTTAGTATATGATGGGATTGGCCGAGGAAAGATGTCTTACACAGAATACTAATACTTATGTTGGCACGGCCAAGTGGATTTTATTGCCTAGATAGGTTGCGTTGCTTACGCTTTTTAAAGGCACGCTTGGAGGCGAGTTTAGCTGAGGGTATAGTTGATGCACGTTTTCGTGTAGATAGCGGTTCGTTTTGCCGAGATTGTTGGGGTTGTCGAGATTGTTGGGGTTTTGGGGGGTTTTGTGGAGGCGGGGATTCTTGAGAGCCTGGATATATTGCGACAAGGGGATTTTGGTGGTGGTTTAGAACAAATAAACGGAAGTCCTCTATAGTCATTTGCTCAAGAACCTCTTCAAACCTTTTTCGATAGCAAGGCTCTTGCCATAAGTCTCCACAACTGAAAATTAGACAACTCTGTTTGAGATGAGCTTCGACATTATCGTCCTCAGTAAATATATCCAGTGCTTGTTTCTTATAGTCCTTAAACTCTTCGGAAGTAAGGGAGTGAGCTTTCCAACACAAGTATTTGTAATAGGCTCTAATTGTGTGTAAGACAGCAGCCGGACTATATTCTCCGAGGAAGGTAAGATTTATAACAACAGTATCGTCGAAGACATTAATAGCCATTCTAAGTCTGTTGAGTATCTCTGAACTAAACGCCAGCTCGGGGTGTGTAGGATGGTCGAATGGCATTTCTGGTAAATCAGGGAGTGTCATGAAAGATGCGGATGCATGATCATTTAGCCAGGTAACGATTTCCTCAATATTAGCATGCATAGCGAGCCCTGTTGGCGGGAGCCGCATGAGCAGTAGATAGTATCCCAGAATGTGATAATTAGTTGTATTTAAAGTAGCCACTGGATCAATATGGAAGTTCCCAACGAAAGTCGAAATTAGCTTTGATTCACACGTTAAAGGTAGGTGTCTGTCGGGACTACGAACCAGCTTATATTTAATGGCCGGCTTGGGTGTAATGTGCTGTCTGACTATCTTAATTATTAACTTGAATAGATTATCTGTCATGTTTTCAACTCTTATCTTGACTAAAGCTTTATCAACGATTGGAGTAACATAAGAAAGCGCTCTAAACTGTTCAATATACGCACAGCACTGATCGGGGGTGTAGAAAGGACACTTCCAAACACGTGCGAACAGGGTGTATTGCATGGTTGATAATAGGTCATTGGCTGCCTCCCGAAAGAAGCCGTAGGCCGTAGTGATAGCCATTGCTTCTTTAGTGAGATCTGAGCATGTGGTTTTGTATTCTGAAAAGAATAGCATCGTTAGATAGGCAACATTAAGGTCAGCCCCGCGAATAACAACAATGATTTTGCCACACTCAGTAACACGAGCGTCAATAGATGTTTTAGTCCCCGTAGGCCAAGACCGAATAAAGGCGTTGATATTATCTAATACTTGTAGCACATGGGCAACATGCCAGATATAAGTTTTAATGCTGTCAAGATAAGCGTCGGTAACAAGGGCAATACTAACCACAGACACATTTGGTTCTTGGGTTCGAGTGAAAAGACAGGCCTCTAGACCAGAATCGATGCTAGTTCTTTGGAGCACTTTAATCGGGGCAGTTTTAGGGGGGTTGGCGTTGGGTGGGTTAAAATAAGGTGAATTAGTGCTGGCTGGGGGATGAGGGCTGCTCGAGGTAGGGGTGTTTCTTAGTGGTTCTTGGGGAAAATTAGAGCAGGCGGGATCATGTTCTCGGGTGGTTAGGGTACCAGAAGTTTGGACCGGCTGAGTTTTGGAGGGGCCTAGGTATATAAGATTCCTTATTTCGTTGAGTTCCGCGGTTGCGGCCGGCACTGGCGCTGGCACTGGTGGATTGGCTGATTTTGTGAGTGGGTTAATAGATAGCTCCCTTGATAACTGTTGCCAGTGAGATGGGGCGAGTTCGCCATTAACATGCCAATGCTCTCGTTTCGTTGCGAATTCAAGCAGATTATTCAGATTACTGAAGCGTGGTGTTCTGGCAAAGACGAAGTTAACGATGTCAGCCGGCTCAGAAAAGAACATATGGATTGAAACTAGATTAGCAAGAACACTCAAGGCCACATTGTCTGGGGCTGCTTCTTCTTTGGAGGACATATTCTGTTGATATATCTGAACTAAAGCCGAGCCTGGTTGTGGATACGATTTCTTGATGACTTGACAGAACCCATCCACTAGATTATAAACTTCAGCAAGATTGAAATCCTTACTAGGCACTGTGATGGTGAAGCATACGCCTGGAAATTGCTCCCGGATAACGAATGACATGGCACTGATTTCGAGGCTATTATTGGGGTGGCATTGGTAATAATCTGTGTATTTGTGGCTGCAGCAGGAGAATAAATGGTATAATTCGGATAGTGATTGCATAGTCTGGTTTCTGATATCGCTGAGAAAGGGAATATAAAGATCGATTACTGATTTCTCGGATGAAGTTGCGGATGCATTCGGCTGTAGTGCTAGTCGAGGCGGGCTAGACAAGCATTCAGCAGCGGCCGCGTCCGATGAGCACATTATAGGGGGTGGGCCTGGTTGATTTGGTTGGCTGTAGTGGAAGTAGTGGTTTAGAAAATCAATTAGACCGGTTGGCTCGTAGGACGCAACTACTGCTAACCGCATATTCGAGAAACTGAACATGGCATGCCATTTGTTTATGACATCAGTTTCAGTGAGATGAAATTCAGATGTATCGGCCTGAAGGTTTGGATATAATTCCTTTATGGCTTGGGAAACTATCTCTAGTCTAGGTGGAATGACAATAACAGACCGCAAGATCTCAAATGGAACTAGACAATGGGGACTATCTAAGAAAAATTCAACGGTAATGAAATAATTGTTATCGGAAATCTTATAAGCCTGGGCTTTACTTAGAAACTCTTGGTACATCTGGTGGTTGTTTTCGGGCTTTAGCTTGTGTTTGAGAAGTGCTTCTAAAAGATAGCAAAGAGGCACCTCCTTACTCGATAGAGCCAAAGAGGACTTTTTAATGGCAATACTCACATGAGAGATAGAGCTATCTGGATGAACAAGAATAAGATATTTAAGACCATTAGCTAAGGTAGAATAAGAATGGCCAATATGCCGAGACTCTTGGCCACCAGGATCGTGTCTTTGCATTGAGATCCTAAACAGGCCCAAGATAATTAAAAGCAACGGAATTAGATTGTTTGCAGCAATTTGGAACCGTTTAAGCATCATTTGAAAATTAGAACTGAAAAGAAATTCTCCAGATAAGATAGCTCTTATCAATTGACCACAAAAAGAAATTCACAAAACTGCACTGGTATTGTCTTATGTTAAGATTGGGTTGTGTTGGTGTTGGTGTTGTGTTGGTGTTGTAATAAAATGTACAGTAGTGTATTGTAGTGTAATATAGTGTGGTAAAGTGAGATAAGATATGATGAAGTAATTTGAATATTATTCCGGTTAGATTACGTTGAATGCTAACTGTTTATCCACCCAACCCAATACTAACCCAAGTAGACATTAAAGTAGTGTTGCATTTATTAGCAGTAAGGTTATGCCAATTATGATTTGGCCTTCTTGCGTTTAGGCTGGTCTTCCTCTTCATCATCCACAATAAAGCTATTATCATTAGAATCCGCATAATCATCATCATCGCCCTCCTCTTCTTCTTCCTCCTCCTCTTCCTCTTCTTCCTCAGACAAGTCAGAATCATCATTAGTTGAGAACTCTTCATCTTCATCCTCCTCTTCTTCTGTCGTGCTTAAATCAACTGCATCCGAGCCTGGATCTTCTTCTTCATCGGCTGGTTCTCGGGCTGGTTGAAGAATTGCCCAGGCTCCACTTTCATAGAAAGTTACTGGATCTTCCAAAACACTCTTCAACACATTACTCCACTGAATATTCACTTTAGTTTCGGTAAAGCAGATATTCTTAGCATCAAAATAGTCCATTAACCAAGGCACATAGGAAGAAGAAACACCATGAATGTAAACAGGAGCCTTTGTCTTATCTTTAAGCACAAAAACCATATCACACGTAGTTACACCACTAATTCGTCTTTCAAAATTCAAAATCTCGATATCTTTCAAAGGCAAAACAAAGAAAGGATATTCAGTTACATTGATAATGCACTCAGAAGTAGGCTGAATCAGAACACTCTGCCGATGAGGCACTCCATAGAAGCCTTTGGAAAGAGGTTCTTCTAGAATAATCCGGGAGTGCAAAGAAACCTTCTCGGCAAAGGTATGGAAGGCATCGTTCACCTCTTCACGCATACGTTCTTCTTCTTCCTCTTCATAAATCTCAGCATCTTCACCACCCGGTCGGTTTCTAGTCTTGCGCGTATCATGCACGGCATTAACAATGCAATCACGGAAGAATTGAATATCGGTTGTTTTCTTATCTTGAATAGAGATAGGCGAGTTGAGTTTAAAGTAAAGAATAGTAGGAGACTCAGCTGTACCTGGCTGATAGATCATATGCTTGATCTTAGTAAATAAAACATCTACACACTCTCCTGACTTCATATGGTACCTCAGTCCATTCCGGTGTAGTTCAACCGTACTCGCCGCATTCTTCTTAGCACCCGCTCGATGGTCAAAACGAAGATAAACATTCTGGAGGGATTCAACTCGTTCAGAAGAAGTTTGGAGTTCTTCTTGCTCTCCCTCTTCCAAGGCGTCATCATCCGACTCATTCTCGTCCTTCTTAAGATTGTTGATTTCCTTCCAGGCCGTCGTTATGTTCTCTTGTGAGTCTTTGATCACAATTGATAAGAGATTATTAGGGAAAGGCCGATCGGCTGGTGGTGTGTAAAAGGCTAGTTTAAGGTACCCAATGCCATCTTCAGCTGTTTTGGTGATAGTTTTGATAATGCCGATATGAAAAGGTACACTAACGCCAAAAACAGGTACTACTACGGAAGAGACACGTTTATCAATCTTAATAACTGGTGATCCTCTTGGAATTTGGGTTTCTTTTTGATAAGATACAACTTTTTGTACGGTTACATCTTCCTTGTTGTTTGACTGATGATCGTGTCCTTTATAGTAGGCTAACTGCTCTTCAATCAACTCGTCCATCAGTTCTTTTTGATGGTCGTTGATTTCATTAGCTCTTTCAATCTCTTTATCACGATTACGCAACCGCCGTCCTAATTGCGTACGCTTTGTTTGTTCAACCGGCTTATCTAGCACATAGTCCTGAACTGAAGCACTAAATGGAGTCAAAATCTTGGCCCGATTATCATCAATCAAAACAATGTTGTCCAAATGAATAGTAGCTTCTTTAGGCTCTTCCTCCCCACTCGGTTCAATCAACCCTAAAACACTAACAAACTGTACTGAGATGGCAAAAACCATCCCATTCCTAGGCAGCTGATCATCACCCGGTAAACCACCCCCTTCTTCCGGTCTAATTCCAATCGACTGGCCTATCTCAATCCGGCACTTTTTAACAATTTCTTCCTTATCAGCCGGACTAGACACTTTAATACTCTTCGCTACAAACTCCAAAGCCGCCTTTCTTATCTCGCCAAACCTCTTATCTGTTCTTATCTCCTGCACCAGATAATTACTCGTTTGCAAAGCACAATCCAAAACGGCTAAACTCTTCTTATTAGGACCAACCAGTAAAGTCCGTCCTATTAAAGAACAGTACCCTTTATACCCCGCACAAAGATAGTAACTAATTACATCAAAATATAACAACTGTTCCTCATACGGGTTTTTAAACTCGCCTAAACTACTTCTCTCCACATGATAACGGCCACCACTCTGAATAATCGGTTTAAAACACAATTCTAGATAAGATTGATCAATTTCTTTGGGAAGTCTTCTTATCTCCACTTCCAAATCACCTTCAATCTTCTCACTCAACTCCTCATGAATAATTCGATCGTCTGTTTTGATAATCTGCTTAATCTTGCTATCTAAAAGTGAAGATAAACTTACTGCACAAACTCCAGCCTGTCTTAAAGTCTCTATCTGCACAGTATCTTTCTCTAAAAACACTTTCTCAATAGCACTACTAATATCAACTGTTTCCACCACTATCTGCCAATTACTCAGAACATTAGAACTCTCCTCTTGTAAAATACCAATGGGCCGACCTTGACTAGCTGTCTTGATAGCTGCATTGATATCGGCTTGATTACTCCCATCTTTCATACGAATGATAGAACGAATATTAACCACACTTTTTAACTGTTCCAGAATTGCACTCTTCTTAGCACTTGTAATGGCTAACACTTCAGTCGCTTTGATAATCAGAACTGTTTCGGGAAATTCATATCCCAAAAGATAAAGAAACATGGCTGTATTTATGCCATAAGAAAAAGTATCTTCTCTTTTACCCATTGAAATCATCAAACATTCGGCCGTACCTTCCATGGCCAGCAAAACCTTCTCAATCCGATCTTTGAAGACTTTACTCTCTAATTGGACACTTGACATACTTTTAAATAAAAAAGATGCTTAAGAGGTATTAGATTGGTGTTGTGATGGTTTCTGGGGTGGTTATTGGGTTTAGATAGGGTTAGAGTAAGTTAAGTTGGTTGTTGGTTTGTTTTGATATCAAGTTAGATATTATTTACCTTATTTGGAAATATATAAATCATTTCTCTAGTCATTAAATTATCAGATTAGGTTAGATTGGGATTTGGTTAAGATTTGGTTTAGTAAAGAGCTGAAAATAAGAGGAAGTAATGACTAGATAAGGATTGGAGGTATCTTCTAAATTTATTGTTGCCCGATAAGTAAGATAGTCTTTAAGAAGTACATTCAAGAGTTATATTAAGTGAAGTACATCTCATAAATCTCAGAGTTAAAGGGATGAGTATGGGTAAGTAAAGAAAAGTACTGTATTAGATGGTTTAGTTTGGTATTGAGTTAGTACTGAGTTAATCTTTCATGTAAATCACTCTCTAATCCAATCCAATCTCAAATCAAGTTTAGTCTTCTTCTTTACTCTTAATGGATGATTGAGTTAGTACAACCATAAAGACCGATTAAATTAAGCTAGAAACTCTCCCACTACTTCAACCCAACTTCTTATCCCAAACTAACTCAATACTTAACTAACTCAATACTTAACTCAATAAAGCACCATTAATATCCACCTCTTTATTTACCATACTAACTCCATCTGTGTTTATTCAACTTAGTTCAAACTCAACTCAACCTAAACTCAATCCAATCCAAATTCAAACTCAAACTCAATTCAAACTCAACTTAGCTCAATCCAAATCCAAACTCAACTCAATCCAAACTTAAACTTAATCCAAACATAAACTCAATTCATTCGGTATCAGACTGATTATTCAGAATCTCTTCTTCCAATGCCTTTCTTAGTGGCAGCCATTCATAGCGAATACTCTTTAATTCTGCTAGTATTTTAGTGATGGGATAGATATCAATGTCATTTCTAGGATAATTTTGAGAATCTACCAAACGATCACCTATCTCAAAGTTATACTTTTGCTTCAAATCAGTAATTAAACTGTCCATTCGAGCCTCTAACTCTTTAACTCGAGCAATACACTCTTTAATTCGCATGTTTTTTATTTTGACATGATTGAAAGTACTGCTTTGCGTAAGTTTGCGATCTCTTACTTCTTGACTTACCCGAATCGTCCTTTATGCACATTAGTTGATAAGATAGCCCAACATATTGAAAGAAAGTTCTTTAAAGGCGAGATAGTGTTTATTAAGGAAAAAGAACTAACTGGATGCATTGTGGAAAGTACAAAAACCGGCTATCTAGTTGAAATTTATGACGACAACCAGCCAGTGCCCCAAAAAGAAGAAATACCCAAGTCAGCTCTAATGAGAAAAGATAGTGCGACTAAGAATGAAGTTCTTCTCTTTCTTTTGAACTCAACCCGAGATACACCTTTAGGCCGAGTAGTGCTTGGTACTGCAGTACAGGATTTAGGTCTATTCATGGGCCAGACTGTAACAGGATCAGCCGTAAGACAAATTATGAAGCCAGATGATATGTTAGAAGGAGCCGAAGCCCGTAAATGGCAATTCAACTTATCTTCTGATAAAAAAGATAAGGAATTAGCTGCTATTGAGTTACAAAGACAGGAAGCTCAGAAATCAGCTATCTTAGAAGTACCTCGAACTATTTGGACTTTACCTGATGCTGATTTCTGGCTGAATCAAAGAGTATTAGCTGTTTATGGTCAGATTAGTACATTTAGTGCCTTCTTTAAGACTGAACCCTTATCTTTGGATGATTTTATTACGGCTTTGTTTAAGAAGGAGCCAAAAGATACGGCTATGATAGATATGTGTACGAAGTTTTTGAAAGCAGTTGGGCATGAACGGCGTAAATCTGGTAAGGAAGGATTGAGAGATATCATTCAAATTGCAACCGAAGTTGTTTATCATAATCCTAGTACTCAATCAATTGTAGCCCGGATTAAGGCTGATAGTAGTGTTAGTAGTGGTGGTGTTAGTAATAGTGATGTTGCGACAGGTAGTAATAGTGCAAGTAGTAGTGGTGCTACAGCAAGTAATAATGCTACAGCTGGTAGTACTGGTGGGTTTACGCGTATTCAATGGTTTGCTGGTGATGCTTCGGCAAAGACTTGGCTGTCTTATATGAAGAGTTTTGTTTATGATATTATCAATGCTTATGGAATCAAAATCAAAACATTGGAGTTTTTGCCTGGGGGTGGTGGTGTACAAAATGAGTTGTCTCAATTGGCTGATCGTTTGCTAATCTTATCTTTTCTTTTGGAAATATGTATGCTTGGCTTGCGCTTCCGGGCATACTTTGATGCGGCAGTGGATGAGTTTAAGGAGAAGGAAAAGGAACGGGCTGGTTTGTTGCAGGAATTGCGGCGGTTGAAGGGTGAATTGCTACTGGGTCGACAGACTGATCAGGATAATACTGCTCTTAATGAGGCTGAACAGGCCTTGGCCGTACTAAATAATGAGTATAAACCAGAACTATTACGGGCTTCAATTGGGTTCTATTTAGATATTCACTTCTTTATGATAGATAAGCGATTGTTGTACATTTACCATGAAGAGGTTTATATGATTCGGGAGGAGCATTGGAATGACTTGTTTACTGTCCTGGGCACGGATAAGAAGAAAGACGGAGTAATCCTAGATACTATGAAGAAGTACCTCCGCCTGGTTTGATCGAAATAAATGCAGATATAGTTATTTTGGTTTTGTTGTTTATCTAATTATATACTGGATTGGGTAGTAGATCTGTTTTATCTAAAACTCATGCTAATTTGTTATTTTCCTTTTTGGGTAATAAAATACTGACCTCATCCTAACCTCATCCTAACCCAATCCCAACCTCACCCTAACCCAATCCCAACCCCACCCTAACCTAATACTAACACACATCTTAATATACTACCAACCAAACCTTGATTAAACCTATAAACTCAGTGGCTGCTTCTTAAAACACTGCTAAAACACGCTCTAAACAGAACTAAAACCAGATCGGTGGAGTACTTTAGCCAAATCGGAAAATATTTATATCTATAGTATGGCCATAGTTGACGTGCGAGATAAATTAGTTGAAATATTAGGTAGCAGCCAGATTGTCGCTGTGGTTGCTGGTTATTGTAAGTTTTGTACCATGTTGCGTGAAGCTCTGGCAATTGCAGAGAAGGCTGATTCTTCTCTTAGTGTCTCTTACATTACTGAGTCACATCCGCTTTATAAGGCTTTTAGAGATACGGCTTATACTGTTTTTGACCAGTATAAAACAGTTCCTCTAGTATTTATTCAGGGTCGGTTCCTTGGTGGTTATAGTAATTTTGATGCGATTTCAAAGCGATTGAATGAGTATGTGTCTATGCCAATGCTTAGTAAGTCATTACGGCTGACTAAGGAGGGCAAAATGCTTTGATAATAAAGAGGAGTTAAATTACGTATTGTGATGGAATGTGGTGAAATGAAGTAAGTTGTTAGTCTAATAGTTGTTGGTCTTTATTGGGTTAATGCGTGTGCTTAGCTGGGCGGGAGAGGGCGTCGTGAAGGATGTCGAGTGAAATGGCGGAAATGGTTGTGTCATCAGAGGAGGCACAGAGGACTAGTTCTTTGAGGAGAGGTTGGATAGAAAGAGAGCCTAGGCGTTGGTGCTTGATTTCTTGGAGAATGTAAGTTATGGCTTCGCGCTGAAAGCGGGAGTAGGCGGTGCGCTTGGTTCGGATTTGAATATTGTACTGGGAGAGAATGGTTTGGAGCCATTGAATAGATTCTTTGCTAAGGTCTTTGCGGGCATGAATAAGTGTGCAGAGTGTGCGTGTAATGGTAAGATAGAGAGCGAATAACTGGTTATCTAAGGCATGGAACCAGGTTTCAACTAGTAGACGGTAAAGGTCCAGTAAGTATGATTTTGAGATAGTTAATGAGATGTTTTCTAAGAAACCGATATACTCGCACATTTCGGTCTCTTCTTCTCTAATTGCTTTGGTATAGTTGTGATTATCAGAGAGGGCCCGAAGAATATTGCGGTTGCGAGTTGGTGTTTGATTAGGTTGAGTTGGGGTTTGATTAGGTTGAGTTGGTGTTTGGTTTGTTTGATTAGGTTGATTAGGTTGATTGTTGGGTAGGCCGAGGATTTCGCGGGAGGCCCAAACTAGCTGAGTTTCGGCATTGGGTTTGGCTTCTATTTGAAAGATTGCTTGGAGGGTTTTCTTGGCTTCGGCCCAACAAGTAGGTACAGTTCGTTTTTGGGACTGGAACATGATAAGGACTGAAATGGCTTTCCGATGAATAGTTTGGGCTAGAGGCGAACCGATTAGTTCTTTGGAAAGGGCATTCATAATGTGCATGGCAAAGTATGAGGAGAGTTTAGGTGTGGAGACAATAAAGAGGCGTAGCCATTTAAGCTGAGTATCTACTCGAACGGTGGCAGTACAGGAAGACCCTGTTTCATCTAGGGCACTAATGGCTTCGTACTCAAGAAAAGTAAGTGTTTGGCCGGTATTAGGACAGTTTTGGGCGAGTAGTGAAGTAATTCCAAGGAAGTAGGCCTTTTTGTCCTCTGGTGTAGCGGATTTATCAATGGCTCGGTACGTGATTTTGAGCATTTGCATTAAGGCTTCTAAGGGTGAGCTTGGTTGGACGGATAGAGTGCAGATGTCACAGACAGTTAAAAAGAAGTGTTTCTTATAGATAGGGTCATTAATACAAGGAATGCCGTTGCGTAGGGCATAAATAACTGTTACTTCCATTTCTGGGTCTCTGGAAAACCGAACCAGGATCTTAGTGAATAGAACCCAAAGAGGATAGAATCCTGAAGCTTTCTTGAGTTCACTGAAGTTTTCAAAAACTAAGGCTGAGATAGCTAGTAAGATTCCTTTGGTACTTTCTAGCGATCTTTGGTAGGACTCTTTTTCGGCCGTTTCATAGCTTTCTATCGCACAGGCACCGAGATTCTGGCATGGACACTGATCATTATTGAGTTCGGTCTCTTCAGCCTCCTCGCTTGTAGGATCCTCATACTCACCCGTGTATATTTCGCGGTCTTTGGTGTAGACGGCGGCTCCTAGCACTCGTCTTAGGAAGACTTGGACTAAGGGCGCCCATTCCAAATGGCCGTGCTTCTTACAGAGATAGATTGACTCAAACAATTGGACAATGGCTGAGTCGCGCACATCATCACGGCCATCGTAAATAACTGAGCATAACAAACACATAACGGCATGCCAAACATCTTTTCTCACTTTAGCTGTGATCTTTTTGGTCAGTACAAACTCGGTTAGTTCTCGGATGCATTGAAGCGCCCGAAATGAGATGTTGTTGTCCTTTTTAGTGAGACAGCAGATACCCAGAATCTGTACTGTAGTTACTAGTGTTTCTTCTGGAAGGGCATAAAGCAAACGATCGGTCACTACTTGTATAATATCAAAAACCATACCAGATAAAAGCGGCGACTGCATGGAAGCGATCAAAATATCATAAATACATGTCCAGGCCTGGTAAAGCGTTTCGCCTGAGGACCTTACCCCAATTGATAAGGAATTCAAAACTTCTTGCCGAATCGGATGGGCATGCTCATTATTGTAATCGGCCATAAATACATGCATAATGTGTGATAGTACAATCTTATGCATGGTTGCTGACCGCTTCTCGGAAAAGTAAGCACTAAAGAAGGATGCAATTAAGGCCACACTACTATCAATATTATCAAGCATTTGTTGGTTTTGAAAAACATGTTCAATCAAGATAGTAAACTCTTTCTTTAAACAATCACCTCGACCGGCTAAAGATAAAAACAAGTCCGCATATTTCTCTGGCGCCAATGCCTCTGACTTACCCGCCCCCTCAATCGCTCTTTGCAAGTCCACGTCTTGAAAGGCAGTTAGTAGACCCATAAGTTCTTCCCAACTACCCAGCTCAGGATGAGTCTTTTGAACAGTGGCTGTTAACAGGAAGAATGCGGGCCAAACGGTAACTTTCTCTTTATGCTCATCGGTTAAGTTAGCCAGTAGACTGTAAAACACCGCTGGATTCTTCTGGGCCATCTGGTACCCTTCTAACAATAAAGTGTTCATCACTGTAAGACTCTTTTGAGTGGCCATTTGAATAAGAATAGCTAGACTCTTCTTCAGTTCAATTGCAACCACCTCTTCTTCTTTGATCTGCGGCAGTTCAACTAGTTTCTGTAGGAACCGAATGAAATAGGGAATGAATAGGGAAATGATTTGAGTTTGTTCATCTTTCTTATCACTGCACTGGCTAATAGCTGTTGCCGCTCTAACTATATGAAAGAATGCTAAGGAGACCATATGCTTACTATCTTCTGGAATTTCAGTCCGAGCCATTTGATCAAGATAAAACATATTAATCGGTGTGATACTAGTTACATCAATTGTCTGACTTGGTGCAAACATTATATCTGCTAGTTCAGCACTACTAGATAGGGATAAAAAGGCTACTCTAGTAGGCAGTTTATAAACAAACTCTTCTCGTAACACAATTAGTCCTGACGGTACTTTAGCTCGTAAGACCGATAAGAGCAAAGAAACTATCTCGCCATCATCAGATACAATATTCTTGATAATCTGTAAAAACAACTGTAAAGATACTGAAACAATCTGCAACCTCGTCTGCTCCAATTTCGGCACTAAAAAGTCCACCATTAATCCGACCATATCTGCTAACGCCTTCTGCTGGAATCCAGCTGCACCATCTGATACACAGGTATAGAGCAGCTCAAATCCAAACAGATTGTTCTTCTTCGCACAATCAATGGCTATCTCCAAAATCTCCTTACAGTCCTGAACAGCTATTTCCCGTGCCTGGCCTTGTAGAATACTCGGCCGTTCAAATACGTTAGCTACTAAATGGAAAATAATCACCTTAGTCGTACTAATCAACTGATTACGCGATGTCTCAACTAACAAAATTCCAATTTTGAACAAATGCATTAGGTTTCTACCTCGGACTAGCACTGGATTTTGAACTAAAGGCAAAAGCATCTGTAAAACCCGCAAGCGCACTTCAGGATAGTTCTCAATGTTCTTTTCAAATCCCTCCAGAATATGAGGAATGAATTCTGAACTTATAGCACTCCAAGTTATCATCTTATGAATCACAGCTAAACAAGGTAAGAACGAACGGTTCTTCACTCCTAGTTCCTGTAATGCTCTAATAAACGGCATTCCTATCTGGTGGTGATTGTGCACATATTCTGGAAACTTCTCTTCTTCCATCTGATAATTCATAATCGCGGCCATAGCTTCCTCGGCCTCTTTTTTCAGTACACTTCCCTTTGGCACCTTTTCCCGCAACAGCATGTCAAGTGCCTCTTTCATCTCTGGTCGCATACAATGCAAATATTATGCAAACATAAGACTATTAAAATCGGGCGATCAATAGTGATAGCAGACTCTTAGACGGCTGAAATACTTCAACCCATAAATATATCCCCAATCATATCACGGCTTACTATCTAGACTTTATCTCACTGACTCTTTATTATACCACTAGTTCAATCCAAACCAATTCAATTTCACTAATTCAATTTCAAATTAAATCAACCCACACTATCTTCTGTTTATGTTAGGTTACGTTTTGATTAAGTTATGCTTTGGTTCGGGTGGATTGAGTTATGTTTTGATTGGTGTTGATTGAGTTATGTTGTTGGCTTGTGTAATTTAATGTAGTTATGTTGTGATGCTGTTCTATCAACTGATATTAAACACACTACTAACACAAACATGTTCTAAAGTAACACAACACAATATAACAAATCAATGGTTTTATTCGCGCCAGGCATACTTACAGGCAACACAAGTATTAAAGATGGTCATCGGCTCATCTGCACTTCTGGTTTGCATCTGATAGAAGTAGGCTTTGCCTTCCGAACATTGCGGACATATAACAGCTCGCTCCGGCAGTTCTCGAGGTTTAACAGCCATTTCTTCAGATCGTGGTGTTAATGGAACTTTGACCCGATAGATCCCCTTGATTTCCTGATGGTACTTGCACTCATCACAAGTAAACCGAGTATTCCCATTGCATATCTCAATGCTTAATGAATTGAAGCAACGATTACAGAATGCCATTTTCTGCTGATTTTTCGAAAATTGTCTCTAATAGGGTAGTAAACAACCTCACTACATTCTTGCCACTCTTAGCCGAAGTATGCACAATCGGAATTACCCGACTTTCCTTTGACTTACTCACTCCTAAATTTTGACTTACCTTCAACTTATTGATTTCCGTAATAAAATCAAAACCAACTGCTTGTTCAACTGGAAAAACAGATACATCCACTGTCTTATCTAACTCTTCCCCAACTAAATCCGATTTATTAGCTGCACAAATAAACGAACTATTAGCTAAGGTTGGATGACTTACTGTAGCCTCTAAAACAGCCATATAATCCGTACTTCCCCCATTATCATAAACAAAAATCACACCATCAGCCCCTGCATAGTACGTATCCCAATACGCCCGAATTGAACTTTGTCCGCCCATATCTAAGATCTCTAAAATACACTCTTCACCCTTAATTTTAACATGTTTCGTGATAATTTGATAGCCAAAAGTCGGCGAAATATGTGAAATCTCTTCTCCCAGATAAGCACGCAAAAGAGTAGTCTTCCCAGCATTGTCTAGACCAAGAATAATCACCTTAATACGCCTCTCCTGCTTAAGAATCCTCTTAACAAGCACTGTCAGATTCATACAATTTTATAATTTCTTTGCTTTTTCCAACCATGAAGACTCTTAGTGCCCAAAGTTCTTCTCTTTATATCAAATTGGCCTTTTTGATAAGAAAAGGTCATACATCTGTAATTACAGGGGCTGGTATATCTACATCAGGAGGTATCCCTGATTTTAGGTCTAGTACAGGTATATTTAAAGATATCAAAAACAAACATGGTTATAATGGTGAACAGATTTTCACTTTTGGCGTCGTTCATTCTTGTGATAAGGCTTTCCAAATCTTCATTCAACTAATCTGCAGTCTCAAAGATAAAGTCGAACAGGTCCAACCCACCCCTACCCATCGGATGCTAGCTTATATTCAGAAGAGATACAAATTCAGTCTTTATACTCAAAACATCGATGGTATTGAAAAGAAAGCCGGCATTGAAAAAGACCTTATCTATCTTCATGGCAATTTAGAAACTCTTATCTGCTCACATTGTCATCATCATGTTGAGTACACTTTGGATCAAAATCAACTCTTACAATCAAAAACAATCATTGAATGTCCCAACTGTATTCAGCGCAAGACCGAACGACAGAAACTGAACAAAAGACCTACGCCTATTGGTAAACTTATGCCTAATATTGTCCTTTATGGTGATAAGACTGAAGAAATGTCCTTACTTAAACGAGTGCATTACGACCAACAGACCGATGTCTTACTGGTAATGGGAACTAGTTTAAAGGTTTATGGAGTCAAAAATCTTGTGAAAGAGATAAGCCGACAGGCCTCTAAAAACAATGGAGTTAAGGTTTATATCGGTCGAGAAGCACCTCCTAAGATTATGCAGCCCTTTTTTGATTATTGGATTGAAGGTGATTGCGATACGTTTTCATCAGTCTTACTAGAAACTCTGCAGGGCAAACACTTGCTTAAAGAGTTACAGAAAGCATCACAAAACAGATATGAAGAATTACTAGCTTCTTTCCGTCGCTTATCTTTAGATACATCGTTTAGAACTAATCATACCAAGTAAATTTTTATGTACAACTTGCGATTCACAGCCTCTACGTTGAAACTCTTGCTTGATTTTAAGCAATCTAGTGCTCTTTACCCTTCTAGTGAGCTTATGCTTCTTTTTGCTGATCTTTTGGTTGTTTCTGAGCAAATAGAGATTGAAAGGTTTCTGGCCTTACATGCCTATGAGTATTTCTATGCTGGGAAGCGTTTGCGTCCTTCTCTAGTTGATTTCCAGGCCTGGGTGCATATTTGGACTGAAACAACTGATCCACAAATTATTAAGGTAGAAATAGTAGATTCAGCTGGTTTATCCCTTTGGAGTGCTTATGTAATAGCTGTAGCAAGAGAAGTCTTGGAGCGGAAGAGTCTTTCTTATCGGTTTCGTTTGAAATTCCCTAAGTATCTGAAAAGTGAGTGGCTTAAATCGACTGACTCAACTGGCTTGAAGACAAAATCTAGTTCTAAGCACTTGTCTGTACTGATTGCAGCTGATTTAGTTGGAGCAGAAGAAGAAGTTGCTGATAAGGATGAAAGTGAGACTAGTTTGGAAATTAAACCGAAAAAAGATAGTGCCGGCTTACTGGCCTTTGCTCAGAAACGAGCAGCTACTGTTTTAGAGACTAGTAGTAAGAAAGTTCGATTCTTGCCGCCCGGTCGTATGTATAAGCACCAGAAGACTTTCCGGGTTGGTGCTGATGTATCTACTCCTGTTCGGATGGTCTTCTATAAACATCATGGCCAAGTACGACCCTCTTACTATGGAGTGAAGAAGATGGGGCCGGTCTTTCCTAGAACGAGATGTTCAGTAAAGAAGATCTTGCCGGATGAGGAGTATCTCTATGATTCGGATGAAGAATGGGTAGAAGGTGATGGTGAAAGTATTGGGGAAGAGTCGTTTGAAAGTGATGAGGATGAAGATGAAGATGCTGGCTGGATTGAACCGGATAATACTAATGAAGCTTTATTTCGACGTGGCCAACTACCACGGATTGACTATCCTGTTTGTCAAGAGTATCCCTTGGATGAAGCTTGTGCCGACTAATTAGTATTGAGTTGAGTTGGGTTTGGTTTAGTTGGTATTGAGTTGTGTTTAGTTTAGTTATTGTGTTGAGTTGAATTGGGTTGTGTTTAGTTATTGAGTTGTGTTTAGTTTGGTTGTTGAGTTGCTATCTTATTGAGTTGGTATCTTATCTAGTAATGGATGTAGTAAGAAATAAACATTGTAGTTTTCATGTTAGATTGTTTTGGGTTAGATTGGCTGGGGTTGGGTGTTTGCTTTGCTTGGGATTGAGTGGGATATTGGCTGTAATCTGGCTTGGCTTAAATCATTCTAGGCTTGGGATAATAGTAGTCTGGAAACTCATGCTTTGATAGCGATTAAAAAAGATATAAATTCAACCTAAAGCTATCTCTATCTACAAAAGAACGAATGAAGTACTGGAAGCATTTCAAGTCTATGTTGAAAAAGATTGGAGTCTTATCTGTGGTAGTAGAGAAACAAAAACTAGCACATGGTAAACCTCGATGCTCATCTAGATTGTCCTTGGAAAGTTTAGATAACCTGGAGTATATCGAGGCATCCACAAAAAAAGAAGACCATCTTGCGGGATTGTCTGGGTCTGACCGGCCTGTAGGGGCACTTTGGGCGGATGATACGCCTATTTCGATAGTGTTTCAACGAATAGAGCAAGCATTTTATACTGATGCGGAAAGAATAGAGTGCTTTAAAAAGCATGCTTCACCTGATATTATCAAATGGTGGATTGGCCTTTGTATTAAGCCTAGTAGCTGGGAGAGCTTTAAAACCTGGCTGACTGAGGATCTTGATAGTCTGCAAGAGATTCGGGCTAAACAAAAGGCCGACTTGAAACCGGAAGACTCTAATCAAGGCTTTGCTGAGCGCCAACGCTATCTTTGATGGGAATATCCGCCTTTTAGGTATTAAATCGAAGTAGAGCATTTTTACTTGGCCAGTCCTTATCAAAGTTGTTACTTTTGGACTGGGATTAGTATTAAGTTGGTTGGTATCATAATGGGCTGGTCTTGAGTTAGTATTGGAATCAACGAGTTACGATTTAATCCACTTGTGTGGCTATCAAATAAATGTGAAGGTTTAGTACTAGGTTTGTGTGTCTTCGGCTTGCATTAAATGGTGGTAAGATGGATTAAGATTGATATTAGATTAAGATAAGATAGTTAGTGAAGTTCAACTTTCCATAATATACTTCTTATGCTATCTAACATACTGTTTATGAGGGTTTGGTTTGATTTAGGCTTAATTGGTTGTTTAGTTGGAGTAATACAATCATTGTGATCTAGTAATAAAGTATTCTGGTTTCTGGCTGGACCAGTCGAGTTATTGTAGTTTGTTTCTAGTTCAGACTTAAATTCAATTCTAATCCTACAGAATTTGGAAATGAAGGGATAGTGTTGGTTTTTTGGAAATTTAGTGATACTCTATTAGTGATACTGTAATTTGTAAACCTATGATATTGTGAGATTAAGTTAATTGTAGATATGTCTAGTTGAGTAGATAGAGAATACAATGTAATGAAGGCTTCAAGTGGCTTGTATATATGTTAACTCGGTTTATTTATCTTAGACTTAGATGACGTAAAGTTGGTGAGGGTCATCATATGTTGCTTTTCTGCCAAGCTCCGTAGAAAGGTCTATTATGTCGTTATAAGCTATGTAAAAATAGATGTAGCCATCATGACATGCTAGATCTTTGAGATATTGGCAGTTGATAGAGAGCGGGTTAGTATTGATATTGTCCTGGAGAACAACAAAATTAGATAGCGGAACACCGACAAGATAGTGGATGTCTAGATACACACCTTCTTCTCGGCATTCAGGACAATTCTTGCTCGGCCATTCATCAAACCAGTTAACTGCGCACCTATCACAAAAAGTGTGACCACACTTGAAGTAGCAAAGAGTTGTGAATTTGGTTTCTGGGACAGTAGACTCGTTACGGGGTTTCTTGGCACTTGGTTCACCATCTGCATCATCTTTGTTTTCTTCGTCTTTGAGACACTTATCACCATCTACATCATCAACAGTTGACACAAATAGTTTATCGTAACAAATTGAACACTCAATATTCTTCTTAGTCTTTTGGTTAGTCAATAGATGCTTTTTGATCATTTCAAGTGAAGCTTTGGTGCCCATGTTTGTTGGGACTAGTGTCTTAAGCTGCTCGCCTTGAGAAAAGAGTCGGGATAGAGTTGCATGTGATACGGCTGTGAACTCAGGGCGTAGGTTGGTGGCAGTGGCCAGGAGACTAATGTGATACGGTCGAATTATTAGTTCAATATATGTGTGTGGTCTTGAACTTATATCCTCTATTTGAATGCTAGTGAGTTTATCTAATCCACGAATACAATAATCACGTGAAGCTATCGCATGATGGTCGTTAGCTGATAATTCAAGATTGCATAGTTGTAAGATAGTCAGATCTGTAAATCGGCAAGACACCCAGCGGATAATAGTTGCGAGGTCTGTCTCAGTTAATGTCTGGCCGTTAGAAAAGAGCATAACCAGCTTCTCGACGGAGTTTTTCTGGATAGAATACTCTTGGGGCTCGAGGGTTTGTCCCTGGTTGGATTGATTTAAGAGCATAGCTTGGCAATTGGCAAAGTCGGCATTCAGAGCAACTACGGTAACACTAGAGAGTATAAACTCTTTCTTACACAACCCAATCAGACTAGGGGCTGTCGACCAGGCGATGTAAATTTCAAATGGCATGCCCATAGGAATAATTCCGTAACTCCAGAGATTGTGCAAGGCTTCATAATGCAATTCAAAGAGGGATTCTTCTAATTGCAGAGACAGTTTGTGCAGGCCAAGAGATTCAATTGATTTTCCCTCTCTCTGATTCTCCTCTATGTATCTGAATAGTGAGAACTCTTCAGACTCGGCTGGTTTCTTATAATTCACGAGCTCGTTTAGGTCGCTGCAATCATCTATCACTAGGGTTTTAATCAAACTCAGCTCAGGAAGAGTAAGAACTTGAACAACAGCAAGATTGGCGAAAGACTGGTTCAAAATATGTACTTCCGTTGGCTCAGTAAAGATGTAGTTTCCTAACATCCAATAGAGAATTTGAGGGTCAACATTGTCTAGAAATAAACAATCGACGCTGATAAGGAGCTTCTCAGTACCGTTGGCATTGGTTTTGAAAGTATTTAGATCAAAATTAGTGGTGGTTTGGTGTTGGCCATGAACATTCCAAATCCTAATGCATTGGGCAGTGATATTGTGAAATAAAGACAGCAGTTTCCCAACGAGGATGTTGACCTCTTCTGGACGCGGGTCTTCGCCTTCTGTAATCGAGATCTCGGTGTAGCGTATATTCTGGCAGAAGCACATACAGTTTTGGGATATATATTCATGAATAAGGCGGCCTAATCTAGCATGATCTAGGCAAATCTCGACTGTACCTTGAACTTCCAAATCGATGCCGTTAATATCTGTGCCATTGCATGTAATGGTTTCATCGACTTCATCTGGCATATTTGGCAAAGCCCCAATCGAGCAAAGCAGGGTTAAAGTGGCATGTAAGTCGGTCCGGCCTCCCTTATAGTAGAGCTGGACATCATCGACTCTGATACCATATTTGATAAAAGTATCTGGATTGTAGAATTCGTGGTATTGTTCCACAGGGCCGCATGGCATATTAGAGTTGATTTGAGAAAGGATGATAGTGGCAAAGACACGAGGCTTATCTGGCATCGACATTCTATCGGCCTTGATCATTGCTTGAAGAGACTTTAATTCAACAACAAGACCCATAATAGTGTGAACACGAATATCCGACCCGTTGTTGACAGCTAAATATAGAAGAGTGTCCCAGTCTGCCTTTAATACTATTTGTGTATGTTTATCAATAGCATTTTCAAGACCAGATAGCGTTACTTTTGCGTCACCCGCTTCGCTAATATCAATCGCATTGCATATATAAGGCAATGTTTGAAGAACTCGCAGATCAATATTAACAGATTTAGGCAACTGGGCAAAGCCAAGAGAATAGTCATTGGTTAGCCGAAGCTGACTAAGAAGGTGGACATCATGAACTGCATTACTTAATAAGCGAACTGTCGTCAATGGCCGCCATAAGAAAATCCCACTAGTTATCAAACTCGGAAGTCTCCCATCCAGTTCACCACAAAGATCAAGTGTATTATTATGCCCATAAGCAGCATGTTCAATTGTATTCAGTGCTTCTCTCTTACAGGCCTCTAAATCGACCAGACTAGTATATTCCAGGCGTTCCAAAGAAATAGACGCACAAAGGGTTGTCATGCAACAATCAAGCACATTATAGACTCGATTTAGAATTAGTTGATTTATCTGATGAAGTTCTGGGTTTGCCGGCTTCCAAAGGACATAACAATACATTGTCTTGATAATAGCAATCTTTCTTAACTCATTCAAAGCCTCCATAGCCGCATCTGCATTTTCATATACTGGTGCTGTAAACTGAAGCTTCTTCAAACCAGCATACCTTACAACATAAAGAGGTGGATTAGTTCCTATCGAGTTGTGCGCAGCAGCAGGTTCTGACAACCGAATAGAAACGTATCGTTCAACTGTGATTTGTGGCTTCTCAACAGTAAAGACAAAGCCAATCTTCTTCAAGGTCGCAAGCATCTCAGCCGAACTTGGCAACGCCGGCTGAGTATTTACACTTGTCTGCAATCCATCACCAGATGCCCCAACACCAACACCCAGCCAATACAACCCAAGCCAAATACACATGGTAATTCTACCCCAATATCTAATTATGTTCAAGCAAGATTCCTTTCTTCTATCTCTACTAATCATGCTAACTGAAAGCTCTCCGTTAATCAAAATCTTAAAAATGAAACCACCAACCCACCGCCAATTTCCTTTTTAGGAAATAATACTAACTCTAGTACTCATGGATAGAAATATTTCCGATGAGCAATACAAATTCCAGTATGGCATACCTTGATACGACATAGTCAGCCATTTATTGAATGTAGGCGATGATGAATGCGAAAATAACATCATACTCATCTAGGTCTCATTAGCATTTGATTTGATATAATTCAAATTCTCTACTAGCCCAATCAAAATCCACGCCTAGTTCCTAGAGATACATACATACTGGTCCTTCTAAGCCAAAATTAATTGGCACAACTACATCACCATCCCCTCTAATCTCCCATAACAACCCAATACTAACACCACATAAGATAAGTTGATGTAAAGTGATGTGTGGTGTGGTGTGGTGTGGTGTGGTGTAGTGTGGTGTGGTGATGTAATGTAAAGTGATGTAAAGTGATGTATATACTATCTACTCATTAACATCTAACTTAACTCAACTTAATCTAACTCAATACCAACCCAACTTAACTTAACTCAATTCAATATTCTTTTATTCTCTCTATCCTATCCTATCCTATTCTATCCTAACATAACCTAACCTATCCTATCCTAACCTAATACTAACCCATTATGACGTCATATACAGTTATAACATCATGTAACTTATCAAATTAAGTGCTATATCAAATACCAACTCAACACCAACTACTAACACCAACCAAATACCATATCAAACACCAACCAAATACCATATCAAAACCAACACCAAATCAAAACCAAATCAACTTAACCCAATTTCAATTTATTAGTTAACCTCTTCCACCGTGGGACCTCCGGCTCCTGCTTGGGCTCCAGCTGCTCCGCCGGCCGTTTGTTGCAACAAGGGCGTACAGATAGCTTCTATCTCGCTCTTCTTAGCCACATACTCCTCAACCGTACGATCTAAAGGTGAACTGCGCTCCTTCAACCACTTCTCAGCCGCCTCCAAGCACGCATTGATCTGAGTTTGAGCACCAGCTTCCACTCCCTTAGCCATCTCCCTTACCTGGTAGATGTAAACATCAATATCCGAATAACTCTGAATAATCTCCTTATTCTTATCATCTTGAGCCTTGTTCCTAATCGCATCTTCTTGCATACGCTTAATCTCATTCTGATCATTAATAGTCTTCTCCTTAGTAATAGTAATCTCCTTCTTACCACCCGATGAATTCTCAGTCGCCGAAACAGATAAGATACCGTTAGAATCAACACTACAAGAAACAACAATCTCCGGTTTACCCCGAGGAGCAGGAGGAATACCTTCCAGTAAAAATTCACCCAATCTATGATTATCTTTAACCATAGATCTCTCTCCTTCATAAATAACAATACTAACTGAAGTCTGATTATCAGAATAAGTACTAAAAGTCTGCGTCTTATTAGTAGGAATAGTAGTATTCTTAGGCACAATCGGGGCAAAGACTCCACCAGCCGTCTCAATACCAATAGATAAGGGAACAACATCCAAAAGCAAAAGATCAGAATTAGCCCCTTCTCCATCACCAGATAAAGCACCCGCTTGAATAGCAGCACCCTGAGCAACTACTTCATCCGGATGCACACTCTTATTCAATGGTTTACCCCCAAAGTAATCAGAAAGCATCTTCTGGACCTTAGGAATACGCGTTGAACCTCCCACTAGAATTACTTCAGCAATCTCATTCTTACTCAACCGAGAAGAAGCTAAAGTCTTCTCTACACAAGGAATCAACTGATCAAAGTACTCCTTACAGATCATCTCAAACATAGTACGAGTTACAGTATAACATAAATCTTCACCCTTATAGAAAGAATCAATCATTAACTGAGTAGAAGTAGAGACAGATAAGTACTTCTTAGCCGTTTCAATTTGGGCCTTCAATCGACCCATTGGTTTACCCTTAAGATCTTCCACCTTAATATTCTTCTCCTTAGCAAACTGCTTAGCATAATACTCACATAATTTGTTATCTAAATCAGATCCACCTAAATGAGTATTACCACCCGTTGCTTTTACTTCAAACAGATTATCATCTAAAGTCAAAATACTAACATCAAAAGTACCACCGCCAAAATCAAAAACAAGAATGTTCTTTTCCTGATTAGATTTCTGATCAATACCATAAGCAACAGCTGCTGCAGTAGGTTCATTAATAATTCTAAGTACTTCTAATCCGGCTAAAGTAGCTGCTTCCTTAGTTAACTCCCTTTGGTTGTTCTGGAAGTAAGCTGGGACTGTAACAACGGCCTTAGTAACTGGACCTCCTAAATACTCTTCAGCACATTCCTTTAAGTACTTAAGGAGTTTAGAACTGATTTGTTCTGGGTAGAATTCTTGTTGGGTTCCTTTGACATTAATAACTATCTTAGGACGGTTACCTGCACTGATTACTTTAAAAGGCCAATGTTTGATATCTTCTTGGACAACTGAATCATTGAATTCCATTCCGATAAGTCTTTTTGCATCGTAGATAGTGTTGGCTGGGTCGTTTTTGATATTATTAGCGGCTGCTTCGCCAAAGATGACTTCATTAGGAGTAAAGCCAATGATAGAAGGAGTAGTTCGGCCTCCGATCTTATTAACGATAATTTCTGGCTTACCATTTTGCATGACGGCCATACAAGAGTTAGTAGTACCTAAGTCAATACCGATTGCGTATTCTTTCTGCATGGCCGCTAAAAAAAGCAGAGTTTATATACGTTTAAAGTTTCTGGAAAATTCCAGAATAATTGGGGTTGCTATTAGTATTGTGTTAGTATTGAGGTGGTATTGTATTAAGTTGTATTAGATTGAGTTAGTATGTGGTTAGTATGTGGTTAGTATGGGGTTAGTATTGGGTGGGTTTGGGGTTAGTATTGGGTGGGTATTGGGTGGTAAGACGAAATGAAGTAGACTTCAACTGGAGTAGGACTTCAGTTGCAATTATTTTTTCGGGTGATGTGTGACCGGGAGGAGTTGCGGCAGTTATGGTTGTGTCAGAAGACGATTTACCAGATGATGAAGGATAGAGGACATATTGTGGCTGATAGTGATTTAGAGATGGGTTTGGAGGAATTTAAGAATGCTTATCCTTCTTTAGTTATGACTGGGAATAAACATGCTTTATCTATGTTGTTTCAGCATAGTACTCAGCCGGGTAAGCAGTTGTTTGTCTTCTTCCCAGATAGTGCTTACTTTAAGGCTAAAGATGTGAAGGTTTATATTTCGACTTTAGGTAAACAGAATATTCATAATGGGATTATTGTTTGTAAAGATACGTTAAAGGCTCATAGTTTGAAGGCTTTAGATGAGGCGAGGAAGGAGTATAACTTAGAGTTGTTTTATATTCGGGAGTTATTGTTTAACGTAAGTAGACATCAAGATGTACCACAACATATTCTATTGAGTGAAGAGGAGAAGCAAGTAGTCCTGAAAGAAAGGAAAGTTAGTGAGGCTCAGTTGAAGAAGATTGCAGCTGATGATCCGGTTAATAGGTACTATGCTGGTAAACGGGGACAAATGTATCGGATTATTAGAAATTCAGAGACGGCTGGAGTAGCCGTAGAATATCGAGTGGTAGAATGAAGTAAGGTGGGGTTTGGTTTAGTGGGGTGGAGTGTGGAGAGGTTTGGTTTAGTGGGGTTTGGTAGAGGTGAGATAAGTGAATAAACAGTTTAAGTTAAGTTATTGTAGTGCCATAAACCTAATCTAAACCTAATATAAACCTAACTCAATATGACGTCATCTTATTTCAACTCATATTTACTTAATAAAAGACACCACTTATTTCATTGGGTTAGTTGAGTGTTAGTTGAGTATTGAGTTAGTATTTGACTTTGTTTAGGTGGTATTTGGCGTAGTTTAGGTGGTATTTGACTTAGTTTAGGTGGTATCAAGTTAATATTAAATTGAATCGAAAATTAGATTTGATTTGATTTGATGGTGTATTGCGATTAGATGGGATTGGGTTGGGGAGGGGATTGGGTTAGTATTTGCTGGGAATGGATGGATTGGGGGTGGTTTTGGTTGGGATTAGTGGGGATGGATGGTTTGTATGGAATGGAGTTGGGCTGGGGTAGAGAGTGGTTGAAATGGGATGGGGAAGGAGAGGTTCAGGGTTAGTGAGTGTTGGTGGTTTAGTATCTAGCTTTTTTCAAAAGTATGGAGTTTGGTATCTTTGGGAGAGGAAGAAGTGGGCTTTGGCGAATTGTGCTGGTGTTTGGTGGAGTTTTGGTGGGTTTGGAGTTGGTGAGTGGCTCGGATATCTCGAGTTGGATTAATGATTGGCTGTATGAACAGTCGGGTTCAAGTAGGTCTAGTTCGACGGGAACGGTAGGTAGCGATTCTGAATGGGAGTCGAGAGTAACGGGTATTATGGAGAGTGCGGCGTACCAGAAAGATCCTAATCATGTACTTAAGGCTACTAAGGTGCTGACTTTCGAGATTGATAGCCAATGTAGAAATACGTTGAACGACCCGAGAAATTCTGGTGGTAATTTGACGATTGACTTGACTCTGAAGATGGCGGAGGTTCAAAGGGCACTTAGACACTTTTATAATACGGGTAATAGGATTGCTGATCCCCATCCTTTTGATTGTGTAACGATTATTGGTAATGTAAGAGATAAACACAAGGCTATTGTTGAGACCTTTAAAGAAGTAATGACTGTTTTTGAATACTTCTATACGTCTAAATCCTTAATACTTGATTGGATTATGATTTATCCGACTGATTCAGGGCAATATCCGACACTGGCTCCTAGATCGAGACTGTTTGAGGCTAAGCTTGAGACGATCACTTTTATTAGTACGACTGAGCGTCTTATTCGTATGGTTATACAACAGTACGAATTTATCAAACCAGTTAATATCGCTCTAATGGATGGCGCTTTGATTAATGAACCGGATGTGGTTGCGACTATAGCTAATCCGCGGTGGGCTGGATTGCTTGAGCTTATTTTAGAGAAACCGTCGCTGCTGGGGCCTATCAATGGACTATCCCTCGCTTTGGAGGATGCTATTCGTGAGTGTTTAGACTTCAATCAGACGAGGGGGCCAATTCCTGCTTTTAATTTGGATGCATTGCTTAAATACCAGACCCTTATGGCCTTTGAGATATTTGTTCCATCTTTAGCTACGATGCCTACGATTAAGGATATAGTAGCGGGATTTGAGTGCTTTTTCGACAATAGTTGTTGCCGGATAGCGATCTTCTCTTTAGACCTGCTGAATAAGCATATGACTAAGATGCTAAAATGGACTACATGGTGGTATCGATTTCAAAGACCGCGTCGCTTAGTGTTTGTTTTTCACAGCAAACACACTGTACTCTCTTTTAAGGAATACCGGACCTTGCTAACTTGGGCATACATTAGTTTTCCGAACTTACTTAATCTTTCAATTGTTAATGGTGAAATATCTCCGGGTGATTATGCTAAGGCTAGCCAGGTAGTGTTGGTTGGATATGAGCCGGTGCAGAAAGTTAAAGATACTAGTCATTATCTGCGACGTGAGAAGGAACTTGGCCCAACTAGATCGAATGATAGTCAATGTAATTCACAGATCAGAATTAAGTTTGTGCCGTATACTGGACTTGAAACCTTCTCTAGCCCTGATCAATGCAATCTTATTAATATCACACCGTCAAATCATAGAGTTCTTACTCGTGTCGCCCTGGACATAAATCCTAAACTAGCGGCGAGAGTTGTTGGCTTGATTTTGTCCCTGGATATTATTCTCGCTATACAACTGATGGGATTACAGGCGCAGGCTTTTCTTGGACTGGCTGGGATGTTTCCGGCTTATTCGATTATGGAGTATCTTGATCGGATAAGCAACTATTTTGGACCCACTAGCAAATGGGACCTCTGTGGCACCCGAGTAACTATATGCCACCATTGTGCTCTGTCTAGTTCTGATAGGGGAGATAGTACAAGTCCAGTTGGCCATACTATTCCTAGTATTCTTCTGCCTTGTGGTGGAATTCTTTGTTATAAGTGTTTAAAGTCGACAGGCTTTCAACACTGTCCCCATTGTAACTTGGTGCTAGATCAAAGTTCCGAACGGCCTTTCGTGGTATATATGTTGCGGCTAGATCAGTCCTCTAATTGTTCACGCCCTGTGCCTATCGTCCGATCTTTCATAGGGTCCCCAACAATTGCTGTGCAAATGCAACTGGACGATCTTCATCCGAACTCGCACTTTTACCACTGCCAACGCTGTTTATTGGATCGAGGGGATGGACCACTTAAATATTGTCCTAGTACAATTGACTACCCGGTAGATATGATTTGCGAAGTAGGATCTTATCTATGTCAGAAAGAAGCCCAGCGCGATAGTAGTGACAAGGGCGATCTAGAGCTTACTTCATTAGCACGAGCCATTGCTAAGAATCCTATGTTTAGGTCGGTAACGAGGACCTACAAACCAGCCAAAGAGCAGCAAAGAGATAATGTCCATAAAAGAGCACAACCTGTCGAACCTAATAAGAATAGGACTTCTAATCCCAATGAAGCTACGCTTTATGTGTTTGGAATGATATTACTCTGTTATTTATTCCGCCTGGCCTACTGCTACATAATCGAATGAGATGGTCAGAGTTAACTATTAAGCACCACCAGTCTTGACCAAATTCAATAAACACTGTCCAATGTCTACTTCATTGGGTTAGTATTGGATACTAGCCCAAAAGTATAAAACCAAACTTAACCCATCAATATTTCATTTCGGTAGACATAATTTGGAGTTTAAGATGGGAAAATCAATGACCATAGAGATAAGGTACAAATAAAGAAGTAGTGATAAAGTAGAGATAAGGTAGAGACAACGTACAAATAAAGAAGTAGAGATAAAGTATAGATAAAGTACAAATGAAGAAGTATAGATGAAAGATAAGAGACGTATAAATGAAGCACAAGTAAAGGTCAAATAAGCAACCCAATTCAATCTTAACCTAATCTTACCTCAACTCAATTCAATTATAACTCAACTCAATTCAAACCCAATCCAAACCCAATCTTACCTCAACACAACACAACACAACTCAACCTAATACCAACTTAATATCACTTTAAATTGCTAATTGACTAACCAGGTAGACTAAATGGGATATATTGTACTAGGCCTTTTAATAATCAAGTATTGGGTTAGTAATGAAATACATTGGGTTTGAGAAGCAATTGCGAGTCTGTATTTGGTGGGGTGGTGCTCTGTTCTTTCTATTTAGTGCACTAGCTCGGTTGTACCCTTTGCTGCACTTTGGTGAAACCATCAATGAGTACGATCCATGGTTCAACTACCGCTGCTCGCTTTACATTTGGGAGAATGGGCTTAGGGCGTATTGGCAATGGAAAGACGAACTTACTTGGGTTCCAGAAGGACGTAATATTCCAGCTACGACCTATCCTTTGCTGGCTTTGGTTTCTAATGGAGTGCACTGGCTAGTTAGTGGGGTGGCTGAAGTCTCGCATTACCAGGTTTGTGCTATCATGCCTGTACTGATCTTTTTGGGCGAGTCGTACCTTCTGTACCGCCTAGGGGACAACTTGTTTGCTGACAGCTGGCGGGCGGAGAGAAAGATTGTGTGCTTAGGACTCTTTTCACTATCAGGAGGTATCTTTGAGAAAACTATTGCCGGTGCTTTTGATTATGAAGGTCTTTCTTTGTACATGGTTCTTTGGTGCATTCTTGTTTATAGCAATCTACTCCGGAACAAAAGCAGTAAGATAGCAGCAGGATTCTATCTGGCACTTATTCAAGGTCTCTTCAAAATGACTTGGGGTGGTAGTCTGTTTACTGAAGTAGTAATAGTAAGCCTCGAAGTATTGTCTTTAGCCAACAATAGCTACTTCTGGATCTTTTGTGTTGGCAGTAGTTGCTTTGGGTTTTGGCTGCCGTTCTTGAAAACAATCGATGTAACTTTAATGGGCAAACTAGGCGCCTTACTTTTCCTTTCTGGCTTATCTCTTATCAAACAGTGCTACCGACATAGCAGACACGTACTTTGGGTGTTAGGAGGGTGTTTGGCAAGTATAACAGCCCTAGCAGCCTACCAATATACTCGCATCCTTAATCTAGTAATTCAAGTGCTTCAAAGAAGTAAGGTTTACAACCTATTCGTGAAACAGAAAGAACATCCTCTAGTTCAAAGCATCTCAGAACACCGAGCGCCTACTTACCACAGTATAGTTAGGCAGACCGGGCATGTTTTCTTCCTTTTACCCCTCCTTGTTCTCTATTACACATGGAAACATCGCCACGGTTCTGATTGCCAGACCAGTCTTTTACTACTCATCTGCCTAGGCCTAAGTTCGGGAATGTTCTTGAAAATGGAGCGATTCGCCTTCCTGTGCACACCTTTTATTGCTTTAGTTGCCACTGAATGCTGGCTAGATATTATGCGGTTTCTAGCTCGGCAGAAAGCCAAGGCCGCCCAAGCGCTTGCTGTTCTGCTGAGCATTGGCCTATTAGTTTATCTAGTCAGTGCTAGCAAGGTCTGTTGGCAATCAACCCAGAACGTTATGGTGGCTTTTGATGGCCAAAAAGAAGGCACAGCACTTATTATAGACGATTTCCGAGAAGCCGCCATGTACATTAGACACAATACTCCGACCAATGCCGTCTTTATTAGCTGGTGGGACTACGGCTACCAAATCACCGGCATGACCAATCGAGCTACAGTGGTTGATAACAACACCAACAACTATCTTAAAATTGCCAAAGTTGCCGACTTGCTCCTAACTAATGAAAACCAACTTCACAGCCACCCCTTAGTTATCGAGCTCCAAAAAGCCGGCAAGACAGAGATATACTTTTATGTAGTCAGTGGAACCCTGTGCAAATACACACTCTGTGACTTGGCCAAACTCAATTGGATTGCAACCATTGCCCGCGAGTACAACCCTATGATTAGACCAGAAGACTATTACTACATCTCCGGCCAAACCATGAGCACATACTTACTAGATATGGTCCTTAAGCACCCTAAAGAACTACTAGAAAGTTCTAAGTCCATTAAAGTCGCTCCAAAACTGAAAGACTCCTTCTTGTTTAAATCAGCATACTTCCAGCACCTACCCGAAATTACTCTAAGCAACACCAAACTCTTCTTCCAAACCACCAACCAACTTGTCCGAATATACCAATTAAACCCTACAGCAATATAATACATCCTGCTTTATTACAATCTACCACACCATAATAGCCCAATTCAGCTCAGCTCTTTATTGATCAACTAATCGAAGCCCAACTTCAAAGTAAGCCCTGCCGCACCAAACCATTTCAAATCGTTCCAAGCACTTTCCTAACTTAATAGCAGCTAAGGACTAGAGTGCCCTTAGTTCACTGGTTGTCACAGATCCATTAACTTCCGAGCTGTTTCCAGCCCAGTGATTGCTCACACTACTATATATCCCATCAAGTGAAGTGAAGTTCAAATCCGTACTAGGTCCCGCCATTGCAGCATTTACCACTTCCATACTATTCGCGATTGGATTAGCATTCTCCTCCATCATAGCAGTACTTGCCATCTCCGTCACATTACCTACCATACTAGTACTTGCCATTTCTGTCACATTGCCTACCATACTAGTACTTGCCATTTCTGTCACATTGCCTACCATACTAGTACTTGCCATTTCCGTCACATTCTCCAGCATAGTAGCATTTGCCATTTCCGTCACATTTCCTATCATAATAGTATCCCCCGTCAGAGTAACGTTCGGCATCCCGGCAATAATATCCATCCCCGGCGTAGCTTCCATATCTACCTGGTTAGTAACCCAATCCCACGTAGTCTGCACGGTCTCATTAGTGTTGTTGATTCGAGGCAAAGGCAACTTATCGACATATCCCAATATAGTAAAAACCTTAGAATAGGTAAGATAAAAGGACACAGCAATCGCTATCACCACAAGACAAATTATACCTCCACAAACCCAGCACACTAACTTACGCCGCCACACCCACCGTTCTCTCTGCTCTTCTTCCACAGTAACAGCGTATTCCGTTCCCGGAACCCGTCTATCTGGCATATGAGATAGTTCATATACTTCACTTGGCCGCACCAATATTTCACGATCTGGGTGGCCTGCTCTTTCCCGTAGCTCATGTACCTCAACCATAGCCGCTCCCAAGCAAGTAAGCATACACCAACTAACCCAAAGCAAACATCCATAGACAATAAGTTTACCCATAAGCCCTATCTCACCCCACTATTTATACTTTTATTCCCCACCTTATATCAAATGATACCACACCAACCAATTTATCTTTCCCAATTAGGAAACTCTTCAGCCAAACCCAAACCCAACCCAATCTCAAACCCATTAATACCAACCTAACTTAACCCAAATCAACTCCATCTAAATCAGCACAAAACAATTCAAATAAACCCAAACTAACCCATTTACCGCTCTATTAACCCAACAATAACTCAAATACCAACCCAATACTAATCTAATTCACCTAAACTAACCCAATTTATTGCAATTTTCTTTTCCTGCTATCCCACATGAAGAAGTGCTTATCTCTCCTCTTGCTTATCTCACTTGTTGTTGCAACTGGATCAATTCTAACTCCAGCAGCCAATTGGTTCCAATGGTTAAAGGAACAGTTCCAGAACGCCTCTAAGAAGGTTGGAGGCGCCCAAGGCATCCAAAACAAACTGAAAACATACTCGGAATCGGCTTACAACCACATTAAACCGACTACACAAAAAGCCAAAAAAGCTATCTCAGATTTCAAAACAAACACTATCCAACCCCGTCTAGAAATGATCAAGAAACAGATTCAAAAGCGACGAGAAGCCAAAAAGATTCAATCAGCCCAAACATCTCAAAATTCTACCCAAACTCCCACCCAACCCGAATCCTTTAAACACGAGTTCCAGCATGCCGAAGATGCCGCCCGTGAAATTGAGCAGTTCCTACGCCGATATCTCAGTGAGTTACACAAAGTTCCAGGCACCGAAGCCACTATGGGCCATTACTCCACCGACGACCACCAAGAAAAAGAAGCCACCCAGTACGAGGATGAAGAACTCGAGAATGAAGAGCCCATCCCTAAAGAAGATCTCTAATTTGGTTTAGTTTAGTTTACTATTTAGTTTGGGTTAGATTGAGTTGGGTTAGATTGGGTTAAGTTAAGTTAAGTTAGTTTTTGATCTTATTGAATTGGTACTTATTGATTTAGTACTTTTGTTGTTATTACTATTGAGTTGGGTTAGTATTGGGTTGGTATTTGTTTGGTACTTACTTAGTATCTCATTATTACTTTAATCTTATCTAAACCCGTTAAAACATATTACAATCTAGCTTCTACTTAGCCCACTTCTACTTAATCCACTTCTATTTCATCTCATCACAACTTACTCCACCCCACCCTATCACAAACCACCCTAACCCAATAAGGAAATGTAGCAATTTGAATTTCAAATTCAAATTCTAATTCAAATTCTGAATTTCAAATTCAAATTCAACTAAAAGTAAAAGTAAAATTGAACTCCGATTTCAAATAAACCTTATCTAGCATTATACTAAACACATACTAATATACTATTTCTTTAACTAAATACTAGCCTAATTCATTCTTAATTCGTTCAAATACTAATATAGTAGATAAGATAGCTTGAATAAATTTGAAAGGATAAGTCAATCGGTCACTGAATTCAGAATTCAAACTAGACCATAACTAGCATTATTTTTTTAGCGGATATGACGTATAACTTCTGTGATGAATATGGCCAGCCTTATGTTTTGATTAGAGAACAGGAGAATAGAAAGAAGACCGAAGAGAAGAATGTCCTTTCAGAGAATGTCAAGTCATTTTGTGAGATAGTAGATACTTTAAGTACTTCAGTAGGACCTTTTGGAGCAGATAAAGCTATCGTAAGTAGTGATGGTGAAGTAATTGTTACGAATGATGGTTCTACTATCTTAAAAGAGATGGATATTGAATGTACGCCTATGGGTCGTTTAATTACTCAACTTAGTGCAGCTCAGGATGATGAGATTGGTGATGGTACAACTAGTGTAGTTATTGTAGCTGCTTCATTACTAAAGGAAGCAGAAGCTTTGGCTGAACGAGGTATGCATCCTTTAAAGATTATTCGTGGGTATGAAGAGGCCTTAGATATTGCCTTGCGTACAATTGAAGAGAATTCACGTCGACTTAGTCGTGATGAATTGGCTGAAGCTATGGTTGAGGTTGCCCAAAGTACTTTGAGTAGTAAAGTAGTTAGTCGTGATATTGATAATTACATTCGCATTGCCATTGAGGCAGTGGGGGCAGTTGAAGACAGTCGCGGTCTAGCTAATTTAGAACTCATTAAGGTTGAGGGGGAGACTAAAACAGGACCTAGTGAACTTATTAGAGGGATTTACATTCCTAAGGAGTTCAGTCATATTCAAATGCCTAAAAAGATAGTTGATGCTAAGATAGCTTTATTAGCCTGTCCTTTTGAGCCGCCTAAGATCAAGATTAAGCATGACTTGAATGTAGAGAGTGTTGAGGAGTTCCAGAAGCTTTCAGCCTATGAGAAGAAAGTCTTTACTGATATGGTGGCTTCAATTAAGCAAGCAGGAGCTAATGTAGTTCTGTGCCAATGGGGATTTGATGATGAAGCTAATTCTTTATTACAACAGGCTGGTATTTCTGCTATTAGATGGGTAGGTGCCCAGGAATTGGAAATGGTAGCTATTCATTGTGGGGCGAGTATTATTTCTCGGTTTGAAGACTTAAATGCTGAAGCCTTAGGTACGGGTAGTGCTACAGAAGTAGGAGGAAGTATTAGGATTGAAAATGCCCAGAAAGGCAAAGCCGTGACTATCTTAGTCCGTGGTGGAACTTCGGCTATTATTGAGGAGACTAAACGAAGTATTAGGGATGTTTTATGTGCGATTCGTAATGTCAAGAAAGATCCTAAGATTGTGGAGGGAGCCGGTAAGATTGATTTACTTTGTGCAGCTGCCGTGGAGAAGGAAGTACCAGGATCGATTGGCAAGGCCTATTCAAAGGCCCTTAAGGCCTTGCCTATGGCACTAGCACGGAATATGGGTGAAGATCCGATTGAAGCTCTTTCTCGTGGCATTGCAGATGATGTTTGGGAGGGTGCGTACGCCAAGAAGCACCAGTACATTCTTGCCGTCCAAACAGCCAAGTCCATTCTGCGTATTGATGACGTCATAGGACTCTAATGACCAATTTACTCCAAGTCATTCCACGTAATCAGAATAAAGTCTTATCTTATGTTCACTTTCTATTCAGTTGAGTTGTGTTTGAGTTGAGTTATGATTGAGTTAGAATTGGGTTGGGTTATGATTGAGTTATGATACTCTATACCATACCAACCTAATACTAACTCAATGCTAGCATACGCCACTTTAAATGCAATAGGCAATATTAAACTCAAATTCCATACTAAACCAAACACATCCAAATACTACTAACCCAGTTCAATAACCACAACACACTCTACCAACTCAATACTCTACCAACTCAATACTAACTCAACTTAATACTCTACCAAGCCAATTCAATAAATCGACTACAAACTATACTTATACTAAACTATACTCAACACCACTCCACTCAATACTAAACTCAATACTATACTAACACCACCCCACTCAATACTATACTAACCCAATCTTTATTTCACCTAGTTCAGCTCTATTAATTCATCAGACCAATTCAGTGCTATTATTAATAGCTACTTGTTATGTCCAGAAGCAACAATGATGGTTTGTTTGCCAGGTAAATACACAAACCCAATCGAACCAATGTCCCAAAACCCTTCTAGAGCACCTACCAGGCCATTCCAATTCGGTCCACGACCCCGTCCATATAAGTTTGCCCTAAATTGTATCTATTCATCATTGCTATCTCTATATATAGCTTTGTTTTTTTTAAGTCCTATCATGGATGCCAAAGAAGAAAACAGAACTCAGATAGCTGAAACCAATAAGCCTCTTAGTTATGACCTTACTTTAACCAGTGCCGATAAGCCCAATAATTTTGATCTTACTTCTATCGAGTCAGAACCCCAAATACACCGCCTACCAGGCGATCTTAAGCCCAATTCTTACGATCTCCAACTAGTTCTTAACCCGACTACTAATACTTTTTATGGTCTTATCTCTATCACTGCCAACGTTCTTTCTTCTACTTCAAAAATAGTCTTACATGCCGAATCAATGGATATTGATGATTTTGTTGTTTATTCTTTAGCTAGTAATGCTCAAACTGAGTTATCTGGGTCGTATAAGCACCACAGTCCAATTTTAACCTTTAATTTAGACAAACCAATTTCTACTGATACAGTCCTTCTTTTCCAAATCAAGTACCATGCTAAAGTATCTTCAGCTATGGCCGGATTCTACCGTAGTGAGTTTAAAACAGCTAAAGGTACTGAGTTCATCTACTCCACTCAATTTGAAGCTACTTCAGCCCGTCGGGCTTTGCCTTGTTTTGATGAACCCATTTACAAAGCTGTTTTTAATGTTTCTATCATTGCTCCTGCTAACTTAACCATTCTTTCTAATGCTGATACTGATATTAGCAACTCAGAAGAAGTTATTACTATTGATGATTCTTTAGTCGATCAAGTAGATAGTACTAAACCCTATCAAAAAGCCGTTTTTAAACCTACTCCTTTAATGTCAACTTACTTACTAGCCTGGGTGATTGGTGACTTAGAATTTGTTGGGGCTGAGAATATTCGGGTCTTCTCTCCTAAGGGCCAGAAAGAGTATGGTGAGTTTTCTTTACAAGTAGCCGTTCATTGTTTGAACTTCTTTAATGATTATTTTGGAATTGATTATCAAATGAAAAAGTTAGATATGGTGGCTATTCCTGATTTTGCTGCCGGTGCTATGGAGAATTGGGGTCTAGTTACTTACCGGTCCTCATCCCTGCACTTTATCAAGGAAAGTACAACGGCCAGACAAAAGTTACAAGTAGCTGAAACTGTCTGTCATGAACTGGCCCATCAATGGTTTGGGAACTTAGTAACCATGGCCTGGTGGAACGATCTTTGGTTGAATGAAGGATTTGCAACTTGGGCTGGTACTTTAGCCACAGCTACTTTAGCTGAACAAAACTTGATTCAACTTGATCATAATCCCTGGGAAGTCTTCTTGGAAAGTGATTTAAGTGGCGGGTTGTTCATGGATGGTAAATTATCTACTCATCCTATTGATGTTGAAGTTGAAACTGAAGGTCAGATCTCTTCTATTTTTGATGCGATTTCCTACTCTAAAGGTGCCTCCCTTATTCATATGTTAGCTAATTATGTGGGTTTAGATGATTTCCAAAAAGGTCTACAACATTACATTGCTACGCATAAGTACCGTAATACAACCACTAAAGATCTCTGGGAAGCAATTGAAACAAAAACTAACCATCAAGTAGCTACTACTATGAAGAACTGGATATCTACTCCAGGAATGCCCCATATTAGAGTTACTCTTGATAAGGATATGATTGTTTTGACTCAAAGTAGGTACTTACCACATAGTACGACTAGTGAGGAGCATAAAGAGTTATGGAATATCTTCTTAACTAAGAAGACCTTTAGTAGAGATAGAAAGTCTCCACCTGTAGTTGAAAGAGTTATGTTTAATACTAAGACTTTAAGTATTCCTACTAGTGAATTCCCACTTATCCTTAATGCTGATGCTTTTGGGTTTTATCGAGTGCATTACAGTGAAGAAGTCTTACAGAAGTACATAGTACCTCTTTTACGAGAGGAAGGACTACTCTCACCTTTTGATCGATTTGGGATTTTCCGGGATATTGCTGCTTTAGTGGCTGATGGCCATGAGAGTGCTACTTATGCCTTGAATGTTATGTCTTGTATTTCGACGCAAGAAAGGTATATTGCTCTTTATCCCATGGTTAGTCTTCTGCTTAAGATAGTGGATACTTATCAGGACCAGCCGGAAATCAAATTAGCCGCTGAAACTGAACTAGCTACTTTATTACGGCCTTATGTGGCTAAGATAAGTGACTTTACTGTGGTAAGTGATGATATTGAGCAGCAGAAACTGGAAGTCCTAGCTGTTTCCGTCCTTGGGCGGTTGGAGAACTCTTCTATCTCACACCAGGCCTTACAAGAACTATCTCAAGCTAGGATTAAGAGTGTGCATAAGGAGTACAAACGAGGAATGTACATTTCTTTAGCTAAGTATCAGGGTCAAGCCGGGTACGAGTACTTACTTGATGTACTTAAGAACGATCCAATGGAAAGTGAGCGATTACGGGCCTTAGTAGGTATATCTTTTTCACAGAGTCATTTTAAGGACGTGTTTAAGCTATTTGTGGAGGAGACTCCCTTGGTAAAGGGTCAGGATAAGTTACGGATGGTTTATGGTTTGTCGGCTTATAAGGACAGGGAAGAGATGCTTAAGACGTTCTTGCATGGTTTTGCGACGATTTGTAAGAACTTTGAGGGTAATTTGGATATGGTATCTCGATTTGTGGATGGATTTATTGCCCCGCAGTATACTCCAGAAGCTATTGAGATGGCCAGGAGTTTCTTTGCTGATAAGAAAAACCAAAATGATGCCTGGAAATCAGCTGTGGATCGGGGATTGGAAGAGGCAGAAATCTTGATGAAGTTCAGGAATAGTAATCTGGAGGCACTGCTTAACTGGGCCCAACAAGCCAAGACTTCTAAGCCAGAGGATGTTCTTCCCAAACAATAAACACTCTTATTGGTTGATTTGATAATATTAAGATCGGATTGGGTTATGTTATGTTATGTTATGTTTAGATGGTGTGTGTTGTGTTGTGTTATGTTATGTTATATGTTGTTTAGATAGTATTTAGATAGTACTAAACCCAAACTAAATCCAAACTAAACCCAAACTATACTCAAACTAAACTAAACCCACCACAACGCAAACTAATCTATTTGATTGGTTTGGCTGAATTCATGAGAACTGCCCCTATGATAGTTGGTTGGGTGGCCAATAGATACGATAACTGATAGATCAATAAAAAGAGGATAGTTGGTATTTTGATCTTATAATGATGTGGTTTCTCCTTGAACATGTTATCAAAACGAAGAATCGTTGCTTGTAGTATGTTGATGGTTATTGGATTGGTGGCGGTGTTTTTGCTTTGGTGGGCTAGTAGAAAAGGCTCCTCTACCTCTACTAAGTCTTCTCAATCTACTTCTAGCCCTGGTGGTACTGCTACTCCGCCACCAAAGAGTAGTGGAGAAAATCAGTATCAACCGCCAGTTATCCCGCCTCCACAGCCAGTGAAAGCTAACATAATCCAGCCTAGTGGCCAGAAAACATCAGCTGTCATTGCTGGTACAATCAATAATCCCAATACACCCCATCCACTTAAACCTGGCGTTAGTCTTGCAATGGGCGGTGAAATAGCTCATTATAATGATGCCAATCTAGTTGCGAGTGCAACTGAATCGGATCCAATCGAGATCATTGCATCTAAGCAAAAAGCAATGCTTCAGGATATAGTCAGTGCTTCGCAGAAAGCGAGTATTGATAAGAATGCTAATGTGATCGTGCGGTTTGAAAACACCATTATCTTCTTTACTATGTCAGATATAGACAATCAAAGTATGCAACCTAGTCATGTTCAAAAAATCAACCAGTTCCGGCACAAACTAGAAATTGAGCTTTACATTCATTCTGATAAGAATAAGCTAAGTACTTTGGAGGTCAAACGTATTCTTGGGTTCTTGAGTCAGCATAATGTCAATAATGTTGGTTGTTTGTACGTTCACAATGCAACTATTGATGCGACCTTAGCTCCGGGCTTGCTATCTATTTGTTCGAAACTCAGTAAGCTTGAATTGCTAGATACTACCTGTACTGTTGAACTCCTGGGCATCCTGGCTATTAAGATAAACTCTTTCCGCGGGATTGCCTTCACGGGCTCATGCAGTATTACCCCGGGACCAGCACAGAATGAGCCTAGAGACCTTTCTAATATTATCAGTCTTGGATTTAGCAATGTTCCGGACAACAGCACGTTATTGGTAATGGTATTCCAGCAGATGAGGTTTCCCAACATACGTATTCTCTCGCTTGAGTCCATGCATATTTCGCCCCAAAAGATGCAGGTTATACCGCTAGATAAACTGGCGGTTTTCAAAGTGCTTAGTGCGCGCATAGAAGACAGTGGATTCTTCGCCCTACTTAATCAACTTACTTATGTGCAAACTCTAATTCTGCTGGACATTACTCTTGCCCCTAGTGTCAAGATAAATCCGAAGTCTTTTAAGCTGGATATTCATCCTGGCGACTTATCCATTGACCAAAAGCTGTTTGAGATGTTAGATCTATCTGTATTTGACAAAACTGAGCGCAATATGTGTATTCAGGTTCTATTCACGGTGCAGGATCAGACAAAGACAACCCATCCTTACGAAACCCTTTTCTTCTTATTCAACCATCATATGGGCGCCCTTACAATTCGGACGGATGAAAACAAAGATAGTTTGGCCGTGCCCAGCTTTTTACAACTTGAAACTATTCCCTTTGCCCGGAATCCACGGGTTTCTAAGCTCTATTGGGTTTCCAAGAAGTTAATGGCCGCTACCAAACACCAGGAGCTCATAACCCAAATCTCCAAAGCTCTAACGGCCGCTCCCATCAACACCTTGATTGTTATGCACGACATTCAAGTGGCCACATATGTAGACATCAGCGATATTTTGCACTACCAAACACTCTTCCCTCATCTTACACAGTATGCAGTCTATAATGTCAAGTTTGTAGGAAACACTGAGTCGTACGATGCCGATACGGATCTATTGGCAAGGAAGCTCGCTTCTAAATGTTCAGTGCTCTTTAAGACCAACACCCATGCCGACCAGAAGCTCTTGAAAGCCTATCAGGACATGGCCAAAACATCCCTTGATGAGGTGGCTGCGCTTCTCGACTCAGTTGAATAGGCGGGACTGTTACCCAATAAAATGTATCTAAACTCTCGTGCCTCTATTGTTTGAATAACCCGGCTTTATTGTTTCAATTGGGGCGGTGGTAAGCTTATCTTAAACTACTCTAGATTCTGGGGTGGTGCTGGCGGCGAGTCTCTAAACAACTCAGCTTTCTCCATATGCTAAGCCGATCTGATGTGACTGGTTTCCTCTTCTCTAGCAGCTTGACTAGCTCGGGGAATGAAATAAGATCTTGATGATACTGGGTTAGCATCGCTTGGGCCATGACCTGATTTTGGGGGTTGGAAGCTAGTTGCTCTTTTTCTAAGCTGCATTGAATCGTGGTGAACTTATCTGTTTTTTGGATTTTCTGATACTGTCTGTGCACTTGCTGGTGCAATTCATCAAGGTCAATTAGCTTGGCATAGATGGACTTGACAAGAGCTGTTTTTGCTTCACTATCATTGAGTTCTTGAGGGTTATTTTGGGGTTGGTATTGTAGCCGATAGACAGGAAGGGCTAACTTACCCGCCGCAGTCGTGAAATGAGTCGAACAAAAAGCACATGACTCGAACCCTAGAGGATCGAGACAGCCATGGCAAATAGCATGTTGACACTTCAAAAAGAGAAGTGGCACAGTTTCAGGGTTCTTTTGGCTAGGGAAAACATCGAACCCAGTACCACATGCATTGCAAATGGCTATTGCCGCGATTGGTTTGACAACAGACATCTCTGGCCTTAAAACTCGCTGTCGTTCTTTCATTTGGGCAAGATTGGCCATTATGCCGTAGGGATCGCTTTTCTTCAATATCCGGAGGGCTTTTCGATCGCCTAGGAGTTGGTGGAGCCGTAGGAAGAGGCCGTTGTCAAGCACAAAGGCGGCATTCTTTATGTGCGAGACATCGTTGTGGCCGAGTTGAGTGATGTTGTAACAAGGCAGCGTGTGATTGTTAAGGGACGCTGATTCGTCAAACGGATCCCCACCAAACTTATTGTATGAGACAGGCAGGGCATTATATAAGCAAATACTAGCCAGCCGCTTTTTCTTGTTGAGCAGCATGAACTTAGCTGATTGGACTTGTTGCTCATCATGGCTCCAAACAAGAGGAGAGTAGATTTGAAAGACTTCTATTCGGGGAAATACTAGCATACACCAACGCGTAAGCTCAATCAAGGATCTGTGGCTTAAGTAGAATGTATACTTAAAAGCAGCACTAATAGCAAGCACCTGAGGCAACTGATCCTTTTCTATGACACAATGTCTGAGTTTCGTCATCCCGTCTGTCAGCAGACCCAATTTAGGCTCATATATCTCAATCACGACAACATCATGCAGTATATCCGTCGTTATCCAAGTGCTAAGCACATTCTCATCAGCTATTAAGTTGGCCAGTCGAAAAAGGTTTAGGTAGATAATTAGGTGTTTAAGAGAGATTTCAATGCCATGGGCCCGGCGCTTATTTAAGTAGTCAGTTTTAATGTAATTCATAAGCTCAGCTATATCGCGCTGAATAGCACCAATCCTTAGGAATCGTGTCTTAGCCCCTGCAGCCAATTTAAGATACGGTCGATACTCAACCCGAGAAAGATAATTGACTGTATCGGTCTTGTGAAGGACTGTTTGGTCTAGATCAATAAGGATGGGTACAAGTAACCGATATTTAGCCAAAACAAAGACAATAAGATCTTCATGAACACGAGTAAAGGTCATTTTGCTTAAGGTAGACTTAAATAGTGGAGCCGATGGTGCTGTATATTTTGGAGTAGTTAGGCCAGAAATTCTGTAAACTCCATTGATAGTCAGCGTTTCTGCCGACTTAAACCCACTAAATATCGCCCATAACTTCTCTAAAAACGACACATTAATATCTGCAAAGATAACACACTTAATATAAACGTGCTGATAAGAAATGCTAGAACAAATTGCTGTTCTCTCTGTCTTAGTTTGATAGCTATCAATAGCCGCTAAAAGATTATCAACCTTTGTATGGCCTTCAACTAAATCCAATCGTATTTTATCCAGTATATACTTCGACCCAGCCTTAAGCTTCGGCGACTTAATCAACTCTTGACCACACTCATCCCAATCCATAAGTTGCGCAATAAAGAGAGCACTATCTTCATAATAAATACATCTATGAAAACTACCATCCTTATCATCTAAACCAGTATCATTGTGGCCGTCCTCCAAATGTTCGCACCCACTCACTAAAGATAGCAATGCCAAAATCACTATCAAACCCCCTCCCAATCTTTCCCGCCCCGCATACTTCCATTTATACACCTTGCCTATTTTACTCTCCCAAATGAACATCTCCTCCTCCAAAACTATGCCGATAAATACCTCAAATCAGCTTATGATAAAATCACTCAAGCATATTCATCCCACATTCAGAAATCACACTACACTGCTTATTTGAAATGTAATAACAAATTCCACTATCACTCCAACCACTTTTCCACCCAAATCAGCTACTAGAACCAACCAAAACATACCGAACTCGTATATAACCCATTAACGACTTTATTTAAGAGAAGATACGCCAAATAATTGATAGTTTTGAAGGAAAACAAGTGAAGTTAGCAACTAAGATGGCAAAATTTTCGAAAACATGGACCCGTCAGTTAGTCAATTGACTTTACTATTAAGAAAACACAAAATTATCGGCACTCCAACCACCCCAATCACTCTTAAAGAAAATACTAGAACAGAAGCTATCAATCAACTTCAAAATCATCAATTCTTTAATCAATTACGTGAATGTGAAGAAATGGGTATTAGTCTTGGTTATGATGACGTAATCGAGTACACATCAGATTTATCTCTTTCACCTACTGAAGAAGAGAAAGAACTTGGATCTCTTCTACAACTAACCTGTCAGAACATGCTCCACTCCTTCTTTCTCTGCCAGCAAGGCTCTCACTTCTATCTGCATCTGAAATACACTGATAGTCTAGCTGATAAGATAATTACTGGTCCTGTTGTGACTTCTAAAAAGGACACTCCCGAATCAAAGAGATTCAAAGATATCTGGGGCGATCAAGTAGAACACCGCCGATTTGAAGATGGTAAAATCCGAGTCTGCGTTTCTTTCCTACCTAAGGCCCTTCATAATTTGCCCTACCTTCTTCTTACTCGTTTGTTTCGACTGAAAACCATTGATGGAACCATTAAGCATACTACGGCTAAAAGAAGTGGCCGATTTCTTAATCCAGTCTTCTCCGTAGAAGAGTTTGATTATCGCTATGCCACCTTCAACCGGCCAAGTACTATTGAGTCCATTCATCGCACTATCTCTCGGCTTACGGAATCCAATCCTATCAAAATCCAAGAAGTAAGTCTAACTGGGGGTTTATCTCGTGGTACTAAACCGGCCCAGATGGAAAGGTGTGCAGTATACTTAAAAGTAGCCCCTGGACATCGCTGGCCTGTTGATGATCCTGAACTCTTCTCTTCGGCACTAACAGCACTTAATGGTGTACTAGGGAAGAGTCTTCAGTCAAAGAGCAGAGTTGAAGGTTTGACTCAGCATGAAACTCTGTATGCCCAATTAGTTGGTGAAGATACCGAGTTTATCTTTGATATTGAAGAGGAAAAACCACAAAACTTATCTAAATACGATCTGATGAATTTTAGATTGGCTTATGAACGGTTTTTCAAAGCAATCACTCGTAAACATCCTATCTTTCCCAAAACATGTGTCCTAATGAAACAATTCCTACTAGCTCATGGTTTATATCCCTATTACTTTAATGATATTGCTGTAGAGGTTCTCTGTTTAAGAAGTGCTCTGCACTGTACAACTCTGGCCAGTGGATTTAAAGCCGTTATTACTACTAAGTACAACCATGGATACCAGATTAATATCCGAAGAGGAAGATGGAAATTCACTCCTAAACCCACTGGCACTCTACTTTTCACTCATGATGCCGGTCTCTTTACTCAAGCTTTACCACCAGTTGATGTATTTGCTAGGTGCAATGATCTTTTCCGACAGACCACGGCTATTATTGAAGCATCGCCTGGTCTAGATATCAATCTTATTCCTACCAAAACCTTCCAATCTATCTTTGTGCCTTGCAGTGCCGGTACTGCCTTTGCCCTAAGTAGTACTCCAGCACCCGACTATACAGAAATCAATCACTACCAGAAAAGTCTAGGTGGTTGCCAGAACACCCACAATACTAGTTCATCTTCCCAGGCCTTCACTACTCTACGTGCACTAGGCGCCTTTCCCTACTTCTGTGGCACCACCAAGATCTTTGTTTACCACCACGACTCTACTACTTTACCATTAGTCATTGGCACGGCCATTCTCCTAACCGGCATGCAGTACATTAGAACTTCCCTGCCCTCTTAACCATTCATATCTCCCTACTATCCACTTAATGTCAATCTAATGCCAACTTAATATTACTTGCTATCTTTTTATTGTTGCGTACTACTAACGTATCAACAACTTACTAGTTCTTTATTATCACTTAATATCAACTTAGCTACAACTTTAGATAATGATTAAATAACAATTAAACAACAATTTTAGATAAGACCAGCTCTAGTGCCGTTAAACAACCACTACTCCTTCCTTACACCAAATCGTTTATTCATTGTCCGATCGTATTAGTATTAGGTTGGTATTAGGTTGGTAGAGTATGACGTCATATTGTTGTCTTCAGTTAATAAATGGCAGACTATGACATATCGAGGTATATCATTGATTAAGATGGACTTCTTATTGGGTTAGTATATTAATATCTAAGCATAAATCTTATCTAACCCAATCCAATACCATACTAACCCAACTAGCTATCATTAGCTAGAATAAAAGCAATTGTTCCAATTTCTGATGATTCAGCCACTGTGTTTTGTTGTAGTATGTCCAGTAGTTTAGTTGCAAAGTAAGCTGATACTTCTAAATCTTCCTTTCTACCTGTCTCCATCAGTGTATAAGCTACTTTCAAGGCTAAAATAGGTTTAGGACTTGCAAATACACTACTCAACTCACCACGCACTACATAAGTTGTATCTAGTAAACTCAATGTCATCTTCTGCTCACCAACCACTACTATACTACTCTCCCGTTGAAATCGTTCATACAAGTAATGGAATAACAAGAACTCATCTCCTATCCCCAAAGACAAAGCACTATAACACACTACTCCATCCCCACCCGATTCCGCCACTAAACACTTCGGCACTCTTTCCCTACCCAATACTAAGTGCAAAGGCCCATACAACAACCCGCGTGTTCGTGGCACCAACTTCTTATCAGCAAAATGCTTGAACTCCCTATCATGACACGACCACATATCAATCAACTCTTCCCAACCTCCAGATGGCAACCGTAAGATACTTTCACTCTCCACCCAACTACACCCACACTTACACCCAAACGATTTCAAAACTTCCCCCATCTTATCTTCAAACCCAGCATTCACCACCGGCTCACTAACCATACCCGGACAAGTAAATATCCTTTCCAATCTAATAATAACTCTTTGTTTAGTCTTATAGATCTTATGTGCTTCTTTTAATAAAGAATCAATCTCAGCCAATCTTTCTGAATATTGGGTCTCAGTCAAATATACAAAACATGCCGAAAGTCCCACTAAAGCCTCAACCAAGACAGAAGATCTATCCATATCCATGTAAAAAGATGACAAACTTTTCAACAACTTTGGATTGGGCTGAAATCTGAATTTTTGCAAATTCTTTACATGGATACTTCTAACGCTAATATTACCCAACATAGAAATAACAAAGATAGTGCGAAAATCAATCTTATCAAATTGGACCAAAAACCAAGAAGAACACTTATGCTTTTATCTTTAAAGTGTCCGATGATGTGTAAGTTTCTCCTCAAGGATTTAGAGGGTTTAATGCCCGAAAACGTCACTAAAGATGCCAAATTGAAAGAACGATTTACATTGGAAGAAGTAGCAGAAGTGGCTGATATCAGAGATGCCGATAATGTCTTCTTATTAGAGACTCGTAAGAAGAGTCCTGCGCCTATTCTTTGGGCTGTTACTATTGATAAGGATAATAGTAGTCAAGTAGAAGGCGAGATCAGTAAGCCTAAGTATGATACGATGAAGTTTATGGTGACTGGGATTTATAGTATGAAGGAGTTGAAGTTTTCTGGCAATCCATTAGCTAATAGTCAGATGCTAACTCTCTTTTCTAAGGACTTTGAGTGCAGTGCTGGTATGCAAAGAGCCAAATCTATTTTGACTAAGATATTCAATACGACTAGACCGGTTGAAGGAGAGCCAAGTACTCCTAAAGATTATGTTGATAAGATTGCATCTTTCTTTTTGAAAGGAGATCAAATCATGGTTAGGTTTTATCATATCGCTAAGAAGACCAAAGAGACGGAAAGACTTATGGCCGAACGACAGAAGCAAGAACTGATTGAGCAGAAGAAAGCCAATGCGGAAGGAGTTGGAGCCCAAGCAGAGATAGAAGCAGAAGAAGCCGCCGAAGTTGAAGATCCGAATATTAAGCTGGATGAAGAAATGATACCTTGGTATGAGATAATTGAGGTTGGACCTAGATTTACTCTTCATCCCCGGGAAAGCGATCTGTGCGATAAGAAAGAGAATGCAGAACCGGTTACAGCTACTACTGAAGCAGACACTACCCCGGCTCAGGACCAAGTTGAGTCAACCCAAGAATAAAGTTAGTCTTAATGCTATCACCTTAGTATACTGTTTTGTTTTGTTATGATTTGCTTGTTCATAGCTGATACGTCATCCAATACTAACCAACTTATTATCTCTAATAACTAATTGGGTTCGTACTAATCTAATTCAATATTAAACCAAACTCAACCCAATTCAATACTAACTCCAATCTAATTCAACTCAATAATAAACTAAACCCAACTCAATACAAATTCCAAATTAGAAGACTTTCAATTCTAATTTAGATCTTTACTTAAAGGTAATTTAAAGAAGCACATCCACTTACATTAGAATACAATAAACTAGATTTGGTTAAATCAAGATAGAATGGGAGTGGATTAAGATAGGGTTGGGTTGGTAAACTCATACTTATCCCAAACATAACATAAGACAATAGATAAGCCAGTGCAGTCTTTCTTTTTTATGGAGAAGTACTCTAACTTCTGTGACCCCACTACAGGCATCAATCCTTACACCCGAGATATCAAAAGACACATCACTTTACTTTCCCTCTTCACTACTCCAATTTTAGTTACCGTACTTATGCACTTACCCCGTTTTCTTTGGCAACTATTTACTGGAGGACTTCTAACTATTACGCCATCACCGAGTTTAGCTAAAGCCCGGACTCGTGGCGTATCTGTCTTTGCCTGTACTTACACCTCTCTTTTTGATACGCATGCTTTGTTCGCCCTTTTCAAACACCCGCGTATTTACTTACTGACTACTACAGCTACCTATACAGTCTCACGATTTAACGTCTTAACTAAAACACCCATGCCTCGACTTGAATCGGCTACTCCTGAAGCACCAATCATTCTCTTCCTTTCCGGCGGTCTAACTAACGGCCGTATTCTCCTAGATACACCCACCCGATCTATGTCCTACTTAAGTCTAACCCATACACCTCCACCAACGGATATTAATCTATTCTCTCAAGTAACTCCACAGTTTTATTCATTATTACCAGCTTTAGCTTACCACTTTGTTTATTGTGCCATCTTTAAGAACCCACGAGTAGTTCCTAAATGGGCCGAAACACTACCAGATCTAGCCGATATAACCGGTCTAGATATTGCCAAAGGCTTCACTAATGAAACAACTGCCCAGTTTCTAAGCCGTCTTAGGCAATGAATCTCCAGCCATTGCATCAAAAGCATCACCAAAGAACGTCTTAAGCGCCCCACTAACCGTATTAGCAATCGCATACAACTCATCAGAAGAGATAAGGTCATTCATAGCTTGATGGGCCTCTTTAGTCGTTTCTACAAACTCAGCCTGAGCCTTTTCTGACTCATTAGGCCTGGCTGCTTCTACTACTTGTCTGGCTTCCAATACTTTTAGCCTCAATCCATCTATCTTGCCAATTTCCAATTTCAATTCTCTAAGACTATGAACAGCTCCAGATAAGGTTTCTTTCATTTGAACTCGAGCAGCAGAAACTCTTTTAAGTGCTCCTGATAGATCAGAGAAACGATCAGCTGAATCACCACGGATGGAACTAGCTACTTCAGAAGCAGCTACTGAAAGAGCACCAAAGACATCTGGATCCTCTTTAGCTGCTTCTGACTTTTCTTTAGGTTGTCTTTTAATGCTATCTTTAACAATCTCCAAACCAGAATACAACCCAGAAGTGATGTTCTCATAAAGAGAAACAGCTGAAAACGAATCAGCTAGGCTCTGTAACTCTATTTCGATCAAACGAATACCCGCCCGAGTCTTCCGATACTCTTCTTCGGTCTTAAGGTACTCTTCCGTATGGGCAGTCTTCTTATACTCACGAGTTAGCTTATCACGTAGCCTCGTTTTGATCTTGCTATAGCTAGTATTCATACAAATAAAGAAAAAGACATAGTTATAATTGGGTTGAGTTTAGTTGATATTAGTTGGTATTAGTTGATGCTAGTTAGTGCTGTAGTGGTGTTCTAGTGGGGTTAGTATTGGGTTGAGTTTAGTTGAGTTGGTATTGGGTTGTGTTTGGTTGTGTTTAGTTGAGTTTGAATTGGATTAGGATTGAGTTGTGGTGAGTTTAGTTTGAATTGAGTTGAGTTGAGTTGGTATGGTATTGACTTGGATTAGTATAGTATATAATTGGATTGGTATGGTATAGAATTGGATTAGTCTGATATAGAATTGGATTGGTGTAATACAATGTTAGTATGGCATAGTGTTTAGTTTGGGTTAGTATTGGATTGAGTTTAGTTTGGCACGGGATGGTAGTATATGGAGTTAAGCTGGTATGGGGATAAGTTATTGGGTGGTGGATTGTAATGTAATAAAGTAAATGAGATAGTGGTGTGATTGTTTATTATCGGGTACAGGGGAGGGTTGGGTTGGTTATTTGCGGAGCTCGGATGCCCTCCTGACTCGGTCGCCGACTTTATGCATGTCGGAGTCATTACCCTTTTTAATGTCCTCAAGAAGTTCCTCTAGTTCTTGGAACTTCTTGGTCATTTCTTCGGTCTTCTTTTGCATTTCCTGGAAACTGGTGGCGGTAGATGATTCTGATTCTAGGCCAAAAGATTCGGGATCGGGGGTAGGGGAAAGATCAAAATCGGGGCGGGGTTTTTGGATTTCGCGGCGTTTTTGCAGAATATTGGCATGGGCTAGTCTTTCTTTGTGTTGTGTTTCGGTACGAGCTAGTCTCTCTAGTTGTTTCATCAGTCGCTCCATTTCTTGGTTGCAGGCCGATAGAGCTGATTCACGTAGATCAGCTCGAGTTTTTAAACGTGTGTTTTGAATTTTGGCTATCTCTAAATCTCTTCTTAAGCTCTGGAGGGCATATTGTGCCTCTTCTGCACGGCGAGAAGCATCATCTGCTTCGGCTGCCTTTTCTTCGGCCAGTCGTTTTAATAGGGCCTTCTCGGCTTCGTGGGTTTCGGCGGCTGTTTGTTCAGCTGAGGTTTCAAGTAGTTGCTTAGTGATTTTCTTTTGGGAGGCCAGAGCTGCTTCTGTTTCTAATAGCCGCCGGCGAATAGTGGCGGCTTCTTCTCTTTGCTGGCGTAATTCGTTGGTAAGATCTTCAGTTGTTTGTTGTAAGTACTTAAGTTCGTGCTTTTTGGTTTTAGTGTTACTCGATATATCTTGTAGTTTGGCTGCTAGTTTCTCTTCTCGCTTTCTTAGTTCATCCGCTTCAGCTCGTAGACTCTTATTCTCATCAGCTACTGTACTGATGATTTTGACTAGTGATGGAGAAATACGTGAAGATTGCACAAACGAAGATAGTAAATCAACCGGTAAATTATCAGTGGATTCATCTGATCGTGTGCTTAAGGACTTCAAGTAAGCGGCTAATTCGTCATATTGATGACTAAGTTGTTTCATCAAACTCAAAACTTCAGGCAAGTCTTTCGCTGGCTGAGAAGTCTTAGCAGCAGAGGAGACACTCGCTGGCTGGGTAAGCAGTTTCTTAATGTTTTCTTCAGGAGAACTTAGTTCATCTAAGGAATCTTCATCCCGTCTACTCTGCATAGCCATGTAGCTTAAAAATACTTTGTTCTAATAAGCAAACTTGAATGTGAATTCGAATTCGAATTCCAATTTCAAATTAAGATTAAGTTGGTTTGAGTTGGGTTGGGTTGGGTGGGGTTGAGGTAGTATTATGTTAGTATTAAGTTAGGATTAGAATTATTTTAGTTATCTTATATCAATTTGCAGTAGTTTAGATAGAGATTTAAGTACTTAAGTTACATTTATACTATACCTATTCTAGATAGTCTTTTATTCAATTTAAATACTCAATTTATACCTTTATTCTGCCTAACTTGATTTACAGGCTTATTATGCCTACTTATCTGACATATCTAGCTGGTCATTACCCAGCTTAGTCATTCAAACTATGACATTTATTTTTTGGGCTAGGATATTGATAGCCAAATTTTTTCCTTTTTAGGAAATTTCCTTATTAAGACTTTTCCTATCCCGCCACAAGTAAAATTTACTAGTAAATTACTATACCCATCAAACACCACAACATACCCATTAAACACCACCTTATACTAACTAAATTGTAAGTTATAAGACAAATTAGGCACTATTGATTTTCAAAATTTGTTTTGTGAAAATTCCGATTTAATCTAAACCCCGCCAAAATCGGAATTTTCTGCACCAATATCAATTTCATCCTCTGCCATTCAAAATACTAGCTCAACTAAACAAACCATACACATAAAAACTTCTAAACCTTCTTTATTCCTCTTCAAATGACTGCCTAGCCACTAATTTTACCCCAAAAAACCACCACAGCAACACCAAGCCATATAATAATACAAAAGCAGCCAAATATCAGTTCAATTTAAATAAACCATCCAATCACACTAACCCAAAACCCAACCTAATTTCAATCTTCTTACCAATCTAAACCCAACCCAACCCAACCCAACCTTCATCTTCATCAAATCCTAACTACTTCCTACTCCTCTCCATGTACTTTAGCACTAAATACTTCAATTTCTCAAACAAGAAACAGTTCTCTTTCACACCATAAACCGGTTTTTGCTTGATATCAAACTCCTCTAAGAGTTTCTCAATGTTCTTATTCCAGTTATTCTTGTTAAATCCTAAGATAGATCCTAAAAACACAGGAGGATAAACAAAATCCTTATTAATATACTCATTGATTAGAATGAGCTTCTCTTGCTCTTCTAATCTCGCTACAATATTCAATTCTCCAAAGTGTCTTTTCACTACTATTTCTCTTGCTCGTTGCATTTTGCTTTGATTCCTTAATGCCCAAGCTAGCCACTCAACCAGCACTTCGTCCTCGGCTACATAACACATTCCAGAACCATCCCCACTAGTTTCAGTCTCTAATCCACCGTTGCTTTCTGCCTCACTACCCATACTTAGATCTAAAAAATTTGGAGTGCATGGATATCATTCGCTTCACTGGACAAAGCTCTTTAGTTGAGATAGAAAATCAACCGCCAATTAGCAAGCCAAAGTTGAAACATCCAAAAGAATTATTTGCTCGGTATACAGTCGAACAGATAAGTAATTGGAAAAGTATTGATCTTTATTACATTATGGGTATAGATCCCAATGAAGCCCAAACATTCACTGAGAGTCAGTTTAAAGATGCTTACAAAAAGCAAGCTAAACTGTTTCATCCGGATAGATTAGCTGCTTGTGGTTTACAAGATGGAGGTGCTTCGTTTATTGCTCTAAGTAAAGCACATCAGACTCTAAGTAGTCCGACAAGGAAGAGACAGTATGACCATGCTGTTTTTGATGAGAGTTTACCGGATGATCGTGAGTATACTCCAGTTGAGTTCTTTAGAGTTTTTGGTGAAGTCTTTGTGCGTAATTCTGTACTGAGTGGCAAACCTTATACTGTTTCTTTAGGAAATTTAGATACGATAGATAGTGATGTGGTTAGTTTTTATAAGTTTTGGCAAGCTTTTGAATCGATTAGATCTTTTGAATTCTTATGTGAGAGTGAGGACTGTCCGAATCGTGAACTACGCCGGCATGTAGCCAATCAGAACAAGGAGTTGTTACAGGCTAAGAAGGCTGAGGATAACATGCGGATAAGGAAGTTAGTTAACTTAGCGATTAAACATGATCCACGCGTTAATAAGAAGAGTAAGCAACAAGGGCCTAGTACGCCTGTAACGGTTGATGCCGATGGGTGGAAGAGTACTGAGATGGAAGTCTTAACTAAGATAGCCAAAACTTATCCTAAAACAACTAGAGGCCGAGTAGACTTGATTATTTCCATGTTCCTCAAGAAGTTCCCTAGCCGTCAGAAACGAGAAGTCTTAGTTAAGCTTCTTAAACTAGAAGCACCACCAAAGAAGACCAGCAAGTAATAAACAAGTAATCTTCATAATCTTTACTATCACAACCAACAATTATCTTATCTTATCTAAGCACATATACTATACTATACTATGTTTATTACTTTATTCAATAACCCCGATCAAGTTGAGTTAAGATTAAGTTAGTTAAGATTGGGTTAAGATAAGGTTGGATTGGATTGGGTTAGTAGCTAACTTCTTCAGCTCAACTTAATACCAAACTCAATTCAACTCAATACTAAACTAAACTCAACCCAACTCAATACTAAACTAAATACTAAGTTAGTTGTACTCACGAATGGGCTGCCTGTTCATACGGCGGTGTTGATAGGCATGGGATTCGGAATAGTCAACTCCAGTATTATCAAACTTAGGATGGCCGTAAGGACAAGTAGGACCGGCAGGACAGAACCCGGCTTCATAATTAAAACACATTCTCTTCTTGTAATGTCGGTTGCGACAACTACTACCATGCTTACAGAAGCCTCTAGTATACCAGATACACTCTTTACTCTTACTATTAGGATCTATATGTAAGAATAAACAGTCTTGATTACTGCACTCGCCATACTTAGAGAAGAACCAACATTCAGGCATCTTATCTAAAGCATAAACATGTAAGAACTCACATGCATCTCCTTTTTTACATAGACCTCTTAACCAATGCTTACAAACAATGGCATTTTCAGGTCTTCTTCGTCTTTCTACCTCAACTAAGCCGAGTGATCCTCTAATCCACCCATCAAAATCAAACTTTATCGGAGTTTTGTTTGGATTACTTCCCATTCACTAAACTTTTGTAAATTTTAGCTATTAAGCTGTTGTAATCTCTGATTGTGCTTAGATTAGATTGTGTTTGTGTTGTGTTTGTGTTGTATTGGGTTTTGTTAGGTGTTGTATTCAGTTTTAATCAATTGTATTACGATGTATTCAATGGTATTTAAATGAAATAAAGGATTAGTGCTGGATTGGTTTGTTGATTGGGTTTGGTTTGATTTGGGATTGAATCAATATGAGACATTAAATCAATATGAGACTTTGAATCACGATAGAGTGTTTTGGTGGACACTAAAACCTAAATGAACATTGATGAAGACCTATGGTTTATTAAGCGAAGGTTTGGGGTGCGGTATACGTACTGTTCGTAAGGATTAGAAGACGGGAATTGGCAATATCCCGAAGAGTGGTAGGAATAGGGAGTTTGTCAGGTATAGCTGCTTTTAGTCCTTGAAGAAGAACGTATAAGACGTCGTCAGCTAGCATGAGCTGGTCTTCAGACATAATCTGAGTAAGTCCATTGGGTTGGAGGTAGTCGCGGGCAAATCGAGATTGAGAAATATGGATGGTGCCAACCTCCCAGTAGCAGTCTTCATTATTGATAATTAGTAGGTGCAGTAAGTTATCAACTAAGAAATACTTAACTGCTAGAGTAGCTGAGTTTAGTTCAGTAAAGAAGCCACGCGGCTTTGTTCTGGGTCTCGGGTTGGCATTGGTTCTCGGCTGTAATCTTCTTGAGTGCTGGGATCTAGGCCGAGGATTAGATCGGGAATGCAATGGAGAGGTTGATGGCCTGGACTGAGGGTTAGCCCTAGTTGGTGGTGCATTAAACCGAACAGTTGGCTTAAATGGATAGGCCGAGGTAGCTATAACTTCTTGGGCATTCTTTTGCAGGGTTAGATTAGTTAAGCTAGTCATAGCACTTGTCCAAAGGTGTTCACTGACTGTAACGCGCGATGAATACTTCCCTTGATTGGCAAGTAACTTTCGGGCTATGAAAATAAGATCAGTTGAGACCCGCAACACTTTAGCATACTTGGCCAAAATCTGAGCCTGTTCCGGTAATGGCACTAAAAGATCGTTTACTTTATCTAACGCCTCTTGAAACCCATCTCCAACTACATCCGAGAATTGTCTTTTCCGTACGAAAGAAGACTCAGCCCCTCGTTTCAATAAACTCTTCAGCTGCTCAATAGCATATATAGTCTTCTCAAGCATATCTGCCATCAATTGATACGAGTCATAGGACATAATTGAGTTAAGTCGTAATAAAAGCTGGTATGAGTTCTGCATATCAACTATCAAATTAGTCACATTAACTAAAGGCAGTTCAAGCACTACTCCATCCGAGTCTTTCCAATGTTGGAAGTAAACATCACTAATCGTATGCAGAATTCTCAGATAAGTACTTTCCATCAGCAAGTACCGACAAGCTAGTTTAGAAAAGACACCAGCCAAATACTCAGTTGAATAAGTCCGACTCAATGGTTTAATCAGCAAGGTATGATACAAATCATCAAAGACCGACCAATGCTGCTCGATTTCTTCTATCTGCCTAGTAAAATCCGGCATATCAAGACCGCCTTTCTGCCGACTGGGTTTCAACCCCGCAATCTGCCAGCTTAAGTCCAAAGTAAAGTAGTCCGTCTCAAGGGCAGCCATCAACTGCACTAACTTAAGTCGCCGACCATTAATCAAGTAGGCATAAGCCTGATAATTATCAAACCATACACCCCAATCACCGCCATTCTCACCTTTCCGCCAACGCAATTCCGGTTTCTCAACCATACCATCCCAATCCTCTTCTGCCGTTCGTGTTCCTATCTTTGTTCTAGCATCTATCTTCATAAGAGACTGGTGCATAAACACAATTTCATCAGGCGTCATCGCATGCATGGCCAAACGAAACCTTTCTAGTGGCCGCCGTACTTCCTTCACATTCTCACTTACCGTCCCAGCTTCAACTTCACTATCACTGCTTTGGGCACCAACCCATCCCAGCCAGCCCAGCCACAAACCCACTATAATCAGTCCTAGTTTACGCACACGCCAATCGGATTTTCCAATCTCTACTAAATCTAGCATTAAGGTAAGATTTCCGCAAAAGGAATACTTAAAATTAGAACTTCCCAAAAAGGAAATACGGCTAACCCAACCCCTATTTTAAATTATGTTCAGATAAATACCACCCCAAAAATCACCCAATCCTTTTGATTAACTTAAATAAAGATTTTGATTTATATACTAACTTAACCTAACCTAACCCAACCCCATCTTAATCTCCACAAAACAAAGCACCGTCCATCTAAAACACCACCAGCCAAAATAAACCCTATCCAGCCCAAAACTAAAGCAAACCAAAACCAACCCAGCCACAAATCAAAATAACAACCAAATCATAACCAAATCAAAATAAACAACAATAACAACATCTATACCAACCCAATATCGCACTAATACCACCCAAAACCCCCCCAAAGTCCAATTTTACTATTTATTTTGCAAGAATTTGCTCTGTCTATGCGTGACATTGAAGATCCCAGCGATAATTCTACAGATTTGCAAGATACTTCAGGAAGCTCTTCTTTCTCCTCCTCAGAAACCATTGAAGAAAGTGAAGAACTTATCAGAGGTAAATCAAACCGGGGTAGACCCAGATACCAACCTGAACCCACCAATAGAACAGCAGCAATGCCAGATCTACTCCGAGCTCTAGAAGCAGAAGTAGACATTTCCCTTTCTACTCCTCTGACCAGTGAACCTCTCCATCCCATTGCTACAGTCAGTACTGTAGCCCCAGATACTTCTTTATCAGGCGGTCGTATTATGTTACCTCTATCTCCATTTCTCAAACCGCGTATTCATTTTCCCATCTCTCCCCCAGACGCACTTTCTCCAGATGCTGCCCTTCATGCTCGAATCACCAACTACCAGTACATTAACAAAGGCTTGGCTGCCACCATCCAGTACCAACTCTACCTTAATAATCTTCTTATGATGAACAAAATGGCTGTACCCCATCCCACCACTACTCCTCCCACTCCTGCTACCACAACGGCCCCGGCTTCACCGGCACCTAGTTCAGTCCTTGGGACACCTATTAGTACAACTATTGGTATGGATGGTCCCGGTGATGTCCGTCGTCGGCCTAGACGTAGGACGGCTGCTCGACCTGCCCCAGAATCTTCTGATGAATCTTCAGCAGCCGAGTCAGAATCAGATTCTTTACTTGACTCGCCTGATGATCCAGTGGAGAAGATCTTAAGCCATCGATCAGAAGATGATCATTTTTACGTTAAATACCGTGGTAAGTCGTATCTGCACTGTGATTGGGTGCCTCGTTTGGCCTTAACTGAGACTAAAACAGGCGAGTTAAGACTAAGAAGGTTCTTAAGACAGGAGAAGGCCGAGCCAGAACCTGGTGCCCCTTTATTTGATCCGGCTTTAGTTGAAGTAGAACGAGTGATTGCGGAAGAGGAAGAAGTTATTCATACGGACCCTGGCTTACCTACTCCCGGTTCAACCGATCCACCTGTTCCCAATACGACTACCCGTAAGATTTACTTGATTAAGTGGGCTAAGTTTCCCTATGAATCGGCTACGTTTGAGTACTACGACCATGTCTCAGACTGTGAAGGGTTTGAAACTGCCCATGGAGAGTTTGTAGCCCGACGAACGGCCGCAGGACTACCGGCTAATCCTCTGGCCTGGCGGCCTTCACGTGATCGTTTACTAGTGGCTTCACCGGTCGGTCGGCAACTCCGGCCCTACCAACAAGAAGGAGTAGCCTGGCTAGTGAACAAATGGCTATTCCGGCAATCATGTATCTTAGCTGATGAAATGGGTCTGGGTAAAACAGTGCAATCAGCTACGTTCTTAGAAACAGTAGTGGCTCGAGCGGGTACACGTCGTCCCGCTTTAATTGTAGCTCCTCTTTCTACTTTACCGCACTGGGAACGTGAACTAGCTGCCTGGACTTCTTTAAGAGTTTTAACTTACCATGGATCGGCTGCTGCTCGTGAGATAATTGCTGATTTTGAAATGCGCCGGAATGATGGAGCTTTGCTTTTTGATGTTTTACTGACTACTTATGAGATGGCCATTGCCGGAACTGATACTTTAGCGCAAATAGCTTTTGGAGTAGCTGTTCTAGATGAAGCCCATCGTTTAAAGAACAGTAAGTCAAAAGCAGCTGCTACTTTACGAGCTATTGAAATAGACCATAAGGTTCTTCTTTCCGGTACACCTTTACAGAACAACTTAGGCGAGTTATGGAGTCTGTTGAACTTTATTGATCCTTTACGTTTCCCTTCCCTACGTACTTTCTTGAGTACGCATAAGATGGAGGAAGTAGGAGATGTCGAACGCATTCAGAATCTTTTGAAGCCTTTAATGCTAAGAAGAATGAAAGATGACGTAGAATCTATTCCTGGGAAGGAAGAGACTATTGTTGAGGTAGAACTAACTATGATTCAGAAGAGGTTCTATCGAGCTATTCTGGAGAAGAACATGGAGTTTTTAGGAGCGGGTTCTTCAGCTCCTAATTTACTTAATATCATGATGGAGTTGCGTAAGTGTTGTATTCATCCCTATCTTATCTCTGGAGCTGAAACTCAAATCTTACTGGAAAATGGAGCAGCTGAAGGAGATACAGATGCTTACTTCCGGGTTATGGTTAATGCTTCGGGTAAGTTAGTCTTCCTGGATAAGTTACTGAAGAAACTAGCTGGATCGCATAAGGTCCTGGTCTTCTCACAGATGACCAAGTGTTTAGACTTAGTAGCTGAGTACTTAGCCTGGGCCGGTTATGCTTTTGAACGGATTGATGGTACGGTTCGTGGTGATGTAAGACAAGCGGCTATTGATCGGTTTAGTAGTGATCCTGATTCTTTTGTTTTCCTTTTATGTACCCGGGCGGGTGGTGTTGGTATTAACTTAACTGCCGCTGATACAGTGATTATTTTTGATTCTGATTGGAATCCTCAAAATGACTTACAGGCCCAGGCTAGATGCCATCGAATTGGTCAAACAGTTCCAGTTAAGATTTACAGACTTGTTACTCGGAATACTTATGAACGCGAAATGTTTGATCGGGCCAGTATGAAACTAGGTCTTGATCGGGCTGTTCTACATCGGGAACGCGAGCGAGAAACGCCTAGTGGACGTAAAGGCCGGGTTGAATCTCTACTGAAAAAAGGAGCTTACGGTGTTCTCATGGAAGCCGATGAGGTCAATGAACAGTTCTGTAATGAAGATATTGATGCAATTCTAGAGGGAAGAACTCGAGTTGTACGTACGGCCGATCAAAGTGGGAATATTTTCAGTAAAGCATCCTTCCAAGTAGCCGAAGAGATTGATGATCCTGATTTCTGGGAAAACTTACTAGTTAAACGGCAAGCGGCAGCCGCCGAAGCTACTTTACGCCGATTACTGCGTAAGATGGGTAAGGCTAGTTTGATGAATGAAGCTGACGTACTTGCCCGGGTAGGAGCTGGTGGAGCTCTGGAGATGGAGTTAAGAGGGACTTTACCCGATCGTGATGAAGCAGCTCGGATTATTCGAGTGGCACTTGGGGCTATGCCTAATGGAGGCGCAGGCGCCTCAGTGGGACTAGAATGGGCCGGTGCCCCAGAAGTAGGCGAACTACCGGCTGAAGTAGATCCCGGGCGCTTACTCTTCCGGGCGAGTGTCTTAGCCGTATTCAAAGGGTACGAAGAGAACCGAGGAGCAACTGAGATTGAATGGAAGGGCTGGTCAGTGGATGATGATGATGCTTTAGTGGCACAAGTCCGGGCTAATGGCTATGGCGTGTACGACTGGGGAGTTAAACGATCGGGTGGTCGAGCGGGTGCATTATACCGTGGACGTACGGCCGATGAACTTAATGCACGTGTGCGGAAGCTTTTAGCGGCTTCTAGTCGGCGTTCTGAGTCTGAAGAAGCAAGTGGTAGTGTGGCTGCAGCGATTGAAGCTTTTGGCCGGCCTACTGCTGCTAATCGGGAAGCACTAGTACGGACGTATCGAGGACGGAATATCATAACGGAAATGACAAGTATGATAGGCACGATTGAGGAGAACATGAAGAGAAGGCAATCACGAAGATCAGGATTTGATTCGGAGTTGGCTAAAGTCTTAACTACTCGGGTGGCTTTATTCGATCGGCTAGCGAGTGGAACTGTACCTTCTTTGCGGAAGAGTGCTGGTTTACCGCGGGGTTGGGGTCGAGCTCGTGATGAAGAGTTAGTGGAGGCTTTACTAGCTGGAGGTCTGACTAAAGAGGCAGTTGATGGTCTGGGGATAAGTGAAGAAGTTGCCTTACGACGGGCGGAAGCTTTAGCACGGAACATGTCCATTCGTGTGGAAGAGCCTGAAACTACAGCTTCAGATAGTTAATTGTGTTAGTAAGTAGGTTAGGTTAGGTTGAGTTAAGTTAGGTTAGTAGTGTGGGGGTAGTGATAGCAATAAAGTATTCTCTATAACAATAATTGGTGATGTGTGATAGTTAAGATAAGATGGGGTAGTGTAGGGTAGTGTGGTGTGTGATAGTTAGGTTGAGTTAAGATAAGATAAAGTACTCTAAACCAAGTGGTGACATTTATTTGTGAGGCTGGGTAGTTATGTTTGTGTAGGTGTTTAAACAACGGGAGGAATAAGAAGTAAGATTGATTTGTATCCACCAATAGCTCCGAGTACAGCGAATATCAAGAACAGAACAACCAGGCCGGCTATAAAGGCGGGTAGATTGTCTTTGATTGTACTGCCGATCTTGTTCTCGTCGTCTCGGTTAACGATTACGTATACTAGAGCGGCAATACATGCAATGGCCAATAAGATCAAAAGGGCAGTTAATCCGTAGCAAAGTGCTGGACTAATATCCATGTTTTTGATCCAATTTATGAACGAATCCCACATGCCTATATCGGCAACCTTATTTTTCACTACAGATGCAGCAGGTGCTGCATCTCCTGCTCCTGCTCCTGCTCCACCTGCTCCTGCTCCTGCTCCACCTGCTCCTGTTCCTGCTCCACCTGCTCCTGTTCCTGTTCCTGTTCCTGCTCCTGCTCCACCTGCTCCTGTTCCTGCTCCTGCTCCTGCTCCACCTGCTCCTGTTCCTGCTCCTGCTCCTGCCGCACCACCGGTGGCTCCTTCTCCTTGTGCACTAACATTTCCCCCCGTTGGGTTTGCAACGTCTTTTTCAAGCTCTGGCATTTGATGATATCATGATCAGTCGGTTATTTATAGTTTTAACGGGGCAATAACTAACTGCTGATTTGTGATTTATTCGGCATGTATAGTTATAATTAACAAATAAACAGTTAAGTTGATGCCAGTTGGTTATTAGCCTTAATTGGGCCAATTGTGTGATTTAGTGGTTTATTGGTAACTTATAATACGAGTATTGGCCGTGGCTCTGTTGATCATTTCATTGGTTCTGGTGGATGTAATAATCCTAGTCCAGTGGATAGTATTGAAAACATTGGATCTTTGAATAAATAGGGATTTATTAGGCTAGTGTGCAGCTTGACTCTACCTCGGTACAACTAGCTAATGATCTTGGAATTCGCCTTCTTGGTTTTAGACTGTTTTTGAGGCGAATTGCCTCTCTTGCTTCGAAACCAGTTTATAATGCCGTGCTTTTTGGTACTACTACTCTTGTTATTGTTATCCGGTGCTTTACAAGTAAATTGTGACTGTGTGGTTTGATTGGGTGGTAAAGAATACCGATTAGAAATGTTATTAGCAGCTGGTTTGGTTTCCTCGGGAAGGAATGCCGTAGAGTGGGCGTGTTTTATGTTGGTAGTGACTGGAAGATTGGAGGAATTGTCTTGGGGTGCTGGAGAAAAAGAAACGTGTTTGTTCGCGGTGCTATCATCACTAGGAGACTGGCTGGAACATAGTCTCTGGTAGGGAACTTGGTCGGACTCTGGGTCGGGTTGAGTTACCTGATTGGTCGCAGTATCCCCGGGATTTGACTTACTAGCTTGTTTGTCCAAAGAAGTTGTGTCATTGGAAATGCTTGCTTCATAAGTAGTGCTTGAACTACTTGTTGCATCGCTCTCTTCTTCCGGGATGAGTGCTTGCATAGATTGTCGGGATTTACATGAAGTGAGTGCCGGTGGTGGTGGCGTAGATGCGCGGATTTTAAATGAAGTGGGTCGTCGGGGTTGGGTCGCTTCAACTCTTCTGGGCGGAGATCGTGGGACTTGGTAATGCCCCTCTTCCATAGCTGGTTGATCGGGACACTCTGTGGGCATGAGCTGTAGTGCTTGATCATACATCCCAAAACATTGTGATCGAATTGGCGAACCATTGTCCGAGAGACTAGGCGAGCTCATTTCCACATAAATAGGCTCATTATTAGCATCCTTGACATTCTCAAAAGGTCCTGTTAATGCAAGTGAGCTATCATCCTGTGTGGGTGTAATGATCTCTATAATTGTAACATGGCTAATAGTTTCTTTCTGTATCTGTGAACTGTAAACCGCCCGCCGACCCGTACTTATAGTTATTGTAGTTTTAGTCTGCGGAATATGATAACTTGTTGTGCTATCAATCATACCAATTATTGAAAGAAAAAGACCGAACAATCGCCACATGTGTTATCATTGCATTATTCTCTTTTGGTTTTATAGAGAGACCGATCAAAATCTTGTTTTTGAATATCAGTTAAATTTAGCCAAATACACAGTTGTTATTACTATACTCCCAAATACTCCTACCTCGCCAACACCAGATTACTCCAATCACCAACCTCCTCTCACTATCACCACCTCCACTCCCACTCCCAAACTAACTCAATCCACTCCACTCCCACTCCCACTCCCACTCCCACCTCACCCCAATCCAAACTAACCCAACTCAATCCAATCCAATCCAAACTAATCCAATTCAATCTTATGTTTTAAGACAAGACAAGATAATTATGAAAGAGTATGCCTAAAAAGCCAATAAAAAGCTTCCAAAAGATACTATCTTATCCAACCCAATACTAACCCAATACTAATCCTAATCTAGCCTACCTTAACCCTATACTAAGCCCAGTCTGATCTCATAAAGTCGATTTTTATTTGTTTCTCTAATATGACAGCTTCTCATACAAGAGCTAAAGAAGGCGCTATTTTAGGTATGAATGTGTTTACTGAACGGATACTCGTATCCAGAAGGTGTGTACATGCCCTTGTTGAAGTTCTGAAAGAAATCACCACTAAAGACTTTTCAGAATTAGAGATAGACACTGTGATTTCCAGAATTCTACACGTGTTTCAATCCAAAGATGCTTATCTCAAACTCTTATGCTTTGCCTTTATCAGAAGTGTAGCTGAAATGTCCTCCGGTGCTTTTGTAGCCATTAATGCCCTGGTGCGCACTTTAAGTGCTAAACAAGGCTTACGTCCTGATATTCTTAAGCTCCTGCTTCAGATTACACCCACAGCTATGCTAGATGACTGTTCCAAGTACGTCCAACAAAGTCTCATTGAAACTGAGTATAAATCTTTAGATATGATTGTCCCAGTCCTGTTATATGCACCAGAACAAACAGTAAGTGATTGGTTTACAGGCACTGGCTGGATGCGCGGTCTGAATACTTCTGGCGCCCTAGGCAATGCTATCTTACTTATGAGCCGATGCCGACCCCAAGAAAGCAAAGATATCATTAAACTTATCTGCTCTTCTTATCTAAAAGGGTACAGCTCAGTTCTAGCCATGCGTTTCATGCAGCAGTACATCAAAACCAACCAACATGCCCAGAAGAGATTCTACTCTTGTTTAAAGCTAGAAGAAACAGATGAAGCGACTTTCATTGAAACGGTTAGGAGTTTATTGAAAATGCCAGATACAGATTGTTCTAAGTACATTGATACGTCCGTTAAAGGTTTACGTACTTTACTTATGTCCAAATGCACAGTTACTCGTGTAGCTGCTCTACGTACTATTGATATGTTGGCCTCCTCGCCCTATAAGAACAAACTAGCCCCTCTACGGGCTGAAGTAGAAGAAATGCTTTCTAAAGGTAGTACTGTAGCCCTGTTAAGTATGGGTATTCTTTTAAAGATAGGTACTAAGCAGGTAGCTAGCAAAGTAGCTCAACAACTGCCTAAACTACTAGCTGAAATGGGAGAGGAACAAAAACTAGCAATTATGGAATCGGTTGGGAAACTTTGTGAAAGATTTGGCTGTGAGTCCTGGGTTGATGTGCTTAAAGAGGCCTTACATAGTACTAGTACATGTCCTTATAAGGTAAAAGTTGTTAAAATTGTGGCGGATGTGCTTAAAAACACTAAAAATTCCGATTTAAGAGCTAAGATAGAAGAGATTCTTTGTGCGTATGTGGAAGATTCACCCTTCCCCCGTGTAACTACTGAGATTCTTGGTGTACTCCTGGGGAAGAATACGCCGCAGTACAAAGTTTGTCTCATGAACCGTATGATCTTAGATAATGAAAGTGTTGCCCCGGCGATAGAACTAGCTCTAACAGCTGAAGGTGAACAAGGTCCTTTCTCTGTACTCTTCCAAGAGTCTCTAGAAGCCCCGGAGTACTTACTGAGTGGAACTGAGAACAGTATTCTCCTGGCGGCTAAGGAAGAGTTGGGAGAAGATGCCCAGTTCTTTGAAATGGAGAAGAAGAAGGTTTCGGCTATGGAGAGTAAGTACGGTTCACCTGAGCTTAAGACTTCTCGGCCACATATTCTGAACCGTACGGAAAGTGAGTTCTTGATTACAGCTACTAAGCATATCTTCCGGGAGTTCATTGTTTTGCAGTATACAGTGGTTAGTAAGATTGATTGTGTTTTAGAAGAAGGTTTGTTATCTGTGTTTTTGGGAGATAAGATAGTGGGGAGTGAAAAGATCTATTTACGTGGGAAAGAAAGTACGGTATGCTTTATCAAGATAGATATGGCTGATTTTAATCAACTTTGTGGCCAGACTATTTCTAGTGCCTTTGCCTATACAGTCAGTGATAATCGGGAGTATGAGGAGGGAGAAGTCCGATTGGTCGCTTATGACATTGTTCCGGCTGATTTTGTGGCTCCGGTTTATGAAAGCTATCAATTTACAGGTGAGGATACGATTACTAAAGAGTTTAAATTTGCGATGACTGCCCCTAGTCTTATCAGTGAATTAAAAAAGATCTTTGATATCTCGATGGCTGAAGAGAAGACCAATGAGTTTATTTGTCGGGGATCGTTTATCTTTACTGATGATCCGGTGGAAGTACAGGTTAAGGTTAAGGAGTCCGGTAGTAAGTCAAAAGCAGAGATCAGTATTTCTTCAACCTCGCCGGAAATTCGTGAATTACTAATGAATTCAATTGCCTAATGGTTCTAACATTGTTTTGTCGCCCTGCCTGTACCAAAGAAACCGAATGCAAACAAAATCAAACAGATCATCATTGGATTTGATTTCAAACAAAGTCTCAATTAAAGAAATAAAAGGCACGATCAAAATCTATATCAGATGCATTTAAGGAGCAAGCGACTAATTCCCAATTCACTTATTATTGTCTTGCAGGCCTGCGGGGTCTTAGCAAGTACTGGTCTTTCCTCTTCTTCTGTTGGTAGCAGCAGTATGATGAGTGGTGGTAGCAGTAGTAGCAGTATGAGTGGAAGTATGAGTGGAAGTAGTAGTGGCATGATGACGGGCGGTAGTTCGGGCATGATAGGTGGTGGTGCTGGTATGTTTGGGCCTGGACCAGTGATAGGTGGTGGCGGTGATATCTACTCCCAACTAGCTGGTATGGGCATTAATAGTAACAGTATAATGACGCTCTGTAACTGCTTGCCCGATCCAGTGTGCAAGTCCCGTGATAAGAACTTTGAGCAGCTGGTTAAGCTCATTGCTAGTATTCGGGAACTCATGCTGGTAGGTGGTAGTCCTTCTCAGTGCAGTGGAAGTTGGAACCTTCCTCCTCATATTCTTAACAATGGAGGTACTGAGTGCTTGGATTTATGGCTCAAAACCATCAACCCCTTTGCAGTTCTGTCTCAGACTGCTGGCAGTGGTCAAACGGGCGCAAACTTCAATGTCTGCAATGAATTCCATAACGCTTTGAGTAACTTGCTAAGCATGAAATTATCAGGTACTTACTCTGTTCTGGAGGAGTATCTTAATGGTCGGGCTGGCCTTAGTTCATCATCTGGATGTATGGGTGGTGGTAGTATGTTTGGTCCAGGACCAGCAATGGGCGGATGCGGCTCTGATGGGTTTAGCGTACCCAGTATGGTCGGATTTGGAGGATTTAATGGTCGGATGACGGGCGGTCTAGGTGATAGTATTGGTTGCGGTGCCACTCCCTACGGTATGGGAGTTGGTCTTTGGGGGACTAATTTAGGACTACCGACCAATCTTGGCATAGATGTCGCGCAAAGTAATGCCTTAGGATCATGTCTTTTCAATGACGTACTTTCTCATCAGAACTGTGGTGGTGCTATTGGTGGTGGCGCTATTGGTGGCGGCGCTGCAGGATGTGGTGGTATGATTGGCGGTGGTCTTGGTGGTATGACTGGGCCTGGTCCTATGATTGGTGGTGGTCTTGGTGGTATGGCCGGACCTGGTCCTATGATTGGTGGTGGTCTTGGTGGTATGACGGGACCTGGTCCTATAATCGGTGGTTCTGGATCTTCTAGTGCCCTGTGTGGTAGTTTAGG